CTGGATTTTAGTAAATATTACATAAATAGAATTATGCTTAATATTTAATTCTTTCAATTGCAGATGTTGTTGGCGACAATTTTATCTGACAAGTATAACGTGGTAAGTATATCGTTGCAGTATTTGAGTTTTAGGCTTGTTTTACCGCCTTTTGTTTCGCACATACATCCCTGTCACGAACAATATTTTGAAAAATATCGAATCTTGATAACCAAAATTTTTGTTTTTAGACCTTATCTCTTAATTGGCTGTTTTAGAGATCAAGGAATCGCAGCAAAATCAACGGTTTTTAAGTCTGAATTGTCCGTGTATAAAGAGATTCGGACAAAACATTGATAGGAACATACTCTGGAATTTAATAATCATTTTAACGTGGCAAAATTATCCAGTGTCTGTACTAAATGATTCTTAATGTTTTGAACTAGGGTAGCAACCCGACTCCGAAACCCCGACCCCGAACCCCGACATGCCTTCCCCGACAAACCCCGATCCCAGACACACCCGCCCCCGAAGGGTCGGGTTGCTACCCTATTTTGAACTAAATACTCGAGGACTGATCTTTTGCAAAATTACTAAATTATTTTTAAAGGATATGCTTGTCTACACTAAGGAAGGGGGACATAGTGTAGAATCAAAAGATTTTAACATTATTAACGTTCCGATAAATCCAGATTATTTAAATCAAAATACATTTAAAAATTATGGAATTAATAAAGCTATAAATGAAAATAAAGTAAATGACAAATATTATATTGTTGGCATTTATGAAGGTAATTTATAGTTTTTTGGTTATTCAATTGTCTGAAGTTTATAAAAAAAATCCTAGGATATACTGTAGTATATCACCCCTTCAAAAATATTTAAAACACAACATTCACTTTTTAAATTTAATTTCGCATTTCGCGATTCGCTTTTTAAAATCCGTTTCGGCACACCCCTGAAGCACATGTAGTTTTATTAGAAAATTTACGGTATTTTGAATTTTCATGCGTATTGAACGACAATTTTAGTTTCGGGTATAGCTCCGGGTTCGTTTGTCGTACCAAAATTTATAATCCTAATTTGATTCGACTTGATACGGGTAGTTATTATAAATATAAATTAGAATATTTTCTCGATTAATTCCCCTGGGGAATTATTTTTTCGACCCTTCCTTGGCATGGGGACTTAATCGAGCGAGGGGAATTATTCGAGTTTTGGCATTTGAACGTGCAGTAGAGTATTTGGGGGTGGGGAATTATTTTTTCAACCCAACTCTAGCATGGGGAATTAATCGAGAGGGAGAATTATTCGAGGGAGGGGAATTAGTCGAGAAAATACGGTAGAACATTTTGTTGTGTTGTCGACATATCTCTTAATATAATGTACTTAAAGAAATAATCAACAACGACTATGTAAACATCCCACATTTTGGCTATTATGGTATTCTCGATTGGCTTAAAGGCCAAAATTACTCCTTTGGAATTGCCGAGTTTGATCTAATGGCTGGTTCTTTTGTTGTTTTTGATGAATTGGGTATCGAGAATACATTTAATGTTTTTGGAAATTTCTTCCCACCAAAGTATCTTCAATTTCTTGGCATTGATATTAATCAACTTGCGCAAGTACCAGGTTTGACGATTTTTATATTCAATCGAGTCTCGATAACTCGACACGTGCTTGTATTTCATAAACAAAAGTGACGTGTTTATTTGGAGTCCCGCAGGGGAAATTTGATCCCTGACCAGTTTTTGCGGACTTATTTTGCGGACAATTAGGGAGACAAGTGGACATTTACTACCCGGTCTTTCCATTAAATTTTTTTCATAAAAGGAATAAATCTGGTTTCTTTGACATCCAAAATTCTGAAAAATAATATATATATTCCAAGTTTTCGTTAACTAAAAAATTTTTTTAATCGAAACCTTCATAAGCTAGACATAATTGCATTACTATTAGGCTGTATTCAAATTTTTTAAACTAATCCTACCCGACTTTATATCAATCCATATCACCCCGTATAAATATTTTCTCGATTAATTCCCCTGTGGAATTATTTTTTCAACCCATCCTTGGCATGGGGAATTAATAGATGGAGGGGAATTATTCGAGTTTTGGCATTTGAACGTGCAGTAGTGTATTTGGGGGTAGGGCATTATTGTTTCAACCCAACTCTAGCATGGGGAATTAATCGAGTGGGAGAATTATTCGAGGGAGTCGAGAAAATACGGTAAGTATTAAATATCGTAAAATTATTAATTAAATGTTTAATTAAATTCAAGACTCTTTAAACATAATATTTTCCAATATAGAACAAAAATATGCTGATAAAGATGACTGGAAAATAAATAAATCGGGTAATTCTGTTATAACCCAAACACCAAAATATCAAGAAAATTTCCAAAAACATTTAAACACTAACAATAAAACGTCTAATACAATGCAAAATGCCTGCTTGAATGTTTATAATGGATTGTTCTCAAAACATGGGATTCGAAATCATAAAAATTTCCAATTGGATATTTTATTTAGTAAAATTAACTATCATTTTGTTAATCAACACATTTATGGAAATTTCAAGTATTTCCCTGTTCATGAGAAAATTGTTTATATTGGAGGAATTCATGTTGAAAAAAAGAGAATTTTGACTGGAAATAAAATTGAAGGAAATCATGTATGTTATATTATATGTACATTAGTTAGGTAGATGTCCAGCTCGCTGTCAACATTTCCGCAAAAGTAATTTCTGCAAAAAGGCATTTTTTCTGCATTTTACTCTTTAGCCTCTCTTTCTTTAAGAGGCTAAAGTGAGGCCTCTCATTCTTTATTTTTCATTTAAGTTATCAGATAATTGGGTGACGGGATCTCTGATAACATAAGTAAAAAAAGGAAAGATAAATGTAAAGGAGTAAATTGCAAAAAAGTGCCTTTTGAAGAAACGCCTTTTGCGGACAAGTTGAAAGCAAGCTGAACATTTACAGTAACATAAACCCTTTTCTCAATTTTTAGCCTTGGAATTCCGCATCAATCTTTATCCACTTTAATCCCTCAGATCCCCCATTAAACTTGCAAAGAAATTAAAAAGTAAAAAGATATTGATAAAACTGAAGAGGTCTTCAGGGTGTTATTCTATGATGACTAGGGTTGGGGCCCCACCCGGTCCGAAAGATCGAGTCGGGCATTGAATTTTGGCCCGAAAAAGACTTGGTCGGGCCGGCCCGATAAAAATGAAGCCCGAAAAAATGACTAGAACATCGGACCGGTTCGAAACCCTCAACCCTAATGTTGACCTCAATAAAAACATTCAATTGCAGTTACCATAAATTTAAAATTTTCAGCCTCCCTGTGTTATTCTTGTTAATTTTGGAACTGTTAGCATATCCGGTAAAATGACGCGTAATGATTTTAAAATAATGTTTGGATTATTTGAAAATTTTGCTAACCAAATTGGTTGTATATTTAAAGTCAGAACAAACAAAAAATTTTTACCAGGAAATTATAACAAAAATATTATTAAAGTTACTGAAGAAAAAGTTAAACAACAACATATTTTAGGTAATTTATGTTGTGATCAAGGCTCCAATCGGGAATTTTTAAATTTTAAATTTATAAATACTTAATTTAATAATTTTTCAAAATATAAGTTCACTTCAAAATTACAATTAAAAAAATTTATTCTTGCTCAAGTCTCTCTGTATGAGACTTGAGCATACTTGAGAGACTTTATCTCTCAAATACAATATACCGTATTTCCTATATTAGAGCCCCACCCTCTGTTAGAGCCCCACCCTCTAATACAGCCCCACTTTGGAGGGTAGTTGAAAAATAGAGCCCCACCCTCAATTAGAGCCCCACCCCTAATACAGCCCCACCTAAAAATATTGGAGGAAAAATAAAAAATATCCCAATAATTTTTAAGATTATTAAGAGTTAAGGAAATAAAGGGCCATGGGGACATAAGGATTAAGGGAAATATGAGGGATTAACTAAGGGGAAAAGGAAGAGATATAGTGGGTATTCCTTTTATCCCGATAGATATCCCTTATATCACCGATGTCCCTCTTCATCAAAAAATCCCTTCATATGCCTACTAATACCTCATTCAAAATATCACTCTTAACCCCGCTAAATCTCTCAATATAAAATTAATCCTCTGATATTCCCCATAATCCCTTAAAATCGCTTATATACCTACATATGATCCATCAATGTCAAATACAAGTCCCCTAAAATTCCCTTTAATCCGTCAAAATCTACAAATATTTCATAATTAATCTTACCCTCATTGAATTATTGCGATTATTTTGTTACTCATTGCTTATAAAATTTTAATTTTTTTTGAAAAATTGAAAAATATCGATTGTCTTTCGATATTTTTCGGTTTTATCAACCGACCCCTCCGGCCTATCTCTAGTTGCAATGGATATAATAAATGGGATTCTATCTCAAAAGAGGGTTGAAAAATAGAGCCCCACCCTCAATTAGAGCCCCACCCTTTAATACAGCCCCACCTTGGAGGATAGTTGAAAAATAGAGCCCCATGGGGCTCTAATATAGGAAATACGGTATCTTACAATAATTTCTTGTTTCCTGTGAGAGGAGTTTTGTTAATTTCTATGTATTTTAGCGCTATTTTAGCGCTAAAGTTGCAAGGCAAACTAAATTTCTAAATTTCTTCTATATTGCGCCGCAGGTAAAAATTTTGGAGGTTAAATTTAATTTTTTAACCAAAAATTCTATTCATATGGAAGTATTACAAATTAAGTGCTTTTTCTATTTCTAAGTTAATGAAGTTAATATATACGAATCAGGGATCTAGCCGACCCGATTCCCGAAAATAGGGAATTTAATTTTTTGTCGGATAGATCCTTGGCACGGATCGGAGCCTTGAATTAGAATAATAATCTTAGAAAATTTTTAGCCAAACAAAATACAAAGGTATTTATCTCGCATTGTGGACAGAATAGTTTAACAGAGGTAATTTTAACAAAGAAAATTTGAAAAAATTTCAATTTAAGGCAATGTATGCAGGTGTCCCCTTAATTTGTATCCCGTCTGTTGGTGATCAAATTTACAATGCAGCAATTGTTGAACAGTTAGGGATTGGTATTTATGTAAGAAGATACCTTATGGATGGTTCGGCATATGTTTTTGAGGAAGACCTTGAGAATGCTTTGAATGAGATTTTCGATGAAAAGTAGGTAATATCTCTACTAAGTGTCTAAATCCTGACATCTCAAAAACCTCGAAAATCAACGTAAAACTGGGTAACACTGGTTAAGCAACGAAAAAAGTAAAAAAATTAGAGTGGTTTATACTTTTGAGACAGAGTAAGTCGAGTTCGAACGAGTTCGATTACTCGACTCGACCGCTCGGGTTTTTTGCGTAATTACTTTATAAAAATTACCCGATTACTCGAATACTCGAGCTCGACCTAAAAAGTTGAGCTCGAACTCGGATTTTTCATGCTCGGATTACTCGAGCTCGGTTTTTTCCAATTACTCGTTACTCGACATACTCTATTTGAAACAGAGTGTAAGAAGATGTGACACTTGTCTCATACACAACGGTATGTTCCAATTTGGCAAAATTTGAATTTATCAAATTTTAATCCTAAACGAGGGCTGTAAATTTTCATTTTGTCTGTGAAAATTTGGAGATTAAATTAATGCCCTTTAAAACTGTTTTTTGCTTGCCTTATTTTGTGTACTGTAGCAATTAAATATTTTTTAATTAAATTAAATTAAAAGGTATCAGAATGCTTCAAATGAACTACGTGAAAGAATTATAAACTATCAATATTCGATGAAACAAGTCTTCCTTGGAAAGATTGCTGAGGTTATTGGTGACTAAACCTGCAGGGAAGAGCAAGAAAATGTAAAGATATTAAATTTATTCTGAAATTTTAGGGTTTTTGGAGTGTCTGAAATGGGTGGTTCTGTAACGTTTGGGCTCTAAATTAATCCAGCATTTTTGGTTTTAGTGAATTTTTTTACATTTATTTACATATTTACCGTATTTATTCTAGTAGAACCACCTATGGTTATTTTTCAATTCCTCCATTTGGGGTGGTTATATTAGAAAGGTGGTTCTATTAGTAGAATACGGTAGTTTGGATTTTTTATTTTCTTTTTATGGGTTGGTAGAAGAGTTGGCCAAAGTTTATACACATTGCAGAATATGCAGTGAACTATGCAAATTAATTAATTTGTGTTTTTTTCGAGCATACCGAAATTAATTCCATATATTTTAAACTAGGCAAATTTTTTTGAAAAAAAATTCTTGATTGAGTATATAATTTCTACATAAAATATAAATATTTTAAATCGGTCGGAATTCCAATTTCCAATAATTTTAAGCTTTTTCCGAGTTCCGACTTTTGAGCCATTTCCGATTTCTGGCAGTTCCTATTTCCGACAACTTTGTCATTTCCGACCGACCCCTGGTCCTACATTGCTCGTGAGAAATAAAAACATTTTTTTGAGCTTCTTTCTTAAAAATATCCGCAAACAAAAAGTCATTTGCATATTTTGGCCAACCCTGTTATTTATTAGTTAAATTTAATTTTTATTTTTTCATCAACTAAAAGGGTACGTAAATTGGCTTTATATCAAACGCTCAATTAATTTACAAACTAGTAGGTTACTTATTAGTAGAGCTTTGATTTTTAAGTACTAAAAAGTTAAAAATATGCGATTTAAGCACTAAAGCCGCCAAGATAGGCAATTTAGATCATTTATTAAAAAATCAATTAATTGAGTAACTTTATAATCGGATCCATTATTTATTTGAGAAGATTTTGGGGTTAAAAGAGACTTTATTTTTTTTTATTTATACGCATTATATCTAGAAATATTTAAAAGAAACCCAAAACAAATACTGTGTATTTTTTCTTGATTAATTTTAGTATAAATCTTTTATCTTTCAAGTTCAAAAGACTTAATCTTGATAAAACTTGTGGATTTAATATATAAAAATGGTATTACGACAAATACGGATACGCAACTGTAGATGCGACTATTCTGGACGACAATTACGGACGGCGATTGTGGGTCAGGGCTGCACGCAATTGAAAAAATTCAGCAACTCGCAATTGCAGAAACCTCCGCATTTTATGCAATTCGCAACTCGAAATTCGCACTTGCGTGCAGCCCTGTTGCGGATAAGCCAAATGCAGATTTAACAATTGCGGATAAAAAAATTTCCTTAAATTATTCAAATGAAATCCTGTTTTTTTAGCCACGGCTGAAAGTTTCCGACTCCTGATTGGTTCTCGAATCCTTTCTAAAACTTTTAAAAAATCTTAAATTTTTTTTTAATTTTATATCCGCAATTGCCGTCCGCAGTTGTCATACAGCCATAAAAATTCTTCAAGGAAAAAAAAAATTCTTCTACAAGGAAAAAAAAATTTTAAAAATTTTTTAGCCTTACTTACGTTATTATTCTATAGGTTTTATTTAAAAATTTGAAAATTTTTTACCGACTAACAATAAGCTTATTGAGCGACGGGTTTTGCTATTGTTTTTTAATCCCCTGTTTAGGTGATGTCTCAGATAAAGCTTTATATGCTTTATATTTAATTTAAAATTTTTAAATTAATAAAATCAATGTATAAATTTTTGACTTCACGTGCCCGCGTGCCCCATCCCCTCCACCCCATCCCCTCCACCCCATCCCTTCCTTACCCATCCCCTCCACCCCATCCCCTCCACCCCATCCCTTCCTTACCCATCCCCTCCACCCCATCCCCTCCACCCCATCCCTTCCTTACCCATCCCCTCCACCCCATCCCCTCCACCCCATCCCTTCCTTACCCATCCCCTCCACCCCATCCCCTCCACCCCATCCCCTCCACCCCATCCCTTCCTTACCCATCCCCTCCACCCCATCCCCTCCACCCCATCCCTTCCTTACCCATCCCCTCCACCCCATCCCCTCCACCCCATCCCTTCCTTACCCATCCCCTCCACCCCATCCCCTCCACCCCATCTCTTCCTTACCCATCCCCTCCACCCCATCCCTTCCTTACCCATCCCCTCCACCCCATCCCCTCCACCCCATCCCCTCCACCCCATCCCTTCCTTACCCATCCCCTCCACCCCATCCCCTCCACCCCATCCCCTCCACCCCATCCCTTCCTTACCCATCCCCTCCACCCCATCCCCTCCACCCCATCCCCTCCACCCCATCCCTTCCTTACCCATCCCCTCCACCCCATCCCTTCCTTACCCATCCCCTCCACCCCATCCCCTCCACCCCATCCCCTCCACCCCATCCCTTCCTTACCCATCCCCTCCACCCCATCCCCTCCACCCCATCTCTTCCTTACCCATCCCCTCCACCCCATCCCTTCCTTACCCATCCCCTCCACCCCATCCCCTCCACCCCATCCCCTCCACCCCATCCCTTCCTTACCCATCCCCTCCACCCCATCCCCTCCACCCCATCCCTTCCTTACCCATCCCCTCCACCCCATCCCCTCCACCCCATCCCTTCCTTACCCATCCCCTCCACCCCATCCCCTCCACCCCATCTCCTCCTTACCCATCTCCTCCTTACCCATCCCCTCCACCTCATCCCCTCCACCCCATCTCCTCCTTACAAAAGCTGTCTTGGCCAAAAATCTTGGACAAAAAAAAGCGTCTTGATACAAAAAATAACATTCAAAAATGTAGAGACACTCTCTTCCTCTCTTCCTATCCCCTATCTCCTCTGCCTCATGACAGGCATGATTTTTTAAGCATAGCATTAAAGCAATATTCCCAAATTATTCTAGCTAATTCCTTCTTCATTTGCTACCTCTCCTTGACTATTCTCTCCCTATATTTTTATTTGTCAACCCGTTTATTCATTTAAATTTTTTTAATTTTAAATAATTTAAAATATTTTGAGGATAATTGCGGAAAAAATATTTATGCAAACTACCATGTTTAGGGTCGGGGTTTAAAAATTTTCTTCTGATTGTGTTGTTGAGTTCCGGTCGAAAAAGTTAGGGTTTCAGGTAGAGTAGCACGAGGTCGATGTTTTTAGAGAAATCCAAGGCTGGGGAATAGAGATTGGTTAGCTGTTAAAATGATAGCATCCTGACAATTTTATAACATTTAGAAAAAAGGAGAAAGGGAAATAAGAGACCGGACCAGAGAGGTACCAGGGCCGTGCGCCAAAATTTTCTATTGGAATGGACGCCAAATGCCAAAAATTTTTAGAATCTTCATACAAAGGCCCGGAATTCATCTCTTTTTAGCTTTCATCTCTTTTTGAATTTTCAAGATTCACAGACCCAGGATTCATCCTTTTTTAGCGCCAACAGCAAAAATTATGAAAATTTGTGAAGATCAATAGTCAGAATAATTTTTTATACAAAATTCAAGAAAAATGGGAAAATCATCGAAAAGGATTTGTAGAGATATCGAGAGGTTTAGAGGTACTGATATTCTCTTGGTCCTCAAAAATTAAAAGGATTTGTTGGGTCTACGCGGATATTAGAGGACCAAATTCTTTCTTTTTAATAAGAGGATTTGAAGGATATTGGGGGCTTATAGGAAAGTCACTAGATTTGGACGTCTATCGGTGGGATCAGGGGATATAAAGGATAACTGGGCACTAAATATCGCAAGCGCAGTATCGATGTAGTGTTATAAAGGCTAATTTGGAATTTTTGGATTGTTTCGAACATGGGCAGTAATTCTGTCCCTGGATATGAAGAGATTCCAAAATTCCTGTCTAAGCTTTTGGAACAAGCTTAATTTACTGCTATAAGAGAATAAACCGTTTAAGAGAATGAAGCTACATTCACATAATAACAGATGAGTCTTGTGCTGTGGGATTTAGTTTATTTTCTTTTAAGATTCTGGCTCTTAGATTTCCAAAATTTTTACAATTTTCACTTGCGGAGCTGATTTAAAAGAACTTGGGGTTTTTCTGAGAATTATCATCAAACACGAAGTTTGCGGACCTGATTATTGCGAACTCAAAATTTGAGGACCGACACGAGTAAAACACCACCTCAAAACAATTTAAAACCCTTTACCCCTGCACACCCGCTCCCGAACTTTTGAGATACAACCCTATTGCGACCTCGAATCGGCTGTACTTTAGTATAGGCCCACCGAGATCGGAACTTGTGGTATATACCATTCGATTCGTCTCGCCGAGCTGAGTTCAAATATGCAAGAATTTTCTGCGGGAGACGAAAACTCGCAGAGATACAGGCCCCCGAAAATTGAAAAACCATAGGGGGGACCAAGCACTTTTTTGGGGTGAAAAATTCGCATATGCAAATGATAGCTCATTCGAAAGAGCTCCTCGAGCTGAGTCGAATGACACCAAAATCAACGAAATCAGACATGATTGGACAAAGTTATGATCTTTTCTTTTAGCTCCTTACCTATGGCATCTGTGGAGATTTTTCTGCTACGGAGGCCCCAAATACGTCCAGAGCAAGGGAGATAGGAATAGGTTTATGTTACGAGCCCAGACCCAGCGCCCGTAGACTCCCCGCAAGGCGCGTGCCGCAAAACCCCGCGCGAAGCGCGGGGTTTTGCACAAGCGCCTCGCCGACGCCCCATAGGTTTAGGTTTTTTTGTTTTTTTTGTGTCATAACTTTGTCTAATCTTGTTCAATCACGGTGATTTTGGTGTCATTCGACTCAGCTCGACGAGCTCTTTCGAATGAGGTATAATTTGTGTAAAAAATTTTTTATTCCAAAAATCGCCCCTTTGGATCTTCGGTTTTTAGGGGCCTATATCTCGGTCCAATCAAGTCGGATTTTGTTGATTTTGGTGTCATTCGACTCAGCTCGAGGAGCCCTTTCGAATGAGCTATCACTCGAAAAATTGAATTTTTCATCCCAAAATTGTGCTTACTCCCCCCTATGGTTTTTCGATTTTCGGGGGCCTGTATCTCTGCGAGTTTTCGTCTCCCGCAGAAAATTCTTGCATATTTGAACTCAGCTCGGCGAGACGAATCGAATGGTATATACCACAAGTTCCGATCTCGGTGGGCCTATACTAAAGCGACCCCCTCGAATCTATTATAAATTGGTTATTTTGTTACGACTGAACTAAACTTTTGGCTCTAATGAGGTTAAAGTTTTTAAATTTAAATAAATTTTATTTAAAAAAAATTTAAAATTTTTCTGTCAATATATCGATTTTGCCTTCCCTCTTGATTTTGCCTTCCCCCCTCTCTTCCTCAGACCTCGTGAGAAAGAGAGAGGACAAGAGGAAGAGAGAGGGCCCTCTCTTTTTTAGAAAGAGAGAGGGCCCAAAAGGTTCATTTAAAGATTAGAGAGGGCCCTCTCTCTTTCTCAGACGTTTTACATAGGCAAGACAATTTTTAATAGGTCCGCACTTCTTTTCCAATACTAATTTGCCATATTTTTAAAATAATCCTCTAATTATTTATTAGATTAAATTTGCAAAACTCCGGGATATACAATAGTACCGTCACAAACAAAAATTATTAGGCCCCCAAAGATGTAAGTAAAGCGAGAATTTACTTCTTATGCTTTGTAGAATTCATATAACTTGTAAAATATCTCATAGAACTTCCAAGACCTTTAATTTTCAAAGACTCAAGACCAAGACTTGACCCTATACTAAGCCCAAATATTAACAGGACTCAAGACAATTTTTGGTTATATGGGCCAAATTTTTGGTTTATTTTTTCGTGCCCTCGAGATAAGAAACTATAATTTCGAGGAATTTATTGAAGATATAATCAAAAATCTGAGAAAAACCTCGTATTTTTCGCCGAAAGCGCCAAAATTTTAAATTTTATTCTAGCGAAGTTCAACTCTGATAATTTTGGTAAAACTTTTATCGAGTCTTTTCGAATCGGACATCATTTTTCCGAGTCAGTTTCTCGGGCCTCCTTTTCATCGAGTCGGACCGTACAAGCTTTTTCGGGCCAAATATCCTATGCCTGAATCATTTTGGCAACCCTATCTCTAATACCTCGTACTTGACGAGGACTAGCAAAATAGAAATTTCCCAGTTTTGTGGATATGATATAATAATCACTGTATATTTTCAGTAAATGTATTATTTTAAATTTATTTACATTTGCTTTTTGTTAATTTTTATCAACATTTCTGTTGGAAGGACTAAAGGAAAAAACAATTTATTATCCCACCGTCGTTGCAAAAGGGGTAATAATTTGCGTGGTTGTTTTGGAGGTGGAAGTAATAGTAGGTCTAATCAACCTTTTAAACAACGTGAAGGAAAGGCACACGTTGAGGAAGGAATTGAAAGTGAAGCTAAAGGAGGAAATACAATGAAAAGGGCTTTATTTGTTTGTCATAACTCTTTCTACTCTCATCTAAAATATAACGTAAATTTATAAATTTTACAATAAAGATCCAAGTTTCATTAAACTGCTGACTTAATTTAATTTTCACAAAAGACGGATTAAATAGATGAAATAGAGATCAACACCAGTGGGATTTGTGTGGCTCAAGCTTCAGCTCCGTCCTTTTTCAAACCCGGAGCTTACCCAGCACTAGTTAAAAGCAGAAATGGGTCAGTTACCCGATACCCGAAACTCGTTATTTTTTCCGACCTGAGGAATTTTCGAAAATCCGACCCGAACCCCGACTTTTCCATGGAACTTTTCACCATAAAAAGAATAAACCTAACTTCTTGGCCTTGCAAAATCGCTGAAAAGGGAAGAAATATGTGTTTACAACTTAAAGTATCGAAGGATTTATATAGAGTGATCTCTTTAGGGAAAATATAAGTAGATAGATATCTTTGATTAGATATTAGGTATATCCCTCTTAATCTCAACTCCCTTGTTATTACTCTCAACCCTACCTGCCTTTTTTCTCAACTTGACCCATCCCTGGTTAATAGTTATTAAAATTATTATTAAAATTAATCTAAATTTATACTTATTAAAATTTAGGAATTTTTGGTCGAGACTTTGACTGAAAAATATATCGTGGTATGCTAATATATTAATTATATTCTCTAATTTCAATCTTGATAACCTTGATTTTTAGACTAGATCCCATTTCGGTACCGCCTCTAGTTTCTACTATTAGTAAGCAAATATAAATTACTGTACTTACTCAAATAATTACCCTGGATTGCTTCAATCTATCTGAACTGGGCTATTAATAGAGGCGGGGTAGTTAATTGAGGTTATTTTAGAAAGACTAATTATGACTATTTTTAAGATATAGTAATTATTTTCAACTAGAGATCGGTCTGGATCCAGACTGGATTTTTCCTGGATCAGAGTCAAGATCCAGGCATTCTTCGATCGTCCTGGATTTTTTGTTCATCTGGATTTTCCTGCAGACCCAGATCAAGATCCAGGTTACTAACCTAAATCCAAATCCAGACTTTTTGAAAACACCTATCTCTATTTTCCACCTATGGTTAGAGGTAGTAATTAATAGGATTGGGGGATTTATGTTAGAGGGGGTAATTATTTAAATAAATATTTACAGGACATGGTTGTCTTCACTAAAAAGAATAAACATGCTATCAATCTAGCTCCGAATCCAAATCTTAAAATTATTGAGATACTAATAGAAGACAATCTTATGCATAGGACTGTAGATTTTTATGTTAGAAATTATACAGGCTAGTTTTTTTCGAAAAAAAATATTCGGGTAATAAAAAAACAATTTTTTTAGATATTTTCAAAAACAAAAATAAGAATACTAATTATATTCGTAAACAAAAATATGCTTTTGGAATTGCTGAGTTTAGTGAAATGGCTGGAGCTTTTGCATTGTTTGAAGCTTTGGGAATTGAAAATACTTTTAGTGCTAATATTTCTATTTTCCTCCCAATGCATTTCCAATTTCTTGATTTTGATATTATAAAACATATTAAAAAAGGAAATATTATTCCAGGTTAAATAAAAAAAATTTTTTTAAATGAAATTTGATTTGATCGAAATTCCAATACATTTAATTTCAATTATATTTTGCCCTACAGGATTGCCGTTTTCGGGGTGCCGGAATTTTGGTCACCGGAATTTTGGTCACCAAGGATTTTCGGAACTTTGGTCACCAACTTTTTTGGAATTTTGGTCACCAGCGGAATTTTGGTCACCAAGTCAAAAAACGGAATATTGGACACTGAAATTTTGGTCACCAAACGGAAAAAAATAATCTTATCTAAAACTGGTATCAAAGTGATAAAAAATGATTTTTCAACCCCCAGTTGATCAATTTCAATGTTGATAACTCTCATGGCTGATCACTCCCTCAGTTGATCACTCTCGATCACTCTTCCGGATGATTGATTAACTGGCAGAGTGATCAACATTGAAATTGATCAACTGGGGGTTGAAAAATCATTTTTTATCACTTTGATACCAGTTTTAGATAAGATTATTTTTTTCCGTTTGGTGACCAAAATTTCAGTGTCCAATATTCCGTTTTTTGACTTGGTGACCAAAATTCCGCTGGTGACCAAAATTCCAAAAAAGTTGGTGACCAAAGTTCCGAAAATCCTTGGTGACCAAAATTCCGTACACCCGTTTTCGAGCCGTGCCGACGTTCGAGTCTTTTTCGGGCCTCATTTTTATCAAACCGGGCCGATCGAGTCATTTTTCGGGCCAAAATTCGCAGCCCGGTTCGATCTTTCAAACCGAACCGGGCAGGCTTTGGACCTTAAGCTTTCTTAAGCTTTGGACCATATTAGGACAACATAATGAAAAATTTATAGGATGTTTCTAACATTAGATAAGATTTACAAACATTCCAACAAATCACTTAACAAAATACCACGTGTTAATTTAATGTTACTTAAATATTATTAATTTAAGAATTTGATTCTGCAAAACCTGGAGACTGGATAGAGGAAGGAGGTATTAGTTATTTCAACCCTGAAAGGTTTGGGGAAAATTTAGAAGCTTACAAAAAAGGAATTAATTATGATAGAATTTATTATGAAAATACAAGTAGAGCTTTAACTGGAGCAATGAAAAGAGAAAATAATGACCAATTTTTAAAAGATTTATTTGGAAAAATTAAATATCATTTTGTTAATCAAAATAAATTTGCAAATTTTGAAGCTTTTCCAAAACCTTCAAATATTATTTATATTGGGGGTATTCTTGTTGAAGGAAATGAAAATATAAGAACTGCTAAAAATTATGTATGAATTATTAAATCTTTGTCTTGTAAAGCTTGAAGGTTTAATCCCTGAGAAATAGGCAAAACTCCGCCTAGAGAGAAGGTGCATTTAATCAGAAGGAAATTAAGGAAAAGCAGCTTACCGTATTTACCCGAATAATTCCCTCCTTTGCATAATTCCTCCTGTTACGGATGAGCTGAAACAATCTGCCTCCACAAATACCCTACTACACGCTCAAATTTCAAAACTAGAATAATTCCCCATGTCACGGATGGGTTGAAAAAATATTTCCCCACGTGAATTAATCGAGTAAATACGGTAGTTGGCTATCATTCCAACTTAGAATTCTCTATTAATCAATGGCCTAGTGTTCGATCGGCTTTAAGCCTGATCAAGTGGTGTACCAACACATTCACTTCGCCCACTTGCGTTCCTCTGGGAAATCTATCTATTGCATGCATCACCATCAGAAATGGGTCGGAATTACGATTTTCCGACGTTTTTTCCTTCTAATTTCCGAAAAAATATTGATTTCCGACTTTTTGCCAGTTCCGAGTTCCGGCTCTCCCGATTTCCGACACTACTGACTGTTTCGACCCACCTCTGATCACCATCAACATCTTCTCTCTTAATTAGGGTTGGCCCGTTTAATTAAATAATTAACTGTATCTAATTTTGTGATATACTACTCTTTATTTCAGTGGGAGTTTTTATTTTAAAATTTTTCCTAGCTGCTAAATAGGGGCAAAAGATCCAAACTTATGGCCATCCAAAATCAAAGCGTATTTTTTAAATTACACTACCCTCAATATTTAAGGGTGAATTACCTTTGGTGCTTGTCTCATTTGGAACTGTTAAACAAGGTGGAATAGTATCTGTTACGGATATTCAAATTATAGTGGATGTTTTTCGTAATTATCGGAATTCTTATTATTTTAAAATTAGAACAGGCGAGGAATGTGCGCCAGCAATAAAGGATAACATAGAAATAACCAATGATTTTCTTCCACAACAAGAAATATTATGTAATTTAATTATTTATATGTATAGTTCGAACATTTCACGTTTACGGGCCAAGGGATATGTGCAAGAGAGGGGTAGGGGATCATTGTGTACCGGCCGTTTGTGTATCTGGCCATATTTTGGGCCATAACTTTTTCAATTCTTAATTGATTTAAATAAATAATATATCAATTGAAAGCCCTGGATGTAGGATTATTTTCGCCAACAGGATTGATTTGATCAGATAATCATACAAAAAGTTACAAACAGATAAAGATCAAAATCACGATTGAGCGCATTTATCGAGATATAACTTTTTATAACATGATCTGATCAAATCAATCCTGTTGGCGAAAATAATCCTCACATCCAGGGCTTTCGATTGATATAATAATAATTGAAGTCGGTTAAGAATCAAAAAAGTTATGGCCCAAAATATGGCCAGGTACACAAACGGCCGGTACACAAGTGGGACGTTCCGCAAGAGAGACCAACTCAAAAAACACAAGGCCAAAATTTAACGCAAAAATTTTACACATAAATTTTGTGTTGGCCATTTTCCCATCATTTCTCAGTATATTGTGATGTAAGATTACTAACTGTACGAATCATGTATCAATTTTATGATATAAGATTTTGGATGGAAGTGATTTGGAGGGATATCGTGGATATCGCTCCCGGGGATTTGGAGAGTGGACAATTCGGGAGTGGACATTTAGGGAGTAATTTGGAGGGAGCTCAGTGAGTTGGGGAGATGTCGGAGGATTAAGATAGCAATGAATTTGAAGAGATAATGGGGAGATCAGAGAATTTAGAGGGATACGAAGAGGGCTATACATCCGGGACCGATGTTTTTATGAGCTGGCCCATAATTAAGGAATATTTGTATTTATAAGTAGATAAGGGTTTCCTCCTTTTAGCTTTTCTTTTTTCAAGAAGGAGCTCATAGCTTAATTTTAAGATTATCATATGTATTAAATTAATTTTTATATTTTAGTTCATCCAAATACGAGATTGTTTATTTCCCATTGTGGACAAAATAGTCTAACTGAGGTACCTAAATTAAAAATTACGACCGAATTTTATTTTATTTTTTTTCCGGATTAATCATTTTTTAAAGTTAAATTCAAAATTAATTCTACAAAAATTAAAATTTTAAAGGCAATATATGCAGGTGTTCCTTTAATTTGTATTCCTTCTGGCGGTGATCAATTCTACAATTCTTCTCTCGTCGAATATTTGGGTATTGGAAAATATGTACTTTTAACATTTAAAGACGAGAGGGGCAATAATCAAAAGAATGAAAATTTTCAAAATGATTTTCAGAATGCTTTGAATGAAATGCTAAACAATTTGTTAGTGACATTTTAAAATTTTCCCATCGGATTCTATTAGGTGCGGACATAATTAGTGGCCGTTTTTTAATTTGGTTTTTTAGAATTAATTTCCTTAAAAATATTTTTTATTTTTATGCCGAATCATTTGTCAGTGTATTTTCTAAAGGACTTTATATTCTTACAGACTTTATATTTCGGATTTAGTATAAGCCCTCCATGGGATTTAAAAAACCGTTTAGATCATCCTGATCGGATGATTTTACGCTGAGTTATAAGAAACAACTTTTTGGGGGAGTGTCATGTCGTTTTCCCATCAGTGCAAAAGAGCGTACACGCGGCAGTTGATTTGCCTTCCTCAAGCGCAGCCCGCGTTTTTTTAGTCACGCGTGAACATACGTATAGAGCAGATATCCCTCTATAATTCAGCAGTAGAAATAAGCGGATTCCATCTAAGCCGGCCGAGCAGGACCGTTTTCTTCATGACGGCCGTCTCCCTCGACCATGTTTGCATTTGAGAGTGGTACGGCCTTATTCATAAAGCCTGAACCCTATTTTTTGCTGTCTATCATAGACAACGACCTCATTGACTAGATTATTAAGATTATTTGATTCTTTTGTTGCATTTTTGGTAATTTAAAATTTTTGGTGTAAATGCTTGTGAATTTCACTACGAGGTAGTGAAGTACAAAAAATCATAACTTTAAGAATATAAACCGTATATGGCTGAACCTGGTATTAAAATAAAGAGTAGATTCGGATCTTTATGTCGATTAATAAAAAGAACGAATATTTGTAAAATAACACCCCTAAAATTTTAATCTAAAAAAACGGCCACTAATTATGTCCGCACCTAATATTTGGACAGTGTTATATAACGGCTCCGGATGTCCGTTGCCATCGGGCACTGAGTCGGGTCCGTCCCTAGAGGGAGGACCCGACGTGTCCTAAAAACACTTTAAACGTCCACTCGAACGTTAAATTCCCTTTCCAACCTAAAATATTTTTAAACGAATAATCCCAGAACATTATCGTGTGTACAAGTAATCTGACAATAAAATTATTCAATTATTTTTTTTTAAAAAAAATATTTTTTTTATATTTTAGTGATAAATATTTCTACGAAATACATCAACTTAGAATGAAGATTTTGAATGACTATAACAATGTCGGAGCTAAGAAAACTTTTTTAGATACAATTTCAAAAGTTATTGGAGATTGATTTGATGAAAAAGAAATAGGGGATCTCTGATGGTCGGCACAACAGTTCCCCGTTGTTGGATAGCGTAAATTCTGGGAGTTGTACCTTGGCTGCAGGGTACACTTTATTAATATCCCGCCCTCCGCCCCTATTTGACTTTCAGATTAATTTTCCTTTTTTTTATTTTCCTTCAAACATTACAAGTAATAGCCAAGTATTAGAAAGGAGAAAATAGTCGGCAAACGAAAAAATCAGCCTAACGGCAAAATTTAACATTTATAAAGAAGGAAATTTGGGCATACCGGAAATTTGACCATTCCGAGGTAGGAAAAATAATCGGAGTCAAATAGGAGTGGGGGCGGGATATTAATAAAGTAGCGGCTGCGGTACCTTTAGGCGTACCCACATTTGCATTACTCTTTATTATTTTTACTTTTTCGATAAAACTTTTAAAGAAATTTCCTTTATTTTTCAAATTTTTAAAAAAAGCCTTGATTTCGATAAAACTTATATGTATAATTTTTAAAAAAATGAATTTATTTTATTCAGGTAATTTAGGTAATTTTTCTAAAACTTTATCTATCATTTCAATTAATTTTTGTTCCGGGGATATTCTAGCTTTTGTATAACTTGTATATAATGCAAGCCTATTTAATGCTAATTTTCTTGTTCTATAAATTGTTGACAAAAAATGTTCTGCATGGAAAGGGGAAAGCATTATTAAACGTGCCAATGAAGTTGTTATATTTAACATTAAAATAATAAATTCTTCATTGATAATATTTGAGATTAAAGTGTCCAATAAATCAGATATTAGAGTTAAGGCAGCAAATGCCGATGGAATTTTGTACTTTAAATTTATTAAAATACATATTTAAGGAATTTAAGGAAATTTTGTAGAAACGTTAGGAGGGGATTGTGACGTTAAGGTGCAACAGTCTTTCTTGTAATAGGGAGAGCATTTTTTCGGGCTTGCTTTTTATCGAGTCGGGCCGGTCGGGTCACTTTCGGGACAAATTATCTTAGACCCGACTCGATCTTTCGGTGAGTCTGTCTATTTTGGCAACCCTGATTATGGACATTTGCGGAAAATGCTCGGAACCTGGTGAATAAAAAATCGATGTTAATTGCAATAGTGACCTAGTGACCGCCTTTTAATTAATTTAGTGAAAATATGGCCTCCTAGAAAAAAAAATCCTGAAACGATAGAGCTTCACTCATTTAACCTCCCTTAATAACCCATAATTTTAAAAAACAAAAAAATATTCACATTTTCCAACAATTCAGTCATCAAAACAATAGTAAAAATACGTCTTTCCAAATTTCCTCCAGTAAGAAGTTCATTTATAGAATTAATTAAAACATGGGTTGAAGGAACTTTTTTGACTATAACTGGTATTAACCTCAACGGGTACATCTACAAAAAAATAAAAAAAAATTTTTTGTTAATAACCCCATCCAAAAACTTACATTAAAATGGACTAATTTGGGTAAATGAGTATCTGCTATAAAAAATTGATGTATTTGTGAACATAAAATTTGTTGAATTTCTTCCAAGTTAGGTATATTTTTGGGGTCCCCATCACACAATTCAATAAATACTTGAACAACAGCTAAACGCTGTGTTCCAATAAATGAACGAAGTAATTCTTCTTTTTCTGCCATTTCACTAAAAAAATTTTTTAATTTTTAAATTAATAGGAATTTTATTTTAAAGAAATAAGCAATTTTAGTTTGAAGTTTTAAGGTCTTTAAAAAAAATCTCAAGATTAGGGTTGTCGGTTCTGGACCGAACCGAAGAAACGTAGGATTTTTCGGTTCAGTTCTTCGGTTCGGTTTCGGATATCCGAAAGACTTTCCAGGAACCGACAACCCTACTCAAGCTAGATATTGGTGTTAGGTCGATTTTTAAAGACACTATTTTTAGAAATTTGTTCTGAAAAATATTTAACTAGAAAGTAGGAACAATTCCAGGATTTTATAAAATGATGGAAACAGAAAAATTTATTTTTTAGGAACAGCTAGAGAGCATTGTTGTGGACAACAAACACTCCCTAATAAATAAAAAAATTTCCCCATTTAATAAAATTGATATTTTTCTTTGTTAATGGACATGTAAAATATTAAAAAAAATTTTTTTAACCTTTTCGTATTATAAGCAATTGCCCTTGTTAATTTAAGATAATTTGCATCTCTACTTGCAGCCAAATAAAAAGATAATAAACGGCAAAAACATTTTAAATGTGGTGGACTTTTAAAAACACGAGAGTCTGCTCTGAATAAAATTAATGGAGTATGCGATATAATAAAATCGTTGTCCCGATCATCTAAATTTGGAATTTGTGAAGCTTGAGGAGATTTGAGCCATAAACGGATTGTGTCTTCGTGTAGACGGCGAGGGAGTACGCTTTAATAAAAAAATATTCTTCAAAAAAGATTTATTAAAAAAAAAATTTTTTTTCGGACAAAATGATTAAATGAACTAATTCTCGGGGCTCTGATCTCAAAATTAAATAGTAAGGAAAATTGACCATTACGAGATGGTCTTAGGAATTAAGGAGAAATATGATCCGAGCACTCCTTTCATAGAGTCGAAATTTTGATTGGACTAATAAAACATCATTGACTCATAAAATGTCATTGGACCAGACCAGAGCCACTCTCGGTTGGAGTATATATCCAGGACCAAAAAAATAAAAAAAATAAAACCTATCAAAACGTTCCCACAAAAGTGCCAATTTTTCTACCAATGCACGTGGCCAACGCTCTTCATCCAACGATACAGTCATCGCTTGCAAAATATTTTCAAAATGAGGCATTTGTGACTGAATTGGCAGATTAAACAATAAATCAGTTAATTTTGAAAGTTTAAAGAATCCACGTCCGTTGGTTGCATCTTCCAAGGCAAAACCGAATTCAGAAACGGGGACGATACTTCTCTTTCCACGAGTAAAAATATGTGAAGTTAGGCTATAAAATAAATACTTTAAAGTTCAAAAAAAGAAAAATAAACCCTTTAAACGAGTCAAAATGCATTTGCTCTGGAAGAAGATGAGGGAGGCTTAATACCTGAAAATTAAAAAAAAATTATTTAATTAATCAATGAATTTTTAAAAATGTTTATATATCCAAGTCATTAATTGGATTTAAAAATCGGAACGAGACAACAAAGCCCAAAACAAAAATCTCGGTTATCCAAGGCAATATTTTTCGAAATCTCCCAACCGACCTTTCCAGTTCGGTCTCTAATTGAATCCCATGGGATTCTAAATCACTCTTATTTAAAAAATAGTTTAGTAAAAAAAGTAAGTCAAGCCCATTAAAAATTTAAGTCTGGATTAGATACCGGACTGGGAGTGTCGTATGAAAATCGAAATCACAAAAAATTCGATAAACGAATTTATCTTGATAAATCTCGATCGAAATCTCGAAAAATCTTGTCGTACGAGAATAAACGAAATTTTAAATCTAGATCTCGTCTCGGTCCGGTCTCTAGTTTGAATATTTCGAAAATAGAGGAAAATGTTTTCAAAAGGTTTCCCTTTTACTAAACCAAAAATAAAATTTAAATTTTAACCAAATATCTCTGTAACATCAGTCTAATGTGTTGAAAGTCTGAATGTCTCATATCTGCCACAATTAACAAATAACGAATTGGAATAGATTTCCATAATGATTGACTATAAGCTTTAGGTGTTTTAATTGTCCCTCCTTCCTTATTTGAAGACGAATCCAATTTGAAAGTAAAAGCAATAAGAAAAGCGAGTGAAAGTATTCGAATAACAAGTTTGGAATCATCAAAAATTTCTCCAGAAAATATTTCCTTTAAAAAATTTTTTGTGAAATTTTGAAAATAATTATTTAATTTACCTGGAAAAATTGTTCATCAATTGATTGATTAAAATGAGGATATGTTTCTGATGGAATACAACTACTCGCAAAATTTTCTAGTAAATGTGGCACTATTGGATGTATAGGTGTATGACATTCAAGCATTTGTGTTTTGACCCATTCCTGAATTTTAATTTAAAAAATGATAAAACGAAGAAGATGATGATAAGCGAAAAAACACGGATTTGGGCCGATACTCCGGAAAAATCCGGTCGGCTATGGCTTGGGGTGTAGGGGGGAATTCTCCGCCCCCCCCCCTCCCCGAAATGGGGAAAAGGAAAAAAATTTGGGGAAGGGATTAGGAAAAAATTGAGCAAAAATGAAAGGATTGAGCAAAATCCTGGCTACGGGCCTGCTGGAGTTGCAGACACTTTAATTCAGTAAAGAATACAAAAAAATTATGTCGATCTCTAAATACCAATTCAAAAAAATCGCAAAGTTTTGTGCTCGTTTGTAGGGATAATAAGGTTAAGGAAGAAACCCCCAAACCTAGTCATTTTAATTTTTAAAATTCTAGAAGTTACATTTATTGAGGTACTATATTTCGAAAAAGAACGCCAATGTAGCATCGCACAAATACAATGTACAGGCAAGTATCCAGACATTGTTGCATTCAAACGTTTTGTTATGTTTATATTAGCTGCTTTTTGTGCAACATCTTGTTGATTTATTGCGTTTGCAATATAAAGTTCTTTGACAAAAGGTTGTTTTGAGAGAGTTTTTGGGACCTTAAAAAAATTTTTTTGAAAACCTTTCTATGTTCGAAAATTCTTTACCTTATGTCCAAGTATATTAGAGAGCAATATTGACAAATCTTCAGCATTATCAGTAACCAAATGTACATAAATAAGAATCATTACATTGCTGAGAGGAGCATATTCAGGCTTTTGAATGAGTGAATGGAGGTAAGAGAAGAACGAACTCAGACTTTTTCCAATTTTTTCATCACGGAAAGACACTTGGTCCCTGAAATATTGTAAAGATATAGAAGAGATAAATCCTTACAGCATTAAATTTGGAGATGCCAAAATTGTGGCTAGCGCAATTTTGAGCGACACATCATCTGTGTTTGTTTTATTAGCCAAAAATGAGACCCATTGACGGCTTTCATCATTTGAAATACGCAAAGATGAACATGAAGCGATTAATGAAACAAGTAAAACAACTCGACTTTCTAATTTGCGATCTTCATCTTTTCTGAAAATTAGAAATAATATTTATTGGACATCCACAAAAAGGGAATGGGGTTGCAAGGAAGTCGTTATCGGATTCACTACTTGTCGAATCCCTTCTCGAAAACCCCAAAAAATCCATTCCTTATAGGGTTGGGGTTTTCGAGTCGGGCCGACGTTCGAGTCATTTTTATCGGGCCCGCTCGGCCGAGTCTTTTTCGGGTCATAATTCAATGCCCGACTCGATCTTTCGGACAGGGCCGGATTGGGCCCCCAACCCTAATTCCTTGAAAAAACTATAACCTGCATTTCTCCATAATTGAACTTATCCGTTGACATACTGCTCGCATCGATGGTTTGTTTGCAGTTTTTGAAACAAACGACACAAATTCAGAATTATTTCTATTTGAGAATTGTGCAATCAATAAATCAACGAAAAAATGGTCTCCTGTAGCATTTGAACAAATTAATTGAACTGTTCCTTTTACATCCTTTGCAGATTCAAGTTGTAAACAAATTGAACGTTGAGAAGTTGAGGGTTCAATTTGAAAGATCTAAAAAAAATTTAAATTCTGGAATTTTTTCCTGTGAATTGTCAGTGTTTTCTGTCTGATTATGAGCGTCTGCGTCCCCACAAAGTGTGGATCTTTTTGTGAAGAACTTTTTACAGATCAAGGAACCCAAATTATTTTAGAAAATCCCATTCATAAAAGACTAATTGATTAAACTAGGGTAGCTCCCCGAACATTCGGGGTCAGAAGTGCCAGAGATCGGGGTTTGCCGGGATAGGGCCATCGGGTCGGGGTTCTGCCAAAAATGTTGTGTTCGCACTTGCAGAAGGAATATAAACGAAAAATAACCCATCATTGGGTTGGATGGTATCCAATGAGTTTTTCCACAGCATGCCTACACGTATGCAATAAAAAACCGCCGGACCGAGTAGCTGCCCTAGATAAAACAATAAATTTTGTATAATCAAACCTTAAACAAGGTAGAAATATCTTTGTCCTCAACAGCAGGTTTCTCTGTCAATAATTGCTTCAATTTCTCTTCCATTAGAAATATTATTTAAAAATTAACACCTAAAATCAAATTGAAAATTTTAAATAATTGAAAAAAAATAAAATGAGAAAGATACAATCTCCTAAATAAAACATTTAATAAAAAAATATATCCATTTCATAAACAAAAATTTTTTAAAATAACAACAAATTCAATCATCGGATAAAGCAGTCTTTTTTTCTTCTTTTAACAATATTTTATGGGAACCATCACAGAAAGGCCTATTTTTTGTTTGTTTACAATTACATAACCATACTTCCAAATCTCTATCTTAAAAAAAAGAAAAAATATTTCTTAATTTAATAGAAAACTTAACCTGGAATAAAACGCACAGGTTTAAGTTTAATAGCCCATTTGGGCAAATAAACGGTTAAATGAGTACCGTCACAAAGTGGTTGACTTCCAGAATAACCACAACTGCACCAAGTATAGACCTAAAAGAGAAGTGAATTTTCAACATAAAATAACACGTTGATTTAAGCATATGTTTAAAATTTTGTTTATGCAACTTTAATAAGTATTCGTTACATTTCCCACACCAAAACCGGTTAATATAAAAGTTAACCTAAATTTCTCACGGTCAACAACAGCCGCTAAATTGAACCGAAGTCATGAGGTAGAAGGCAATCTTAACCCTATTTCTCTAATTATCAAGACGACTGACCAAGAATTACTGTAAATGCTCTAATAGAAGCACATGTGCTTCTATTTTTCGATTCCCTCGTAGGGTGTGCTTATATTAGTGTGCTTCAAGTAGAGAGTGTGGTTCTATTAAAGCATTTACGGTAATTTAGTATAATAACCAAAAAATGTCCGGAAGAAATTGAACAAACCTTATCTTTCTTCAATAATGCCTTTGTAGGTAACTTTGAATGAACTTTTCCAAATCCCGGCAAAAGATGATTTGTTCCTTGAAGGCCATAAGGCATTTCTGGCTTTTTATCGTGAATCTAAAGAATTTATTTAATTAAGTTTTCAAACTCAAAACAATACATGATGGTATTTCAATACAGAAGGCTCAGTTCCGACAAAGTGCACGCCTACTCTATGCATCCGGTAAGGCCCAAAACCTGTTTTTGAACATTTTAAAGATGAAAGGAACAGACAAAGAGGATCGGACAAACGCATCAAAAAATTTTAAAAAATTAAAAAATATTCAAAGAAAATTAAAGATAACACAAAATGCCTTTAAATAGAGATTTAAAACAAAAAAAATCAATTAAAAAGTCAACTCAAAATTTTATTTTTTAAATTTTCACAAACAAATTATATCGCTAAAATCCTAGAAAATTAAATTCTTCTCATCCTATCAACTTTTCTTCTAAAGAGCAAACAAAATAAGAAAGCCCATAGTCAAGCAAAAAAGCCCCATAGCTTCGGACAATGCAAAACCGAGAATTGCATAGGAGAAGAGTTGCTGCTTCAAAGAAGGATTGCGAGCGAAACCAATGAGCTAAAAATAGTTAAGCTGATTTTGGTAATAGTTCGGTTCGTATACCCCCCACCCTCCCCCTTTTTCCTTCTTAAAAGCAGACCTGCCCATGGATACGGATAAAGATAATATCAAAATGCCTGCGGATATCCGCCTGTATCCGCCGTAAATATGCGGATACCAAGATCAGTATCCGTGACCAGGTCTGCTTAAGAGCTGTGTCGAATGACGTCATAATCATCCCCCGGTCTTAACTTCGGGCCGAGATACCTAAAAGATTTCCGAAAAGTGATAAACTAAGGAAGGGGCTATATCCTAGGACTGACCATTTTTTAATACTTTTAGGAAGGAAAAAGGGTGGGGTATACGAACCGAACCGATTACCCTTATTTTTTAAAAAAATATGGAAAAAATACCAAAGATCCAAAAACGTTTCCAATACCAGCACCGGAACCAGCGACTCCAGCAGTTGCCGCTCCTTGAATTTTGGGAAGATTTTAAGCCTAAACTCTCAAAGAAACCTGCTCCAATATATTTCGCAGCACTGTCAATATCCTTTCGAATGGCACTTGTACTAAACATCATTGCCTGGTTTGGATTAAAGATTGCTTGAACAGGAAAACCCCCAAAAACTTGACGGAGATTTGATGAACGAGCAATAATAGCAACTTGTCGAGAAGCGAGAGGAGCGAACATTTTTGTTTCGATAAATTTAAATTAAAATATTTAACTAAAAGAAGCTTAATTTGGTAAATAAAAAAATGAAATAATTAATTAAACCTCCAAAAGTCTCAATAAAAAATAGAAAATTTTTCTAGTTTCCAGAAAGTTAGCCACTTCTATATTGGCCGGTTCAAAGTAAAACCATAACTTTCTTAGGAGTACAGCCCAAGTAGGCGCGCGGCCATAACGGCGCAAAGCTATAACTTGCTTCAAGATCTCCGAATCTTACCAAATTTAGTATTAAACGATTCCTCTCATCGAACTAAAGTGATTGGTAACAAAATTGATAAGGGCCAGAAATTTTCCTGTAAGTTATGGCTTTGCGCCTTTATAGCCGCGCGCCTATTTGGGCTGTCCCCTTTCTTAGTTTTCGCCTGATTTTCTCGTATCATTCGAAAGGTCTCGAGATTCGGCATCTTTTTCATAATTAGACCGATGTGACAATGAGTAGAAGATATTCTATAAAGGATGCAGTACTGCTACGATGAATTGGACAACCCTGAATCGTCCCAATAAATAAACAAAACGCCAAAAATGATGCCAAAAGGTTGAAAAGTCAAAAGAGAATATTTGTTAATTACTGTAAACTGAGAGAAATAAAATTTCTGAACGGAGAGAAATTAAATTTCTGAGACTTGAACAATATTTTAAACAACATTGACAATTTACCTTTATGTTACTTTGGAATTTCTTTTGGTTTTCCTTGTTGTTGATCTTTTGGGTGTTGATCAATGTCGGTTACTCTTCCATCGATTGTCTTCGCTGGCTGTGCTGCCTTGGGAAAATACACAAGTAGTGGGAATGGGAAAGCGACTACGCTGTGAACGATTTTTGGTTGGTTGGGGATAGTGAAGGATTGGGGCCGGGAAATGCTTTTTAATAGAAAATTGGGGGGGGGGGTATGCTGGCTGACGACGATTTTTCTTCTTTTCTTTCTTCCTTTTATTTTTTCATCCATAGCGACGGAGCGGCCGTACAGCTTTTTACGCTCCCATACCCCAAACCTTCCAGCAGCTCTCTTGTTAAGTAAACTGCTTTCGTCGCTGTCGACGCGATGTCGACGCCATTTGCCCGACTTGAAACGTCACCAATGAGCACCGTCCCGCCCAGGGCCGTCTTTCGTTCATAACTGAGAGAGAAAACTAACCAACAAACATCGACCCCCAAACATAGCAAAATGAATTGCTCTTCTACTATTTTTTCCTTTAAACGAAAACGTCAACAGACCTGAGAATGAGAGCAGCCGGCTTGAGACAGCCAGTCAATCCAATGTCTTTTTTAAGTAAATGGACATTTTTTCACGATTGTTTGCTCTGCAGTAGAAGGAAATCATGACAGGATTTTTTTTCTGATTTTTCTAGCTTTCCTACTTCACAACGGCTATTTTTGTTTTCCCCCTCTTTCTGGTAAAAATACTTCCAAAAAATTATTTTTGATTTTTTATTTGGTGATCTTCTGGGTTTACCCTTCAGTTTATTGACATTTTTTTATTTGACAAATTGACATATAGACACACGTATTTATATTTTTGAATTTGTCTATCCCTTATAAATTTACGTAAAAAGAAAAAAATTTTTTTTCTCGCACTCTCCATAATTATCGCCACTTCCGCTACTACTTAAATTTTTTTTATTAATTTATTTTAATTGAAAAAAAATTTTTTTTAATTTTTTTGTTGTGTCCGCACTTGCAGAAAGAACATAGGTAAATGAAAATAAATAACCCATCATCAAGTTGGATGGTGGCACAATTGGTTGTGCTTCGGTTTGGACTAGAGCTTCGCCGGAAGTTTTTGACATTTCCGCTACTAGTATTAGGGAGTGCCCTTTACCGTTCCGGTCCTTCAGTTTCTTTCGGTTCCGGCGAAGCACTAGTTTGGGCCTTTTTGTGATGGTTCTATTCCATCTCCCATCCATTTTATCTATTCCATCTCCCATCCCCTCCTCTCTACTTTTTAATGTTTTTCAAAAATTTCCTCTCTTGAATATCGTTTAGAATTTTTAGCATTTAATGTTTTTTCTGCTAAATTTTTTTTCCTTCTCATTTAGTAATTCACCTTAACATTTTTTAACATTCAACATCCCTTATTTCATACTTTTTTTTCTTCGCGGACATAACCATATTTTTTATTATTTTTTTTTCTTTTTAGCCTCGTATTAAAGCTAGTCCCCTACATAGTCCCCTTCTATCCCCCATCTCTTTTTATGGTGATAAATAGTTGAGGAAGAGTCGGAGGGGAAACAAAAAATACAACAAACGGATAGAAAAATGGGGGGAAGGGAGGGGAGGATTTCTATAAAGGTTGGGGGGGGGGGGGGGAATGTGTACTCTAACATATTCCCCCCACTTTTTATTTTTTTCTTCAGAGGCTTTTTTTCGATGTAGGGGCAAAATATGAGAAGAATCGTTTTCGTCATTTTTAATGTTATCCTTTCCCTTCCCTCTTCATTCCTTTTTTCTATTAAAATAAATCCGATTTAATATATTCTTCTATTGTTTGAAAGATTTCCTTTTTTACAGTCAGATTTGGCCTTATAATTTTTATTGAGTCATAAAAGAATTTTCAGATCATTTGTTTTTTAGTTACCCTGTTGTTTTTCTTTTACTTTTTTTTCTGCAAAATTAACTACAAAATTTTACGTGGTATTTTACCTATTGAGAAGGTCCTTTTCTATTAGGGAGTGCCCTCCCTTTCTGTTGGAGAGTGCCTTTCTATTAGAAAGTACTCTTGTTTTATTATACCTTTCTATTAGAGAGTATTCTCCTTTTTGCCACTCTTTTTTTAATGCCACTCTTTTAGGGTATCCCATTATTATTTTTTTAATTTTTCATTCTTTGACCCTAAGAATGGATTTTATCTCTATTTGACTCTTAACGTTTATATTAGAGACCGGAACAGGGGTATCGTACGAGAATCGTTTGAGATATCTTTTGCTTGAAGTCTCGTCTCGATCCGGTCTCTAGTTTATATACAGGTCGTTTTGGTGCTTATCTACTTTATCTTGATTTGATTTACTGTATCTCTCATTTGTCTATTTTTTATATTGCTTACCTATTTTACTCTCCTTTTTACGTTTTTTAAAAAAAATTTTATTTTTTCTCCAATTGTTTTTTTTATTTTTTTTTTCAGAAAATTAAAAATAAAAGAAAAGGCAAAAATAAATGCCTCGCAACGCCTTCTAAAAAAATAATATTTTTTTGCAAAGCCTATGGACAGCTAATCGACTTACTCAACAAATAAACATTACTTAAGGGAACGAGAACACAATAGAAAAGAGAAGTTGGCATTTAGCCCGGAAAGAACACAAAAAAGAATAAAAATACAAAACACTTTTTTTCTGAAAAGCGACCATTTGTGGAAAAAAGGTGTGAGATAAATAGCAGATATAAAAATATATACCTAATTTTAAGTCAAATATTTAAGGTTTTTTGGGCGTAGGCATGTTTGGGCGCTGCAGAAAAAATTGGGTCAAATAGTAGCCCTAGAAGCTTGAAATTTTCTTTCGGAATTTTATTTCAGAATTTCTTTTTTTTCAAAATTAAAACCAAAAATTTCAGAATTTTTCGTTTCATATTAAAGGGATTTTGCTAAAAAATTTGTTTAATTATTCAAATAAACACCGTCTTAACACACCGTATCTTACCTTGATTCTCTTATAAATTTTTCTCCTAAAGACCAAAAATTCTGAAATTTTCAGAAGAGTTAGAAAGCTCTATTCAAAAAAATCTGAGCGAGATTTATTATTTCAGGTGCCATCTTTTAGGTGATAATTACGCGCGCGCCCAAACATGTCTGCGCCCAAACAATACCAACCCTTAATATTAGCATATCAAACCGTTAAAAATAACATTTAACTTTAACTTAAGCATTGACAACGAGTGCAAAAAGGAGGTGGCAACGGCTATAAAATAATTATAAAATAATATACATATAATCTCCACCTACACATTGCTGCGCGGTCTCTACCGAAAAAGTGGCTGTGTGTACCCCCAACAACATTAAAAAGCTAATTCCTTCTCAAACAACGCTTTTTTTGCCAATCTCTTCATTCCCGTTCTCACGTCTTTTTTAAACACACTCTCGTTCACTCATTTTTCATCATAAAAAAATTTTTTTTGCGGCATCTTCTTTCCTCTTTAACCAACATTTAAACACATTTCCGTGCCTTTATCTGACAACATTAAGGCAGTTTGGACAATCTATTTACAAACAACTCTATAAATTATCGAGTTTAGGTGTTCTCGACAGTTTTGGCCCCTTCATTGAGCAAAACGACAAAAAAATTATAAAAGCCTCAACAACAACAAAAAAATTTTTGCCACATTCCACTGCGCATTTTCTACATAATATAATATATTCTATTTATTCTCTCTTCTTAAATAAAATATTTTCTTCTACTTTGTGTGTTAGCTGTTTATATCTCTCAAAGCAACGCATTATTTAAATAACAGCAGCAATCTTGTAAACTTCTCTTTTTTTTGTCATCAGCTCTAAAAAGCTTCAGTAGAAAGACCAAAGTTTATTCAGTCCAGCTTTGTTTCTCTTTTTCTTTTGTTGACGAAAAAAAAATAAAGAAGGAAAAATTGGTGTAAACGAAGGTGCTTTTCTCTCTCAGTCATTTTTATTCTTCAAGCGGAAAAATTATTTTTTCACACATTTATTGAAGAAAGAAGAATCTTTTTAAAAAACTTAATCAAGAAAACTTTTTCTAAATGTCCTCTTCTTTTCCTTACGGACAACAACCTTCAGGCAATGGAAATTCTTCGAACGGAAATGGAAACCAATCTAGCAACAACGGGACAAATTCCACTTTGAATGTTTCTGTACAAAATGCTGCAGCTTTAGCGGCGTTAGTTCAGCAACAACAGTTGGATACAAGTTCGCCTGTTAGCGCTTTGGTGGCTGATCAGTTCCAACAAAATCAAGTTGGCTTTTTTTGAATTTTAATTGTTAGGTTATGGTAATTTTGAAACTAAAGGATACTTGTAAGAAAACATTTAATTTATACAATAAATTCTCTTTAAAAAGGTCCAAGGTGAGGACCGAAATTCGATCTCATTCAGAAATCTCGGTTGTCGATTTTAAGTTTTCTGGAGGTCGAACTCGATCTTCGAACCATCCTTAATTTTAAGTTCCGTATTGGGTTACAGAGACTGTTCCTTATGAAACCGTATTTTGTCCTTCTTCACAATCCCACAGGGGTACTTATTTCAGAAATCTGGGTAAAGGAATATATAATTTTGAACAAATCGTTTAGGATTAGCGATTTTAATATACTAGCACGAGCTAAGTTATATCGCGAATTAAAGAGTTTGCGTAAAAAAGACTTGTTGATTTTCTTTAAAATTTTGGGCCGAGTTCTTATTCTTTATGAAAAATTTTTCTATTTTATGATACGAAAAGGGCAACATTGCCTTCATTTAAACACAAAAAAGTTTCCAAATTCAATAATAACCTTTTTATTTCTACCCAATTCCATTTAACATTTTAATCCTTCCATTTTTCTTTAAAAGTTTTTTTTTTAATTTATATCACGCATTAAAATAGCTAAAGATTAGTTTTTAATTGTAAACAAAAAGGACAGGTTTCACCGGAAATATTGGGGGCATTTTTATTTTTATGGGAGAATTATATAGTTTTTTTACTTTGCGCGGCCGACCTTTTTTCTTTTATTTCTTTCTAACATTTAAAGATTATTTTGACTTTTACTTAATAGTATTTGTTTAAAAAATTAGGCAGTTTAGGTTATATGATTTTTAGACTTTGAAAATTAATAGGGAGATTTTGAGCTTTCAGTTTTTCCCTTCAAAATTTGTAAAAACTTCTCATTTTAAGCAGGTTCCCTTTCCCAAAAATTTAGTTTTTCTTCCCAAACCCCGCCTCTATATTTTTCTCGACTTGTCCGAACCCTGGTTTCAGGTCCACTGTGAGATGTATTCTCTTTATAACCAAACAAACAACTTTTTATACTAAGGTTGGCGGATAGCTGGAAATCTTCGGATATCCAGTATCCGAACCGAAAATTTCCGGATCCCCAGCTTTTTTCGGATCCGGATCCCCCACCCATCCTTAACAATCAAACTTAAAAAAATTCTTGTTTCTACTCTATTATTCTCTAATAGTCCAACTCTTTATTTTTTATATTGTGAAATAAAGGCGGAAGTTGTTAAGAGGAGGAATATTTTCAAATGCAAGGATAAAGCTAAAGAAAGAGAGTAAACAGCCCTGGGAAAGTCTTTTTCCCTCCATCATTTTATTGACAGTCTTATGACGTTTGGACTTTGAGGATTGAGAGGGGAGGATGAGGGAGGTCCTCTCTTAGGAATTGGGAAAGAAGGGCAAGGCGCTTTTAATGAAATAAAGGAAGGAAGAGCGCCCTAAGAGTGACAGACAGAGAAGCAAAAAAAATTTTTTTTTAATTCTCTTGTCAATGAAAAAAACTCGTAAAAGGGCAAATTCTTTAATTTAAGAGATTAAGGGATCTCCCCAAAATTTAATTAATTAGCTAGTCAAAACAAAAAATATTTTCACGGCTTTTTAATTTTCAAAAACAAAAAAGTGCATATTATGTAGACTTATTAAATTAAACTTAAAATAAATAAACATATCCTCACCCCTTATTTTGTGTGGCATTTTTTGAGAAAAACAAAAGAAATTTTTCTCAGACTTTTTTAAAAATAATTTTTAAAATTTTGTAATTTTGCACTTTTATTTTTGTATAAAAATAAAGCAAAAACGGTTAAAATTTGGTTTTTGGTGTTTACATGAATTTTAAATTTTCTTTGGGGGAGGAAGTCTTAGGATTCAGAGGAAGACGTGATTGAGTGATTAAAGCTTAGGTGAGATTATATAAGTGAGATTCGACTAGACTTTTTAAATCTTATCCATGTTTTAGTCATTAAAAATCAGGAAGCCTGACTGATTTTGCTTCTCCCAAAAAAATTTTTTTCTTGAAATTTTCTTTTCCTCCTTCGATTTTTTAATTTTTTTTTCAAAAAAAAATTTTTTTTCAACTTTTTTCCCACTTATTTTGCCTCCTTTTCCCATTTAAAATACTAAGCTTTTAATTTAGCGCTGACTCATTTAAATATCAATTAAATAATATTTTTCTAATAAACTCATAAAATTAATTCTATTTTATTTTTTATTTATTTTTCCAAATTTGGAAACTCAAAATAAAAATTAAAAATAGGCAGCTGAATTAATTCTTAGAAAATTTTTTTAGTCTTTTTTCCCACTCATTTTTAGAAATTTTTATTTTTCCCTCAACTTTTCCCCCTTATTTAAAATTATTTAAAAAAAAATTTTTTTTTTCGTAAACAAATGATTTTTTATTTTTTCATTTTTCTTGTCTATTTAATGGGATCAACCCAGAAAAAAAACACTCCAGAAAGTCAACACCCTAGAGGTCAACTGACCCAGAAGGTTAACTCCAAATAGTATGGCGGATAAGGAAGGATTTGTGCGCATTAAGAAGAATTGCGGGCTCTATCTTAGGACATGCGTCCCATGAAAGTTTATGCGTCCCATCAACAAAAAATTGGATTTTTCTTGGTGTTGGAAAGTGGGGGTATGGGTCAAAAACATTTTTTCATGTTCGGGACCTACGCCCACTGGGTTTGGGAGTGACTATCAAGGGGGATATCGATGGATTTGGGGGGGGGGGATTAAGACGGATTTGTTGGGACTAGTATGGATTAAGGATGTTGACTTCTAGGGTGTTCTACCTTCTGGACTAGACCCCTCTTTAATGCCCTCGCGCTCTATAAAAAATATTTCTTTTCAATAACAAAAAAATTTTTTTTCTGTCAAAATTTATTACGTCTCTGGGAAGGTGTTTTGTTTGTTTTTAAGAGAATTTTTTGGTCTTCATTTTTCTGTCTGCTGACTTTTTTAGTAAAAAAATAATTTCTTCTACACCTCAATATCGATGTGTGTTTCTTCCCTTTATTTATTACAACAAACTAATTTTCTACCACTATTTTAGCGGCCAAAGTATCATCGTCATAAACTGTTAAATAATTTCATCATATTATTTTTCCGTTATTTTGAAGCCTTTTTGAGGCTGTAGAAAATTAAAAAAATTTTTAGTTGAATTTTTAAGGAATTATTTTGATTCTTTTTGTTTTTTGTTCCTTTTTCCATTAAATAAATTGAAAAAATACTTCCTCGTTTTTTATTTTTTATTTGCTTAAAATTCGGATTTTTTGGATTATTTTTGCCGAAATTTAATAATATTCCGTTTTTATATGTATATTTCTAATCTTCATATTGTAAGGGTCAAGTGAAGGAGATCAACACAGGGCCTGATCTTCCCTTGAGTTTATCCTAGGAAGTCCCGGTCATATACTCTCACTTATTCCATTATTCTGGGGTTTGGGCCCATCACGTTGGAAACAAAATCGGGGTCCAACCTCTATTATATTTATTAGGATTCGACTTTTTCAATTTTCAAATTTCTGGGCTTTAGATCCATTTTCCCCTTCAAACTGACCTGTTTTCCGGGATAATCGGTAACCCCTGTCCAAATGTTTTTAATTATTTCTGTATTGTTCCCAGAGCCCAAAGCTGGTGAATTTTGTAAAAACCCCTTTCCTCCTCTCCTCTCCCTTCTCTTAAACCAAAATCCGTGCAAAATCGCGTCGTAAACTGTAAATTTTTTTTCATAATTTCGACGCAACTTTTGTGTATTTAAAAAAAGGTGAAAGGGGGGGGGTGAACTTAATACTACATAAAAATTCAAAATAAAACAAAAATTAAAAAAACATTTTTTTAAACATTCTAGGAGAGTATTAATCTTAATTAAAAACAAATAAAAATATTCTGTCATAAAAATATTTCTTTCCCTAAAAATTTATTTTTATCTTTAATTTTTTTAGCATTTTTATTTTCACTTTTTTAATATTTTCTCATTCAATTTTTCATCAGCCGTTTTATAATACCTTTTTTTCGTTTTGTGTGCTCTCCATTATTTTACCAGTCAAAAAACTATTTTTAAAACCCCCACCCTCCTTTTTAAATGATAGCTCAACACTTTCCCTTCCCTCCACAACACTTTCCCCTCCCTTCCCTTCCTCCATCAATTTCCTCGTGATCTAAGCCCGGCATATTTTATCGTCATCAATTTTATTATAACAATTCTTGATGGCCTTTATCAACCGCCAACATTAAAAAAAAATTTTTTTTGTGTCCATCATTCATTCTCTTATTTTTTCACAAACATCTCGTCCTCTCCCCTTCCCCTCCCTTCCTTTAAACCAAAATACCAACAGAAAAAATTAATGCAAAAATAAAACAATATTTCTCTCTACTAGCTTCAATCAATCACCCGAGAGAAAGTCATACCAAAAAAAATTTTTTTTCTAATCTTATAAGAAGTTTGTGGAATTGTAATGTAAAAAGTCCAATGTTGTTTGTGTTTATATGAGATGGGAGGGGAGGGGTTGTTTCGGCGCAAAAAAAGTTTTGGCGGGAAATTAAAATTTTGGTTGGGAGTTTCTAAGGGATCCTTTTTTTGGCCTGTGAATGAGAACATAGAAGTGTGGAATTTTATTTTTTTTTAGCTGCTAGTAATAGCTCCCTTCTAAAAAGATTTAAAAAATTTTTTCTTTTTTAGAAGAACTTATAAACGTTTTTTTTTGGGTACAGCCCAAGTACGCGCGGCCAAGTAGGCGCAAAGCCATAACTTTCTTTTAGATTTCCAAATCTTTCAAAATTCAGTATTTAACGATTCCCCTCATCGAGCTAAAGAGATTGGTACCAAAATTGTTAAGGTCCAGAAATTTTCCAGGTAGTTATGGCGTGCGCCTACTTGGACGTGTCCCCGTATTTTTGCATAACTTGGCATTTTGCCTATATTTCCGAAATTAATTTTCAAAATTTTTTAAATTTAAGGACCGGATACCTAAATCCAGAGAAAATTTATTTACAAAATTTCAGACCACTAACTTTTATCATTTGGCAATTTTATTCACTTGCGCCAAAGTGTTACCGCGCCAAAACATCCCCTCATTTTATTAATTTTACAAGAGTCAATCTGTCGTTTAATTTTATTTTCTCTCTCTCCATGTTAATTATTTACTCTGTTTTCTCTAAACAAAATTGATCCTTAGTCCCAAACCACTTTTTTTAACTTTGTAGTGATCATTCTTTCCCCCTATCATCGCCAAATAATTTTCTGATAACAACGTCCATTTTGACAAGGTGCAGCTGTAAAGTGGCTGAAAAAGGAGAAAAGAAAAAATTTTTTTAAGCAGTTTATGAGCAGTCTAATCAAGGGTGTGCGCCATAGAGTTTGGCGTGTTTTAAAAATTTGAAAAATTGGCGTTGGCGTTCCACGCAAAAATTGGCGTTTTGCGCTCTACGCAAAAATTTTGGCGCACACCCTGCAGGGAATGATGTTTTATCTAATAAATTCTCTCCTCTCCTTTTCAAAAAATTTTTGCGGATCTTTTTAGGGAAAACTAAAAAGAAGAGAGAGAGTCTGTGAAAAGCACGTCATTTTCAACGTCTCAAAAATTTCTTTCTGCTACACACACACATAGCGGGTGATCGGTGAGAAAAGAGAATTTTTAATTGATTGTTTGAAATATATATTTTTGTTTTGCTCCGTCCTTTCTCTCTCCCCATTTATTTATCGTCACTTACTGCCAGTTTTTAGTCGTCATTTTAAACCTCTTTTTGATGGTTGGTTTTATTAAAAATGTTTGTCCTCCGTTATTTTATTTAATTGGTTACCCAGAAGATCGAATCCCCGAAAGATCAAAAGCATTTTTGTTAGGGCCTTGAGAGAGTCCAAATTTTGAGGATTTTGTAAATTGAAAGAGGATACAAAAATAAATATTAAAATTCTAAAGTCAATTCGGAAATCGAAATTTAGAAGGTGAAAGTCTGAGTTATCGTCAATTACTGCCAGTTTTTACCCTTTGATCAATTAGCCTTTGGTCAATTGTGAATGTTTACCATGGTTTTTCCCTTTTCTTTTGGCCATTTTACATAGTGTATTTCCTCCTCTAAAATAACCCCCCTCTAGATGTCGATCTGAAAAAATAACTTCTTCCTCTAAAATAGCCCCTTCTAAAATAGAAAAACAGCCTCCCTCTAAAATACCCCCCCCCCCATTATTTAAAATATTTTATATTCTGGTGATCGTTTATTTAAAAAATTTTTTTGGACGCCGTCTTCCTTTTTTATTTTTTTTTCAATAAGAGAAATTAAAAAATTATGATTTTTGTAATATTTATTAAGACATTTTATGTTTAAATTTAAGCTTTTTCCTGCAATATTAATTCTCTCTAATTTTAAACCGTGTTTTAATATGTACGTGGATTTCTATGCACTTTTAACGTACTTGATAAAAATATTTCGCTCCGTTTTATATTAATACCCCCAATCGTAAAAAAGCGGGGAAAAAATTGGCGCGTCATAGATAAACCGTTATTTTTACCAATGAGAAATTACCGTTACTTTTTAGTATTTCTCGGTATTAAAGATTGGTAATACCGATACGGAATACGATACTGTACGAAATTCCAATCACTAGTTTAAACTTCTTTAATTAGCTTCACGAGTTTAAAAAACCTGATAAATATTCTTTTGATTAGTCTGTAAAACAAAGTTTGGATTTTGATAACACTTCCTTCTCTACGATTGTTAGGCAAAAATCTAAATCGAACTTAGATAAGCTATCGTACTACCGATACCTAATACTACCGATAGTATTACCGGTAACTACCGATACTTAATACTGATAAATACCGAAAAAGTATCCAATCGCCATTCGAGATATCGATCTCAATTCTCGTAACGACCCTCACTGCCCTGTTTCTAGTTTGTAACAAAAATTTCAAACCACTTAATGAGTTCAATATTTTAAATACATAATTTGTTATAAACTTTTATGTAATTTGAGAAAAAAATTATTTCTCTTTCCAAATTAATTCATGTAAAATAATAAAAAAATTTTTTTTATTCGTTATTCATTTTTCATAATTTTTGAGGTTATTTTTGGTTTTAGAATTTTTTCTTTCTCCTAATCACAAATTTTGTTTTTTTTCTCATTTTCTTCCTTCTCAAAAATATACTCATCATCATTCCACTTTTGACAGCACACAAAAATATTTTTTTTGGAATTTTTGCAAAATTTTTTTTTCTTTTTCTGTTCCAAAGTTTATTTGGGGACATTTATAAATTAATTTAGAGAGAAACTGCCAAAGTATATTTTTGTGTTTCAACTGGTTTTTGAATTAACTGACAAATTTTTATTTTTTTTAAATTTTTTGATAGAAAATATGTATTTTTTATGAATTTTTGAAATGTCACAAGTTAATTATAAAAATCTTTGAAAGTAATTTTTTGGAATAAACAAAATTCTTTTTAATTAGTTTTAAAAATCACATCAAGTGTTTATAGGGGATGGAGAATTGTTAAATAATGAGAAAAAAGTTTTTTGGAGGTATCCTATCAGCCTTATTAAGATCAGAAAGACAAAAAATCAGAATTAGGGGAAACATCGACAAAACTCTCTAAAAATACAAAATATTTTCTCCTGTATCAAACTAAGATTTCGCTCTAAAACTAAAATTTGAATAAAAAGTGACGTGAATGGGGATGAGAAAAAAGTTGTATGGAGATATTCTGTTGTTCTGTTAAGATCAGAAAGATAAAAAGTATCAGAATTAGGGTTCGTTCTCGAATCGGACCGACGTTGTTTCGGGCCTCATCTTAATCGAACCGGGCCGATCGTTTCCTGTTCAGGCCAAAATTCAATACCCGATTCGATCCTTCGAATTGAAATGGGCCCAAATCTAATCAAAATTATCAGTTTAAAATCAGAAAATTCAATTAAAAAAATTAAGATCAGAAACATCAATATTTAATAATCGGGCATTCGGGCTGATTCCTTTAATTTCCTTTAAATAATGCTTAATTAATCAACACTCGTCTTCTCAATTTTTAATTTTAAACTCCAATTTTTATTTTTCACAATTTAAAAAATTCATTTTAAATATTTTAAAATAAATAATGATTTGCAATACCTTTATGTGATTTCATTAATTTATTTATTCTTTAATCATTTCATAAAATTTTACAATAAAAAAATATTTCCCCCTTAATTTCATTATTTTGCACTTTTACCGGGGGGTTTCCCTTTAATTTCCTTTGAATAATGCATATTTCATGTGTTTCCCCTTTGTTTGGGGGTTCCCTTTTAAAATTTAATTTGTAGTGATTATTTCTTTATAAAAATTAAAAAAACATCCGACAAAGTCGTGCCACTCTTTGATGAATAATGCAGGGCATTTCACGGAATTGCCAGTTGTATGAGTCTTTCTCCTTTGTCTTCCTCCAGTCTTAATCTGCCGTGGACTTTTCCATTCTCGCGTTTTGTCCTTCTCATTTATTTTCTAAATATCTGTTTCAATATTCCCAATTGTACTCGGATAACCATATACTTTTTCTTGAAAATTAAATAGGGGGATCTAAGGGGAGGAGGACGAAACGCGAGAATGTAAATCCACGGCGGATCATCTTTAGATCCCAATGAAGATCCTCCTTTATATCCCCAATGAAAATTTTAGATTCCCTTGATCCTTTAGATCCCCCACTTATTGTTAGATTCCCATTTTCAATTTTCAAAAATATAGACCTTTTTATGGTCTTTCATCGAATTGTCTTAAATATTTTCACCGAATCACCCTCCCCTTTATTTCCTCGCATCACCCTATTTTTTTGTCTATCTTTTTTATAAAAAAAATAACAAATACTTTGATCAATCCCCAATTCCCAAAAAAGTGCATGGGAAAGAGGGGGAAGTCCGACATCCTTTCCCTATTAAGAAATCTGTTTATGTAAAAGTCTCCATTTCCTCTTTCCCATTTATTTAAATCCGCCCTTAAAAGGGCATTTTTACTTTATTTTCTCATGTACAATTTTTATTAAAAAAATTTTTTTTCAAAATTATTTAAATAAATAAAATTATTTTTAATTAAAAAATTAACTAAAATCTTTATTTTATCCCACGCCCTTTTAAACGAAATAACTGGTGAAAGATTGGGAGAGATGTAAATTTGAGACACTTTCTAAGCCTAATTAGGGTTGGGGGCCCGATCCGTTCCGAAGCATCGTATCGGGATCGTGTCGAATTTTGGCCCGGAAAAGACTCAGTCGGGCCGGCCCAAAAAATAATGTCATGTACGTCGGCCCGAATCGAAAACCCCAACCCTAGACCTAAGCTTTGCGTTAGAACTTTGCCCTAGGACGTCGAGTCATTTGAAGAATTGTGCATTTTGTATGGGTGTATGGGAGAATTTTACTTAATTTTTATTTTAATAACATTTAATCATTTTTTTATCATTTTATCAGTAAAATCTCGTCATTTTTATAATTATTACACATTTCTCTAAATAGTAAATTAACCAAAAAATGACTAGCAAAAATTCTTTTAGTTAATTAATTAATTTTTTCTTACCATTTTTATCATTTTGGATTGAATTTTATTAGATTTTCCCTTCAGACCAAGTCACGATTAGGAATTTTAGATATCTTTTCAAATGAATTAAAAATCATTTGAGAATTCGTGTATCCGCTCGACCTAAATCTCAGCGACCCTCATTTTTCCAGCTATTGCCCATATCCGTGACCCTTTAAACTCTTTCGACTCCTTCAATTTACCGAAATTTTAGACTCTCCCATGTTTTTCTTTCCCCTTTTTTAAACTTATCCTTCACACATTTTTTCTTTATAATTTTCACTTGAATACGAAAATTTCCCTCAAAATTTACACAATATATTTATAGGATCTCCGAACTTTAGCTTTGCACCAGCAACTTTCTACGCTGATGCAGCAAGCACAATTACAGCAACAACAACAACAACCGGCAGTATCACAATCTCAACAACAACAACAACCCTCATTATCTGCCTTTTTACCATTAAATCAACAAATACGACAACAACAACAACCAGCCCCATGTTCTTCTGCTCAACTTCAACAACAACAACAACAACAAACAGCTCCAGGAGGGTCGTCTTTACTTGGAATTTATCAACACTTACTTTCATTACAAGCACAGCAACAACAACAACAAACGCCTACTGTTGCTGGACTTCCACAGCAATTTAGCAATGCTTTACATTTGGTAAGAAAGGAGAGATTTTGAGATCTTTGTTTGTCTTCCGAAAGTTTTGTGGAGACTAGGCTTAGAATTATAACTGCCCTCCTGACTCTATACTACACCGGGGATGTATTATGTTGAAAAAGTTGGATCTTGGATTTGAGTTTCAAAATTTTCCGAAAGGATGGAGAAGACTAGGATCAGGTTTCGGGTCGGTAGGTTCCGATTCTTAGTTCGGTTAACCAACTGAGACATCCCTGTTATACCCACCAGATCCATTTATCCCTTATTTACGTTTAAACGGTAACAAGATATAAATGGATATTTGGGATATAACAGGTATCTATGGGGAAAAGAATCACTCAATATATTGCGTTGAAAAAAATTTTCTTTAACATTTTTAACTCATTTCAGCAAAATTCCTCTCCTGCTGCTTCAGTATTACCACCACAATTGGGAGGGGGTGTTCCCTCTGCTCAATCAGCCACTTCAGGAAGCACAGCCGGACTTTTAAGTACCTTGCTTGCTTCAAATCCAGCCTTGTTGCATTCTTTACTTGGCCAACAGCAACAACAGCAGCAACAACAATTGGTTGCTTTAGCTGCTCAACTGCTCCTTCCTACTGCAGCACAACAACAGCAACAACAACAATCACAACAATCCTCCCTTTTACAAATGTTAAACCCTACAACTCTTTATGCTTTTGTTAATTATTTACAACAGCAACAACAAGCACAACAACCACCCCCAGTTAACCAACAACTTCAATTACTCCTTCAATTAGCTTCTAATGGAAGTGGAAATGTTGGGGGAAATACTGGAGGTTTGCAAGGATTGTTGGCCTCTTTGAGTGGTAATCAACAGCAAGCGTTGTTAACTGCTTTAGCTGCTCAGCAAGCACAGCAGCAACAGGTACTTGAAAATTTCCTTGAAATCTAAGAACACTTTCTCTCTTTACAGGAAGCCACTACCCAACAGCCCCAACCACCACAATTACACCAACAACCTCCTCCTTCCCTCCAACCTCAACAACCCGATGAGAATCGCCTTCTACTTGAGCATCTCATTCGTCAAAGTCGCGAGGTTCAACAACAACAAAAATTGATGCAGCTTGAAGCTGTTGCTGCCGCTGGGAGGCCACAAACATTTGTTGGAAGTGAACAGATTGAACACTCCACACCAGCTACGCTTTCTCCCACAATAGGAGGCTCTACAGCTTCTGAAATACTTCCTGCTGCTCCCCAACAAGTACAGCAAACTTCTGCTGAAGTTCTTGCTGCACATCAACAACAACAACAGCAGCAGCAACATCACGAAAATATTGGGGCAGCTATTCATTCTCAGATTAGTGCAGAACAACAAGAGCAGCAACGACAAGGGCAGGGGACTCCTAATGAGCGTTTAATGACTTCTGAGGCTGTACAGGATAGAATATCGCGGTAATATTTAAAAATATTAATTTCTTATTTATCTAATATATAGTCTAATCAGCGAGAATGAGGCTATTCTTGAACCTAATCCTGTTCTTTTGAAAAGAAGGCCATATCAAAGACAGAGCACTTCAAATTCTATGACTTCACAAACGTCAGAAAATGCTGGTAATGCATAAATTATACTATAGATTTCTATCTTATCATTCGAATTGTTTTTTAGGGTTGTAGAGAGGTCTCACTTTAAGGGACAATCATGAGTGACTTTTGTGTCAGGTTTTAGGTCAGCCTTTCCAGCCTTCTACTCAGAGGCTTAGGCTCTTCTTCCAAAGGAGAAGAGCGCTTCCAAAGGGGAGAGATTCAGAAGACGAACTCCTTTGGTTGCTAAGGTCTTTCTTTTTTTCTGGAGATCATTCAAAAAGGGAGACTTACCTAACACACATTTTCACACACTTGAAACTTAAAGATCAATCCACTAATCTATTTTTCCCAAAAAAGGTACTTCACAACGAGGATCACCAGGCATTCGTTCACCTGGCCCCAAACATCATCCAGCCACAACTCGCTCCTATTCACTCCATGAAACTTCATTTCTTCGTTTTGGAGGAGGTTCCCTAACTTCTGGCCAGCCTATCAATCGTCAACAACTTTCCCTTCAACCCCAACCTTCTCATCAACATTCCCAACAATTAACTTGCAATTTCTGTCATTTAAAATTCCCCAATGAAGCTGGACTTGAAGCACATGAATTACGTTGTTCAAAGAAGGATTCAAATTCTTGTAGCAATCAGATTCTTCTTCAAAAACAGCAAAGCCAGCCACAATTAAAAATGGTTCACCAACAAAGACAACAGCAACAGCAGCAACAACTTCAATTACAATTACAGCAATTACAAGACCATCAGTCTACTATAGCTGCACTTGTTGGTGGGGGAAAAGGTGTTGCTAGAGATTTGGTGATTAATGGAAGTGGTGGAGGACGTTCTTCTGTATGTTTGAAAGAAAAGATTTTTAACAAAAAATTTTTCTAAAATTCATTAAAATTTATTAAAAGTGAGAGGGACATTTTCGACCCTATCTGAATAAGAGGGCGGTTTGATTTTTTTCATCATTTTTTTCCTACCTTAATATATAAATAATGGTCAGTCTTTTCTTCCTCGTTCGATTCCACTCGTTTTACCCGTGGCATATTCAAATGAGAGGACAAACAAAACATGGACGTATTCAAAGAGGAAGAAAAGACTGACCACGGACGGACTCGGACAGACAAAACACGGACGAACACAGAAGACAAAACACGAACGGACTCGGACAAAACACAGACGACCGTGTACTTTGTCCGTTTTGTCTGTCCATGTGTGTGTTTTGACTCTTCTCATTTGAATATGCCACAGGTAAAACGAGTGGAATCGAACGAGGAAGAAAAGACGGACCATTATTTATATATTAAGGTAGGAAAAAAAATGATGAAAAAAATCAAACCGCCCTCTTATTCAGATAGGGCCACATTTTCTCTCATATTACAGTATCCCTTATATGCTGTGCGCCAAAATTTTTATAGTTCAAACGCCAAGAATTAAAATTATAATTTTTGATGCCTTATTGAGCCCAAATTTAGCCTAATCAGATTATTTTCCTTATAAAATTCCTTAATAGAATTTTACCTTTATGTTACGTACTCCCTTTATTAGGCCTGATTGCGGGTAGGCCTTATTTAAACGATTTTTAATTAAAATCACTTGGACTAAAATCTATGATAAAAATTCCACATTTTTTATCATTCATTATAAAGAGAATAATGTGTGCGTAATATAGAGGGAGTTTAGTAATTTTTAAGAAATTTATTTTTGTTTCTTCTATAGGTTCCTTCACTAATCCAACAACATTTTTCTAAACAACAAAGCAACCTTTCCCAACTGGTAACTTCAAGTTCATCAGATTCCCGTTTAAAGAAGCGTGGATTAGACCAAGATAGTGGCAGTTGTGGCAGTGGGACAGATTCTTTAGAAATGGTTTATGACGTCTCTAATGGTGGAAATGGTGGTGAACAACAACAACAGCAGCAACATGGAGCTGAATCTTCCAAAATGGCACGAATTGTTAGTAATTCATCTCCTCCCCCACCTCCTCTTACTTTATTTTCTAATTCTAATAATACTCCTCCCTCAATTTCTGGGGAAGAAACAAACAAAAGCAATAATTAATTATATTTTTCTCTGACTCTCTCTATTTTCCCTTATATTTCTTTTTCTCTAACTTTAATTTTTTTATTTTCTAAAAATATTTTTTTCTTTTAAAATTATTTTTTGAGCTTATTAATTCTGCTTTAGCTTTTCTAGCTTTACAAATTTTTTTTGTTTTTTAACCTCCAATAATTCTCCTTTTTTTGTTTTATACATATCTCTTTAATAAATACCATATTTCTCTAATTGAGCAGCCGTTTGGGCACTTAGGTAGAGAAAAGACGGTAGTAGTTAAGGACTATGACAGTAGTTAAGGACCCCTTCTCACTTGTGCCATATGGCAAATTGACCCAATTTAATTTCGGTAGGATGGTAGAGAATAAGTTTGGCGGATAGTTGGGCATCAGTGCTGGGTATTTGCCATTTGTTGGCTCCGGCTCCGGCTCCGGGCTCCGGGGTTTGAAAATCTTGGCTCCGGCTCCGGCTCCGGGCTCCGGGGTTTCAAAATCTTGGCTCCGGCTCCGGCTCCGGGCTCCGACCTTTTAAAATCTTGGCTCCGGCTCCAGCTCCGGCTCCGGAGCCGGCGATTTTCGGAGCCGCTCCATGTTGGCTCCGGGCTCCGGCTGGAAAATCAATTAATTATTTTTCATTGGGGGATTTGGGTAGATAAAGGGGGATATCGAGTGATATCAGAGGATTAAGAGGAGTATGTTGGATATGATGATTTATCCTCTCATTATCACTTGCTTTTTGCGCCGCAGGCAAAAATTTTGTGAATTTTGGAAGATCCTTAAGCCAAAAATCTTCCTTTTTTGCGCCGCAGGCGAAAATTTTGAGAATTTTGGAAGATCCTTAAGCCAAAAATCTTCCTTTTTTGCGCCGCAGGCGAAAATTTTGAGAATTTTGGAAGATCCTTAAGCCAAAAATCTTCCTTTTTTGCGCCGCAGGCAAAAATTTTGAAAAATTTGACTCACAGGAGACTAAAATTAATCAATTTAAAAAATTTATCCAGCTTTATTTACAGTCGTGGAAAAAAGTATGGAAGCGCTTTAAAATTTCTTTTTATTTTTTAATTTTTTATTCAAAAAATACGTTCTATATACCAATCGAAAGCTCTATTCGTATCTCAGTTGTCATGTTTCTGCATTTTTTATGAAAATGAAAATTGGCCGAGATAATCCGGATCTACCGGATATACCAAATCCCATTTTTTCGGAAAAATTTTTCGGAACAAATTTAACAAACCTATTTGATAAAGCATATTTTTCTGAGTATTTTCACAAAACCGCTTAGAAATATCTTTTTCCGGGGCAGAGATATGATTTTTTGAAAATGGCATTTTTCGCTTGAAAATTGAATTTTTTGCAAAAATAGACGAAAAATGCAATTTTTAAAAAATCATATCTCTGCTCCGGAAAAAGATATTTCTAAGTGGTTTTGTGGTAAATGCTCACAAAAATATGCTTTATCATTTGGGTTTGTTAAATTTGTTCCGAAAAATTTTTCCGAAAAAATGGGATTTGGTATATCCGGTAGATCCGGATTATCTCGGCCAATTTTCATTTTCATAAAAAATGCAGAAACATGTCAACTGAGATACGAATAGAGCTTTCGATTGGTATATAGAACGTATTTTTTGAATAAAAAATTAAAAAATAAAAAGAAATTTTAAAGCGCTTCCATACTTTTTTCCACGACTGTATTTAAAAAATGCTTATTATAATCTAGTTTCCAAAGCAAAACAATTATTTAATCATTTTTTGTAATATTTTTAGAACCTATAGCCGGATAAAATTCGGAACCTAACTCACTATCCATTCAACCACAACTACTTTACAAAGTAAAGGAAAGAAAATCTTTTTTACCCGTCTCAATTTTCTCTTCCTTTTCTTTTCTCGCCTACCATCTTTGCTTACTTCTTTTTCTCTAACCCATCTTTAGGGGTGTATAGCCGGAGCCGTGGGGAATTGGAAAACCTTGGCTCCGGCTCCGGCTCCGGGCTCCGGGGTTTGAAATTCTTGGCTCCGGCTCCAGCTCCGGCTCCGGGGTTTTCAAAATCTTAGCTCCGGCTCCGGCTCCGGCTCCGCCGGAGCCGGCTCCGGAGCCGGGCTCCGGAGCTAGCTCCCGGAGCCATACCCAGCACTGTTGGGCATCTTCAGTAGTGTTTCACCGGAACCGAAATTTTGACCGGAGCCGGAACCGGATCCAATTTGAGTTCCAGTTCCCTGAACCGGAACCGGAACCAAAAAACGCCGGAACTTTCCGGAACCGGAACCGGAACTTCCTGTGAAACTCTAATCTTCAGATATTTGGATCCGATATCCGAACCAAAAATTTCCGGATATCCGGTCTTTTTTCGGATCCGGATCTTCCTCCCTTATTAGAGAAGTATGTCCTCTCTTTGTTTTATAAAAATAATTTTCCTTTTAAAATTTATTTTTTTTCTAAATCATTCTTCTCAAGTCTAGATGCTCTCCTCCCGGTAACAACAACTTTAATATTCTAATTTTAATTCAGATCTCTAAAAGTTTTTTTAATTCTCAGTTATTTTTTTTTAAAATCTCCTTCATTTATTTTATCAAATTTCCATACTTGCCCTAGAGCAGCGTGATAAAAATATAAATTTATTTTCTTTATTCCCAGTGATCTCTCTCAATTAAAAAAATTTTTCCTCCATTTTTATCTCAATTTTCTACTATTTTTTATTTTTAAATTGCCATTTTTTATTGTTTCTCTCCAAAATGCTATATAATTTCTTCTCAATTGCAAAAATATTTTTTAAAAACAATTCTCTTACTGGCCGATGAAAGCCAAAAATAAATAAAAAAATCAGCTTCTTCTGTCCTCTGCTTCACGCTGCTCTAGCTTTTATAGGTATGTTCTTATTCTCTTTTACTAAAAAAATTATTCCGTTAAAAAATTTCAAAAAAAATTTTTTTCCAAAATTTTTTTCCAAAATTTTCCTTTTTTCTTGTTGTAATCTTTTTGTTCTATTTTTTGTTCTATTGTTCTTCCATTCCAGCACCACTTTTCCTTTTTTTTCGAGTACACAGCAATATTTTGTAGGGCTTTATAGTAGAGTTCCACCGGAAGTTCCGGTTCCGGAAAGTTACGGCGTTTTTTAAGGTCCGGTATGGGAACCGAAACTCAATTTTTGATTTGTTTCTGGTTCCGGACAAAATTTCGGTTCCGATGAAACACTACATTAGAGGCAGTGAGACTTTAAGAAGCACCAGTTACATTGTAAATATTTTGGACTATCAACAAGCATCATTTTGGATCTGAACTTAACAGATATACCACATATAGATTAACAATATCTAAATGTCGAAGCTTAGCTAGGCTGCACTTTCCTGTTCCCATACTTTTTTTATTTTAACAAGTCTTGTGTTTGTTATTGTCAATTTAATTTTTTTCTTTTTTAACATTACTTTGTAGCCTAAAAGCTTTATTTTTATTTTTTTTAAATTTTTTATGACTCATTTTTTTTGTTATTTTTCTATTTTTAATTCACTTGCATTCTTTCATTTAAAAAAAATATTTTCAGCACAAAACAAGGTTTTATAAAATCATGAAAAAATATTTTCCCTTTTGATCTTTGGGTTAAAGAATTTTTTAAAAACATTTTTGGAGAGAATTTCACCTCTGTTTTTTCTTTAATGGAATTATTGTCCTTATTTTATTAGTCGTTTTTAATGATGGATCGTGTTTAAGCTAAAAGTCGGATCGGTGTTACGGGAATGGTTTTCGAAAATTTCTCGGGATAAAGGTTTCTGATCGGAAAAAGTCCAATGTCCGAGAAACTCGCTTATTTTTAAATTCCATAGGTTTACAACTTTACTCTATTTTCGTTTTTAGTCTACAAAAATAGATGTGTCTCTATTATTAAAAAAATTTTTTAACACAAAATCTGAAAGGGAAAATAATTTTCTTTTTAATTTTTTAAAACCTTATTTTGTCTAAAAATATAATATTGGTTGGGGATATTTAAAAAATTTTACCAAAAATAAAAGAAAAATTCCTTATCTTTTTAAAAACAAAAAAATTTAAGGATGACATGTATTCTATGGAAATACAGCAACAAGAACATATCCAAACAAATATCCAACAAAATATTCAAAAAGAACAACAACATTCCCAAAATTCCCCAAAAAATTATCACCATCACCAACAAAAAGCTCAGCCAATTTTAACAATGCGAGATGCAATCATTTTTGCCATTACATATTCCACAGATCTTTGCTCAACAATTAAAATGCCCTACTTTTTAACTTTAACACAAAATGAATTACAAGAGTTGGCAGCAAATGGGGGAGAACAGGGGAATGAAATTAATAATGGGAGTGGGGCTGGAAGTAGTTGTAATATTCGTGGAAGAACGAGAAATATTACTAGTGGTGAATAATTATTAAAATTTTTGGAAAATTAATAAGGGGAGGCATTGGTCTCAAAAAGTTGTGGACGGAAATGAAAAAAATTTACTGTAGCCGGAATCCGCAAGTCAAAAACCCTCGCCATTTACTCAATCTACAATTGCGTCTACCCGGATCTCAGCCTTGACTTAAAACTTTCCTTGGGAGGAGGGGGGGGGGGGGGGTGTGGACGTCTTGAACATCTCTGTTTTCTCTCTCCCTCTTCAATTCTTATTGAAAATTTCTGCTTAAACTCTTGTTAAACATAAGGGCAATGTTTTCCTGCCCTAAAACCCACACCCCTTGAGTCAGCTTTAAACCATATATGTATGATTCAAGAACAGACATAGGAACATGTATAAATTTTAAGACAGCATCGGGACTAGGGCACTAACCCTGCATTTGGATCCCATCTTAATTTTTAAAAAGCTTTTGTGTTGGGCCAAATTGTGTGTTAGTGGAGTATTTTATGAGGCTTCCAATCTTTTTAAATTTAATTAAAAAATTTTTTTTTCTTTAGAAACTTTCATGTGTTTAAACAAAGTTCGTCCAACACCAAACGAACATAGAGACAACTGTTCTGCCTACAGTTTTTGGACTCCCTCAGAATGTTCTAATGGAGAATCCCAATTAATCCAACTTCTTTTGTGTGCCACAAATTCATTTTCTGCCCCATGGCAAAAGAGAATATGTCCATTAGGTTCCCATTACACGTTAGCTGCTAATAAGGAAAGTATACAATTGAGAACAACACATTCCTCTTTTTGGGGACAACAACAACAACAACAAAAGGTGAGAAGCGGAAGCAATCTAAGATGCTATTACGAAATATGGTTGTCCTAGGTTATAATTAGAGTTAGGGACAGATATCACTCCTGCGGTACTCCCGAAAGTATTGACTCAGTACTTTTCTGTAGTCCCTTTTAGGTATTGGAAGAATCCATTTGCCTAACACTAGTTATAATATCACCATTAACCAGGCAACTGTAGATCAGTTGATATTTTGAATTAGTTAGAATTTATATCAAGTCCTAGTGTCCTAGAGGCTGTTATTCAGTACCGTTCTACCTATACGGAATACTGATAAATACCGAAAAATACGTCCGTAGTACGGTAGCGTCCGATCACTAGTCCTTTTGTATATCCATTTGATCTTATAATCTGAGTCTTTCTATCATCTTCAGTTCTTCTACCTATCATGATTCTAGTCGATCCGGTTCCCAAAAATCTGGAATTTTTTTTTCGGCTTGACCTCCTAAGTAAATGAGAGATAATCCTTGTTCAATTTTTTATAAAAATAATCTTTCAAAATTTAATTTTTGTTTTTAGATTGCTCAACAACAAACAAATAATACAATTTTTAATCCCCAACGCCAACACTGTGATGATTTAATGATTGAAAGAGGAGGAGGGTTAATTAAAAACATTCCAAAGAATGAAGATATGGAAGAATTATATCAATTAGAGAATTCACAAATAATTAAAATGGAGTTGGTAAAAATAAAATAGAGAAAATTGGAAGATATTCCCTTTTAAAATTACTCAACTCTCGTTATTAGCGACTTCACCCTGAATTGATTTATCTCGATATAAGCGACTTTTTCTTGTCTCTAATGATGGGAGTTGACTAATAAATTGGGTCAATCTGAAGTTCCTTTAAGTGCCAATACTTCATTCTTTCTATTAGAGAGGCCCTCTCCAATAGAGGGTCACCCTGAAATCTCTCACCTCTTTATAGACGTCTTGGTTTTTTGTCTCTTTAATGAGAGTTGATAGAAAATTAAGCCAATCTGCGGGTTTTTAGGTGCTTATATTTCATTCCTTTTATTAGAGAGGCTCTCTCCAATAGAGGGAACATTTAGTTAATTTGTCTTTGATCAAAGGCGTCCCTAAGTAATGCAACTTTTTTAGAACTGACGATAAAGAAAATGGAAGTTTACAACAATCAGCTCCATTTTTGCCCTCAAAAATGGATGAAGAAGAAATAAATACAAAAATTATCACAACAACAGATAATTCAATAAAGCTTCTAAAACTTCCACCTAATGCTACTTCTAAAGGTGTAGGAGGATTTGGAGGAGGAAAATACTCTTTTAATAAAACGAAAACAAATATTAATGAGGAAGTTCCGGTGTGGAATTAATTTTATTTTTTTGTTTGATTAATATAATGACGGGATATTAACACGGGGACGAGATATATTTGTTTATTGGACGATATTAGGGTCGGTGACAGAATTGATCTTAAAAGGCGAAAGGCAAAGATCGTGGAAGGGCAAAAGACGAACTTAAGTAGCCTTAACCTCCAGGGAATTACCTGTCCCTAAACTTAGGTTGATTAGGTCTACAAATCACCCAAAAGTCTATAAACCTCCCTGTATTCCTACCGTTTTTATAAAATTCAGTAGGATAGTTTTTTTAATTTTTATATGCTTGGGACGAGATCCTATACCCATATAATTTTTATACCTAAGGCTATGTGCATTTTATCTTAATTTTTCTAGTTTCTATTTTGGATTTACAGATTTCAACGACACAAGCAATGGTTCAGGTTTACATACGAGGTCGTGGACGTGGACGTTATGTTTGTGAAAGATGTGGAATTCGTTGTAAAAAGCCTTCTATGTTGAAAAAACATCTTCGGTAACCTCCCTTAATGTTGCTCAAAAATTTCAAAAAATATTTTTCTATAGTTCCCACACAAATGTCCGCCCTTTCACTTGCATGACCTGCAATTTTTCTTTCAAAACAAAAGGGAATTTAACAAAACATTTGGTTTCAAAAACTCATAAACGTCGAATGCTTGATTCAAATAATGAAGAAACAATGCAAGGGATTAATACAACAAAATCTTTATTGGAAAGAAATTATGGAAATGAAGAAGAAGGGGAAGAAGGGGGGAGATTGGTGGTTGTGGAGGAGGAGGAGGAAGAGGACAACAACAACACCACTAACATCCCTACAACTTCTTCTAAAGACCAACAACAACAACGCTTGGAACGTATACAAGAACAAGAACAAAGAATGCGTTGGGAAGAAGAAGATTGGGATGATGATGATGAAGAAGACGAAGAAGATTGGGGGTTGTTAGTTGACCATACTCCTCAAAAAGATGTTGTGCCACCACCTCCACCTCTAAACTATAGACATTTTGGGCAAGAAGTAAGGGAGAAAAGAAAATTTTTTTGAATGGGGGATTTAGTAGGTTGAACGGGTTTACTAAATGGGTACAAAATCCTGCCCGTGCCACTCTAATGAATATTATAAAATAAATTTTGGAGGATAATTTTAGTGGATATTTGTTAAAAAGGATGTTTTTCCTCTCGAAAATTTTCCTCTCAAAATTTTTTATCTCAATATTATTCTTACCTTTGTAGGTCACAACATTTCTATTCAAAGCCCCATGGGTTTTTATTTTTTCTAGTTAAATCTCAATATACCGAATACCAGTTGACTTATACTGATTTACATTAGACCAGTTGATATATCGAGTATCTCTTCTTTGAGGGTAATTGGGAGAGACTGTGAACCTGCTGACTTTAAATTCCCATATCAATCCCATTTAAGGAGACCTGCCTTATAAAATTAAATATTCTCATTTTAGAATATCCTTGTGGAGCGTGAAACTCACACACCTCCAACACTTTGGACTCGTACAGATTGTTTCGGCACTTTAGCAGCGGCAGCTGGGGGATATACAGATGTTAGCGGTGATGAAGAACCTGAACCTTTAGATATGGGTTGGCCTCCACAAGATTCAGAAAGAATATGTCAATCAGCACCTCCATCTGCCCTTCTCTCGCCTGGAGGCCGTTCAAGAACTAAACGGAAGAAGAAAGGAAAAATAAATAATAGCCAAGCAAATGTTTCTGATTTGAAAACATCGCCAACAAAATTTGAATTTTTACATCAGGTGTGTGGGGTGTTTTTTAAAAGTCTACTCTGTTTTGTTGATATTTTACACATTCAGTGTCCTTTTTATCATAACAATACATTAGAGCAATTTGCAATTCGAAAGTTTTCCTTTCCCTCCAAAAATTTTTTTGATCAACCTATCGACAATTTTCCAGGGTTTGCGGTATATCCAGAAATTCGTTTTATACAGAATTAAGGTTGTCGGATAGTTGGAAATCTTCGGATTCCTGGTCCGAACCGAAAATTTCCGGATATCTGGCCTTTTTCGGAACCGGATATCCGGATCCGACAACCTTATACAGAATTTGTGCTCATTGAGGCCCTTATATCTTCTATTATCACTCGAATTTATTAGCACCACTATTTTACTATGTTGTCGGGATGCATGTAGTGTTTGGGAGCTATCAGAATTCATACGAGTACCTACGTATGAGTATGACAAAAAATTATGTAAGCAGGCACTAGCAATTTTAAATTTCCAAAACCTGGATTTTAAACACAGGCAATACCTGACTGGGAACTCTAGCTTCTATCCTGTTCAAACTAAAAAAAAGTTCGACATTATTTTTTAAAATTTAATATTCTCAGGATTCCCAACAAGATTTATCATCACCTCCAGTAGACCATCAACATCAACATTCTTCCCTAATTAATCAACAACCTCCCCCAGCATTAGCTAACTTCATTCCTTCAATATCAGAACAACAACATTCCCTTCAACAAAGACAACAACAGCCTTCTTTAGCTGCCCAATTAGCTGTCGGTTTATTACAAGTCCCTCCATTTAATAATCAACAGCAACAAACAACTCCAATAGACTTAAGACAATCCCAATTTCAAGCCCAACAATTTTATTTTCAACAAATTAGTGAACAACAACAGCAGCAACATTCTTCTGCTTTTGCTCCTCCAACATCTTGTACTAACAACGGGAATAATGGAAATAATAATTTTGTTTCTGCTTTAAAATTTCTTGAATGTCATCAAATGAATGTTGGGGGAACTCAGCAAATTATTGGAGGGGAAAATGAAAATAATAATAATGGAGGAGGAGGAGGAGGTAGATTTTTCATGAAAAATAATTGAGGTGTATAATGGTTCTTGCTTGGTATTAGGCGTTTTGGGACTTCCCTTCAACAAAGACTCCGACTCCGGGCATTTTAAAATCCTAACTCTAGCTCTCCCTGGGCCATACTCTGAACTGATGTATACTATTGGACCTACCACACTTTTGTTCTCTCCCTTCAATATTAAAGTGAGATTGAGATTATATCTCATTCAATTATCTCGGTTATTAAGCAATATATACTGATCATAATCCCTTCAAGTTCGATCTCTTATCATTGCGTATTTTATCGATAGATTTCAACATTTTTTTGGGATTGTCTTATTTTTATTTATAATTTCCCCTTAAACACTCTTGTTTCCCCTTATCACCATTGCTTATTTAATTCTCTTAGAAAATTAAAAAAATATTTTGTTTAGATTCATTCACTACAAGAGGACCACAATCAACTTTAGAAGCATTCCTCGCCACAGATGTCCAACAATTTCATTGTGACATGTGTGACCGCAAATTTCGAAAAGAATCCGAACTTTTATTACACAAACAAACACACTTAATTGAAAGAAAACAGAAAAATAATTTTTCTTCAAATTCTGTTAATAATTCCTTTCAATGTTCTGAATGCCCAACAGTTGTTAGGTCAAAAACGATGTTGAATAGACACACGGAAAGTGTTCACGGAAGGAGTGTAAATTTAGAACAATTAAATAATGGACAAAATCTGGCTTCTCAAGTTCAGAATATTGGTGAGAAAAAAATATTTTTGAACTCGAAAGGAGATCCTTACGATTAGAGACCGGACAGATAGTCGAGACGAGAGTCAAGACGAAACGTCGAGATGACTAAAGAGAGTCGAGACGAGAGTTGAGACGACTGGAGAGAGTCGAAATGAGAGTCGAAGTCGATCGAGGAGAGAGTCGAGACGAGACGAGAGTCGAGACGAGACGAGACGAGAGTCGAGACGAGACGAGACGAGAGTCGAGACGAGGAGAGAGCCGAGACGAGACGAGAGTCGAGACGAGACGAGAGTCGAGACGAGACGAGAGTCGAGACGAGACGAGACGAGACGAGACGAGAGTCGAGACGAGACGAGACGAGAGTCGAGACGAGACGAGACGAGAGTCGAGACGAGACGAGACGAGAGTCGAGACGAGGAGAGAGCCGAGACGAGAGAGTCGAGATCGGGATCTCGAAAAATTCTTGAAAAATTTTCGATCTTGATAACCGAAATTTTTTATCGAGCTCTCGTCCCGGTCCGGTCTCTATTTATGGTCCTTGTGATGGTCGAGCACTTATAAATTAAGTAGCTAGAGCCATAAAATTTTGCATTTATATTCTTATATGGCTTGCCCATCTCCATTGAAAATTTCAGAATTTTTGCTTTGATATTTCAGAAATTATGGGTAAAAATGTTCCTACTCGTTAAAGAGTTATGGAATATTTTCTGTCATAACTTTTAGAATATTTAACTAAAAATTCTGAAAATTTGACTGAGGGTTAATAACATTCTGCAGTAGAGATCGCTTAGGATCTAGATCCAGTCTGGATTTTTCCTGGATCCAGATCAAGAATCTTGTTCAGGTTACTAACCTAAATACAGAGCCAGGGTTTTTGAAAATACTGATCTCTACTCTGTGGTATACCTATGTACAATTTCATTTAACTAAGGCTACATTTGACAGATTTATTTAATATTTGTCCTTATCCTATTATCTTATTCAGCTGTTTTCCTAATAAATTCCAAAATTTTAATAATTTTTAAAGGTCCCCCTCCTACATCCTCACAACAAATGCTACCCCCACAAACAAATCCAATACACAACAACCATTTACGCAATTTTCTCTGTACAGATTGTAATGTGAGCTTTCGCTCTCACGGTGTTTTAGCCAAACATTTGCGATCTAAACAACACGTAAAAAATGTAAAAACCTGAAAGAAATTTTCTTTACAAAATTTGTTTAAAATTTTATAGTTAGTTACACTTGGAAAGTTGTCAGAAGATGCCAATTCTTTATTAATTCGTGACCATAGCAAAGCTTTGGGAAATATAGACGCAAGCAATTGTGAGAAGGCACTTACCTCAACTAAAGGTGTGAATTGAAAAATTCTCCTTATCCACTTAAGCTTAAATCTTTATCATAGCATTCAGTAAATATTCAAGACTGGATGTCTGATGAGACTAGATTGACCCTTAAGTGGTAAATTACGGGAAAGATTTGGAAATTTGGAAGATAAAGGAGTAGATATTTATCTCCTATGTGGCCATAATTGGGCCATTCTACTTGAGGACACACAATTACCCCGCTATTAGGGTTGTCGGTTCTGGACCGAACCGAACCAAACCGAAAAACCACTGATTTTTTGCTTCGGTTCTTCGGTTCGGTCTCGAATATCCAAAGAATTTCAAGGAACCTACAACCCACAATCGCCCCACCTTCATAGAGAAATTTTTTTTATATCGATGAGTTATCCTTATAGTATGTATTATTCGGAAGAATCTATCCTCTTTTGTCTATCCCTATTTTGTGTTAACCCCAGATATTCTTCCCTTACACAACAATTTTTTCCAGAATTATTGAATAAAATGCGTGAGCAGCTGGGTATTGTTAGTGATAATGCTACTACTGCTTCTTCACTACAAGTGAGTAATGGAAGTTCACAAAAGACAATAGCAGGAAACTCCCCAAGAATTATTAGCAGTATGGGGAGTACAACACATAAACGTCCAGCAGAACCTTTAGTACATGGACTGAAAAGGAAAAGCAACGATTTGTAGGTTTTTGTTTAAAAAATTTTATCTTATTGCGGTCCTATTGATAAGTATATCTTTCAATTTTAGACCAAACAACGATGATTTTGGAGGGAGACCTCAAAATCCTCCTCAAAATGCTACAACTCCATCCCCGCAATTAAGACGTGATTCTTTTTCTTCTCCGTCTCCGCAAAGACCAAAATACAGTCGAGATGATTTGGCACATCAAGTGGGATATCTTCTTATTTTTTAAATTCCTTTTTGTTTCTTTCTTCTCACAAGAATACTCTTCTCCAACTTATTGTTAGTGTGGAGATTCTCTATACACCCGGCTTAGAGTTGTATTAGACCCCGGATATCCTAATCAAAAATTTTCGGATATTTTATCCTGATTTCATATATCTGGGCATTTTTCGGATCGCGATCCGCCAGCATTAATGCTTGCTTCGTCCCCGTAGCTTTGCCCTCCTTTTTCTTCAGTTCACCCACATCTTCGTAATTAGGAATTCATCTCTTTCCTCTTTACTTCTCTCACTTCTACCAACTTTTAAACTTATAAAAATTTTTCATTTTCAAGTCTGAATCGCCTTTACATTCACTTGCTCAAGTTGCTGTTGCAGCTGCTGCAGCCGCTGCTGCACGTCATCCATCTCCTTCTACATCTTCCCTTCATCATTCACAACAACATTCAACTTCACGTATTGCAACAGCAAATGTTTGGGTACCCCCAAAAGTAGAACAATTACAGCCTTGTAATACTGGGGGTGTTTCTCCTATGTCTACCATTGATGCAAGAAAATCTGTTACCCCAGAAATGCATCAACATAATGGATTGATAGCTAATGATAGATTAGGATGTTGGTCTTTTACAACTTTAAAATTTTATTACCCATTATAAGTCCCAAGTTTAGGGGGTTTTAGTAGTCTGCCTGGGCCACTTTCGAGTTCGGAAGACTAAAATTCTGGGATCGTCTAAAAGCACCAAAAATTTTTTCATTTGTCTTCTCCTACCTTCCCCTAAGGATGGCGGTTCCTGGGAAATCTCCGGATATCCTGATCCGGTATCCGACCCGAAGATTTCCGGATATGGGGTTTTTTCGGTTCCAGATACCCGGGGCCGCCAACCTTACCTTCTCCCCTACTCAATTAAGCATATCAGTCTTCTATCTTTTGGCCATATTTCCTTGCAAATTAATCATATTTTTCAATTTAAATAAATAAAAATTAAAAACCCCCCTAAAATTTCAGCAATGCTTTCCAACCGCTCAGCGGAAGAAACTAGCGAATCTACTGGTACTCGAAGTGAATCAAGCACTCCAGTCCAACAACGTAATGTCTGTCAACAACACCCAGGATTTTCTCCTATGCCAGCTGCTACACGTTGCCAACTTTGTGATTTAAATGTAACTTTGACGCTGCTTTTACCCCTTTAAAATTCACTTATTTTTAAGTTTGACTCTCCAGCACAACTTTCTGTTCATTTTCATGCTGATCATATTCTAATGCGGCATGGAAGGGATTTTCGATGTTCTAGACGTAATTGTGAAAAAGTGTTCCCTTCGAGAGAGTCGTTAAGAGCTCATATTTATGCGCACTTTTTTGGTGGATCTGATGGAAGGGAAATTGATAATCACCTTCAGGTACTTTCTAAGAAGGATACGGATTGATACCTATTTTTAAAATATTTGGATATTTAATAAGCGTATATGATCAGATTTTCTTGGTATCATTTCTCTTAATTTTCTCTCATTCTTCCAATTCCTCTTTCATTCGTGGGGTTACGGTAGTTTTATAATAATATTTCTTCCTTATTTCATTGTTTTTATTGTTGTTTCTTGGGAATTCACGGATATCCAGAATCAAACCGAGGCCTGGTTCTTCCTACTATTGGGTATAAGCCTTGCCTGTCAGCTTCCTCCTCTCTTTTGGCTAGATGTTCAACTGCTTGGTTAGGCGTTCAACTGTTATTTCTATTTCTGACTTGAGTTCATTTCCAAGACTTTTCTTTCGTTTTTTATTCACAATATTTTTTCTTTAGGTATCTGATCGAATCCCTATATTTTTCTAATTTAAAATCAAAATTTTCTACACCTAATTTCATTTAAATTACTTTCCTAGGCACTTCCATTCGCCTCTGCTGCCGCTTCCTGTCCAGCTTCCCCCTCTCTTTTGGCTAGACGTTCAACTGCTCCATCAGCACCCCCACCATGTGCTCAAAGTCCGGGAGTACCAGAAGAATCACATTCAGCTATCGGAAGTCAATTAGCAATTGGAGGGGGGCTAAACAATAATCATTCATTTTCTTCCCCTCCTTCTGTTGCTTCTTCTTTTGTTTCTTCTGGAATAACAACCCCTAAAACAACTGGAAGAATAAAAATTCCTCCAAATAGGCGAAAGGGAGAATATACTAATAATAATAATCAACATTTAAATAATGATATTAAAAGAAAAGAAGAAAATACAGCAACAAATCCATCTTTGTTACGTTGCCAATTTTGTTCTGAACAATTGCCTGATGTTCAGGCTTTACAGGTAGAAATAAAGTTGTTTGGAATAGGGTAGCTCCCCCGTCCCCGTCGGTTTTTTTTGGCAAAAACCCCGGCACGAACCCTCAAGTCTCTACCCCGGCAAACTCTGATCCCTGACGATTCATACTCCGAAGGCTCGGGCAGCTTACCTTAGTTTGGAAGATGACTAAATTAACCTTGGTAATAAATCAGTAAATTGAGAGTGGGTAATTTTTGATGGATTTGAAAGTCTTTTGAGTTAAATTATAAACTGGGACCTTAAGGTCGATTTAAAATTTTACTTGTGCCCGTTAAATTATAAGTCGTTGGTGAGATGGGGAGAAATTTAGGCTAGGAACCGGCCCGAGACTAGATCTTGGGCAAACTCTTTGTTACCGAGTTCAGGACCTCCTTAACTCTCAATTGTCTTCTTTATCCTTTGATAATGTATATTCTTTCTATCCATGAAGATATATTATTTTAAGAATACCTTCTTTAGCCCCTCCTTGTTTTAAATTTAAAAAATTTCTTCTAAAAATTTTTTTGAAGACTCATTGGGTAAAACAACACATGGCTCAACTTACACGTCCCCACGTTTGTGTAGAATGTGATGCTGGATTTACAACTGAATCAGCATTACAAGCACATCGTGAACGACAACATAATTTATCTGCTAACAATAATGGAATAAATTAAAATTGAACGAAAATTTTTAAAATTTTTTAGAGAATTAATTTTTTAAAAAATATTTTTTTTTCTATTTAATATTTCTGTTTTTATTTTTTATTTTTTTTAAATTTTTATATTTACTATTCGACATGACAGATTTTTTTAAATTAAAATTTTGTTATGGAAAAGTGGATTTTGGTTATTAAAAAAATTTTTTTTGTTAATTTTTCAGTGTTTCAAAAATAAATTTTGTTCGAAAAAATTTTTTTCATTGCCAAAATCCACCCTTTTCCATTTTTGTTATCTCTATAATTTTTTTGCGCAAGTCCCTATTTCTTGTTTTATATTTTTGCATGCATCTAGCAATGTATATAATAAATAAATTTTAATAAATTTTTTTGTTATTTTAGGTTGTATTTTAATTATAAATAGTGGGTTTGCCGGACTTGAAGTGTCGTATAAGAATCGAGATTAAGATAATAATATCGATTCTCAATAATTGAGATTTTTGATCAAGATCTCGTATCGATCCGATCTTTAATTTGGAAGATGTCGTCGTCGTGATGACGACGACGTCAAGAAGATGTCGTCGTCATGATGACGACGAGGTCAAAAAGCTGTCGTTGTCTTGATAACGACGACGTCAAGAAGATGCCGTCGTCATGTTGACGACGACGTCAAGAAGATGTCTTCGTCGTGATGACGACGACGTCAAGAAGATGTCTTCGTCGCGATGACGACGACGTCAAGAAGATGCCGTCGTCGTGTTGACGACGTCAAGAAGATGTCGTCGTCGTGTTGACGACGTCAAGAAGATGTCTTCGTCGTGATGCGACGACGTCAAGAAGATGTCGTCGTCGTGTTGAAGACGTCAAGAAGATGTCTTCGTCGTGACGACGACGACGTCAAGAAGATGTCTTCGTCGCGATGACGACGACGTCAAGATGATGTCGTCGTCGTGTTGACGACGACGTCAAGATGATGTCGTCGTCGTGTTTACGACGTCAAGAAGATGTCTCGTGTTAACGACGTCAAGAAGATGTCTTCGTCGCGATCACGACGACGTCAAGAAGATGTCGTCGTCGTGTTGACGACGACGTCAAGAAGATGTCGTCGTCGTGTTGACGACGTCAAGAAGATGTCGTCGTCGTGTTGACGACGTCAAGAAGATGTCGTCGTCGTGTTAACGACGTCAAGAAGATGTCGTCGTCGTGTTGACGACGACGTCAAGATGATATCGTCGTCGTGATGACGACGTCGTCAGAGGGGCCTTTCATATGTTTTGGCCAAAAAGGCCCCTCTGATTTTCTTTATAATTTTTTTGTATCACGTATTTCATACATAGATTCTTTTGATACCCTGGCTTCTTACGAGATTTTATGTGATTTTTCTTATGATACATATATGATATTTTTCCTTAGCCTGATAGTGAATACCTTAGTGAAGTCCGACTACTTGAAAAAAATTTTTTTAGAATGATCAAAAATTATTAAATTCTAGTTAGCTAAACTTCAACGAAATTTTCTCTATCAAAAATTTATTAAAATCATAGTAAATAATTTTTATATATCATCAAATTGAGGTAAGAACCGGTTGTTTTGAATTATAAAAAATCTATAGATTTAACAAAAAAAAATTTTTTTTTGAAGGATTTGGCATTATAAATATCCCTCCAAATACGAGAGAATAAAATAAAAAATTATTTTTTAATCCCTAAAAACATTTTTCGAGAGAAAAAGCTTTGTAAAAATATTTTTGAGGATTTTTTAATAAAAAAATTTTCCCTTTTAGCGCAAATCCCCGTATCTTTTTCACATTTTTAAACGACCTGTTTACGCCCTCGACTGTGTCCATTTATTTAATTCTGTTTTTATTTAAATAAATTTAAATAGTGAAAGTTTTGTTTAACAAAATTTGGTGAAAACTGGCTTTTAAACTGTTCTGGAAAGTCATAAAACTTGTTAAATTTTGGTGAAATTCTAATTACAACTTTCATTTTGATTTTTAAATATTAAAAAAAAATTTTTAGAATTTATTTAAAAATAATGGAGAGAAGATTGTCTTCAATTTCTGATTTTTATGTTAATTTAATTAATTTATTGATGGCTTTGAAGTTACCTGCTTTAATTGTTCTGGTTTTTAACGACAAGGCCAAAGGTATTTAATATTCTGATTCTAGTGGTTAATTGTAAATATAAAAATCAGAATTAATTTGAAATCAGAATTATTATTAAATTAAAGAAATTCTGAAAAGCAGAATTATTTATTATTCAGAAATCAGAAACTCAGAATTAATTTTCTATTCAGAAAAATCAGAAAACCAGAATTTTAAATCAGAATTATTTTTTCTGAAAATCAGAATAGTTTAAAATCAGAATTAATTTTTCAGAAAAATCAGAAAACCAGAATTTCTAAACAATTATTTTTCTGAAAATCAGAATTTTAAAATCAGAATTAATTTCTGAAGATCAGAATTAGACATTTAAAAACCAGAATTATTCCCTTTTCAGAATATTTTTTAAATTCTGAAATATTCAGGCTATATTTTTCTCTGTAGAAAAGTCTTACTTTCCTTCTCAAATCTAATTAATTCTGATTACCTCAGAAATTAAAAATTCTGAATTATTTTGAAACTTTTATTTAAATCCTTTTATCTCCCACAATTTAAGGTTGTTTCCCGTTACAACCAGCAATGTCCCCTACCTGCTTCCCGCCTTCAACAGGTTGTCCCTCTGACAGTTATTCACCTTCTACTTATGGTTCCGAACCTTCTCCCTATTATTCTTATGGTGAATATCAACCTCCAGAAGTTTATTCCTATCCTTCCTCTCCTTATGGATCTCCCCAACAACCTTACTATCACGCTTCTAAATCCCGTACAATGCCTTCTGTGGCTGAAGACTCTCCTGCTAAAGAATTGAAAAGCAGTCCAAGTCTGGATTCTTGTATTAGACGATATCCAGATACTCGACTTGTCTGCGCTTTACCTTTCGAAAGGAGAACACCAACAAATGAGAAGGAATGTAAAAAGTAAGGGATTTCTGTTTGTGTTACATATACACGAGGCCGATTTCTAGCTAGGAAGATAAGGGTCTAAAAGATGGAAACTCGATTCTCTCACTTGATTAACAAAATTAAAGGGGATTAAAATTTCTTAACACACCATATACATATTTTTTTAACATACCATACAACCTTGAGGCGATTCCGAAGGTTGAGACGGCACCAGGGATGGAAGAGTTAAAATAAGATGAAAGAGTTCTTTCATAGTCTCTTCGTATCGTATTTCGATAATCAGGCCTATATTTCTAGCAAGATTGATAAAAGTTATTGTAGTTAAAGCATTCTTTAAATCTGCAAATCCTTTGCATCGAAATATATTTAAAAAATTAAAGGAATTGTCTCAATGTCGGGCCTCGTTGCCGTAGCTTTCAGTATGACCCGGCTGGCAACGTCTGCGATCTGTTTGAGCATTCCCTCGCTCCATCAACCTCTTCCGGACAAACAACACTGCAACCTCCACCATCCTCACCCTCTGATCCGTTTGCAGCTTTGGATGATTGGGATAACAAAAAATCTAAAAAACATTCTTTAACCGTAAAAATGCTCTCTGCAACAAAGTCAAAAATTTCAAGGGGACGGGAGAAGAGGTTTTCGCTTCACAATGGAGTTCCTTTGGATGAACATAGTCAATCATTAGCTTATGGAGCGAATTTAGATGAACGGAATTCTGGTTTGATGGCACCTATTGGCGGAGGAAATGAGTAAGTTTTATTGAGATGACTAGATTACTAGTGGGTTCTTATGGATTTAGATTAAATAGAAGGTTTCAAACAATGTCCGAGATTGGACTAGCAGATCCGAGTATGATTAAGCCGGGATATTCGAAAATTTCCTAGGATCCGTCAACACTAGTCCTTAGTTTCATCAACTTCTATATCTTTGTCCGTCTCTCATTTTTGATCATCTAAAGTAATAATGAGTGTCAGGAAAGATCTCTCTTTCTTTCTCATGTATCGGGGGAGTATATAATTAAATTTTGAAGCCTTTCTTCATCCACTTCTCATTGTGTTCCGATACTTGAAAGAAAGGTAGGAGTTGTTTTTACTGGGCTAGAACCAGGCTGTGAATCTGTCGGTTTGGATGAAGGAGAATATGAAGGAGAAGAGGAACTAGGAGAACAAAAAGACGGTTATGAACAACAATTATTGGAAGATTTAGAAGATTTAAAACCCAAAGCAAGTCCACCTCCATTAACCACAAAAGCAGCAACAAATCTTCAAAAACAAGAGCTTGAGCCGATGACTACAATTTCTGTTGGCAAAAGTAGAAAAGAACAGACTACAACAGATAAATCGAAAAATCGAGGAGATATTCAAGAGGACGTTGATGCTTCCTTGACAAAAACAAAGGATTGTCAAGAAGGACATAAAGCTTATATTCAGGTAGGAAATTTTAAAAAGGGGGCATCAATCTTCATGGAATAAGATGAAGATTGAATGATCTATTAATTAGAGATCGGACCGATCTACCGTCAAAATCTCTTTTAAAAATCTCGGTTATCAAGCTAAAACCTTTCAAAAAACCCTACAACCATAACCTTAACTTGGATTTAAAAAATTCATTAAATACTTTTAAAAAATCAAAATTTTCTTTTTTAAAGTTAATCGACGGTATTTCACTAATCGGTCAATTACCTCTTCTTCTAGCAGTACAATTAGAATCTGCTGATGTTTGTCTTCAAGTCTGCCGTCAAAATAAAGTTAATTTCTTCAAAATTTAATTTTCAATTCTAATTTTTCTTAAAGAATTTGGACGGCTTTGTTTTACCAAATTCTTGTCGTTCGGCCACTTTTCATAGACAATCTGGCCGTTGTGAATTGTTAAATGATTCAATTTCGCCTAATGGTCCTCTTCAGTATATCCCAAATCCCGATTCTCTTTACTTTGAAAAACTTTGTATTCCAAGTAAAATTTTAAGTTTAAAAATAATTGTAAGGTTTCTTGTAGAATCAGACTTAATTTCTAATTGTGAGGATGTTATACATAGAATTCCCCAGCATTATCTGGACTCTAGAAAGAAACAGAGTGACGGGGCTGCAGTTAATGCTCAAAACCAGTTAGAATGTATCAGGCAATGTATTGGGGCTAAGGTAGGTTTTATAAATTTTAAAGGTGTGCTGATATATCAGGACGGACATATCGGGATTGGTGTGACAAAAATAATTTCTTCCGTGTTTACATTTGTTCTAAAACATAAAACTCTATTCTTCAATAGGACAATATACTATCCAAGACCCAGTGACCGTAGGTCCCGAAAGCAGTAAAGTAACTGTTCTTACATTGAAATATCCCGATATGTCCGTCCCGAAATGTCCACTTGCCATTTTAAATTTACCGTATATGCTCGCGTAATTACCTTTTTTCAAATATGACAATAATTTCGCAGGGTAATTATTAGAGCATTTACGCTAATTAGATTACAGTTCGGTTCTTCGGGTTCGGTTCCGGAAATCCGAAAACTTCGGTTCGGTTCTTCGGTTCGGTTCGGATCCAAATATCCGAAGATTTTCCAGGAACCGACAACCCTAGTCAGCCCTTTTATAAAAAAATTCCTTGGTTTGGTATATTTGGGCCAAAAAATCACCTAAAATTGAGGGTAACTATTAATTGGTGTACTTCTTAAAATTGAGGTCTGACTGTATTTAAAGTTTATTTAATCCAGAGTTTATTTTTAAGAGCAAATTAGGCTTTGAATGTGCATCAGCAAGTTTCTTCTTCGACTGGCAAGGCGATAATTGCTTCCTAAGCAGATTTACACGCCTCTCTAGATCTGATTTGTATGCAGCAGAAAGAAAAGAATTGGTAGATTATATGGAAATACCTCTTTGCTTTAGATTATCTGGTAGATTTTTATAAAATATTGGGAGCTATGTAAATCTCAGTACAGTAACCCTTATTACAGTGACACTTTGGGCAACGATTCCTCCCTTATCCCTCTAGCCCAAATATTTATTTTCCAGTAAATAATGTCAGACAAAGGGATGTATTAACAACTAATTACCCTTCATCTTCAACCTCTTCCGCTTCTTCATTTTCTTCCAACGAAAAAGAAGAATCTATTGAAGATACTTCATTTACATTAAAAAATGATTGGAGTGCGTGTATTGGAGGCATACGTTGGAGACCTAAATTAAATTGTAGCATTGCTACTACTAAAAATAATAATTGCTTAGAATCTGAAGCTTGTTCAGCAACGAATAATCGTAAAAAAATTTTCTAATTTTTGGGAAATTTTTAGCATAATTCCGACTTTGTGTTACGTTTAATTAATTATCAAGTGTCAACTAATGCCCATGTTCGCATTATTTCTTGGAATATTTCCTAGTTTGAATCGTGATTATTAAGACCTAAGACCTAGCACTTGGTCTTAGGCTCAGGTTCTAATAATCTAGAGAGAGAGCGTCCTTGTTGGAGCATCCTCTCTGGCCCGAAGGAGCATCCTCTTGGTCTGAAGGACATTCCCAAAGGGACCGTCTGTAGCATCCTCCCCCTAACGGTCTGAAAGGAACATCCCCACTATCTATTTTAATAATTTTTAAATTTACGTTATTTTCTAGAAGCAAAGCCTATAGCTCCAAGCATTGAAGTAGCCAAACGATTTAAGGCCCCAGATGTTAATTCACTTGAAGCTAGGTATTTTGATGGATGAATAAACATAATTAATAATTTATTTCTCAGTTTATATGGAGAGCAGGATTATGAAAATCAAAAAGAAATAAGTTTCTTTGGACCTCCACATGAAAATACTGATACTAAATCAAGTAAATTTTAACGTGCTATAAAAAAATTATTATATGATGTACGAGAAGGGAGTAAATCGAAATTTAGATATTAGAAAGCGATTGAGGATCTGAGGTCTGAGGGTCGATCGGGAATTTAAACAATCGATCGATTTCGATAAGGATTGTTTTTTTCTTTAAAATTTTCGATATTCGAAACCGAAAGACCAAAACAAAATTTTCAGATATTCCGAAAAATCTTGCTCTTGATTTCAGTTCTTAACCTTACCGAGGGCTTTTTCAAATAGATTTTGTCTCGATCCTCACTAGTTATTATTGCTGTGAAATGAGAAAACCTAAGGCACTAAGATAATTCCATGACCCTTATAAATTAATTAATCTAAATTTTTAGATAATTTGTTAAAATCAGAAACAAAGCCAAATTGTGATCCAACAAAGGATTGTTGCCCTATAAGTGAAGGAAAAGGAGGAATAAAAGGAATGGTGCGCGGATGTTCTTTAGGCACTAGAAGGTTACCCAATGGAAAGTCAGTTAGTTGTGTACCTGACAAGTGCCATTGAATAGAAAAAAAGATTTTTTAAATTAAAATACCTATATTTAATTTATATTTTTAAAAATAAACAAAATACATATTTATTTACATATTACCTATGTAGTTTTTAAAGTTTTGAATAAATTAATTTTTGGTCTCTCCTTCAGACTAGACAATGTTTCGCTTAGACTAGGGTAACTCTCATAAATTAGGGGACGTTACTAGTAAATGTTTTACTTGTTCCTTCTGACTAGACTAGAAGGGATGTTCCCTTCTCTTCAGTCCCTCGTTCTTAGACCAACCTCACTACGGAATCTCTTTCGAATCAGCTGCTCAAGGATATCGTTAAAGAAACCACACGTATCAAAATCGTAAAATTACACTAGAAACGAGCAATGGAAGAGATTCCATCTTTTTACTCAAACCTAAATAATTGTAAGGATGATTCACCTAGAGCATTTAAAACGCTTAGGGGGGGGGGGGTTAATGTTTAGCAATAACTGTCAGGAGGTCGCAGGTTCGAATCCTGCCCGGTGCTACTCTTTCTTAATCCATCTAATCACCTAATCTCACATTTAAGAAAAAAACCCAAATTTTTTACTTTAATACAATTTATTCATCGTTAACTCACAAAAATTAGCGAAGCATATACATTATACATACATACACATTAGCATAGAAATCACAACAGCGGGAAACACAAGAATAGCAATGTGGTATTGGGATGAGTAAATAATATATTTGGGTATATACATACAACCTGACAATGTGACACCAATACGGTAAAGGTACAATTCAGAGTGAAGAAGAAATTCAGAGGGGGACACACATTTAGATAGTAGTTTCCTATGTACATTACAAGGTGATAAGGGGAGAATAGAAGTGGGGAATAGATGTGATATTCTGATTATTCCTCTCCTCCTTCTTCGCCTTTGCCTTCATCCTCTTCCTTGCCGCCTTCTTCCTTCTCATCCTTCTTGCTTTCTTCCGCTCCCTTCTCGCTCTTATCGCCGCCCTCCTTCTTCTCGTCGCCGCCCTCCTTCTTCTCATCATCGCCACCCTCTTTCTTCTCCTCATCCTTGGCGCCTTCCGCAGGTTTGTCTTTGTCAGCCTGAAAAATAAAACACATGTAAGCAAGTCAAAAAATAGTAATTTTTAAAACTCACGTCGTCTTTCTTCGATTTCTCTCCTGGTTTCTCGGCTCCAGCAGCGCTTTTCTTGTCCGCTCCTTCAGCAGCCTTATCCGCCGGTGGCTTCTCATCTCCAGCCTTCGATGTCTTCCCATCTCCTGGACCCTTCGCTTTTGCATCATCCTTCTTGTCGTCCTCTTTCTTCCTGTCGTCATCCTTCTTGTCCTCACCAGGCTTAGCAGCAGCAGGTGGTGGAGCGCCAGGCTTTGCACCAGCAGGTGGAGGAGCGCCAGGCTTTGCACCAGGTGGAGGAGGAGCGCCTGGTTTAGCGCCAGGAGGTGGAGGACCGCCAGGGGCACCAGGACCAGCAGGAACGCCAGACTAAATTGAAAAAAAACAAAGAATTTATTAATACACTAATAAGATTTATTCAGTAAAACTCACTTTTTTAGCTGCCTCAGCTGCCTTTGCAATAGCGGAAGGAGTACCAGGCTTTGCACCAGGAGCGCCAGGTGGAGGAGCGCCAGGGGCGCCAGGAGCACCAGGTTTCGGAGCGCCAGGAGCGGCCGGAGGTGCACCAGGTTTCGGAGCGCCAGGTCCAGCAGGTGGTTTCGCTGCTCCAGGTTTCGCTGCTGCTCCAGGCTTTCTAAAATGAAAAAAGAATCAAGTACAGACTATGAGCTTTGAATATAAAAAATAAAACTCACGCGGGCGGCTTTGCAGCTGATTTTGCCGATGGTGGCCCTTTTAGCGATGCTCCTTCTTCCGGTGGTGGTTTCATCTCTGTACCTGGAGCCTTCTTCTTCTTCTTGCAGCATTGCGCGGCGAGCATGGTTGCAACGAAGAACATCACCAGATATTGACAGCCGAACACGAGCATGCGGATTGCCTCTGGAGATAACGAAGATATGTCCATCGTGCAGCAATCGAAGATACGAGTTTTGTGACGAAGTAGTTATGTGTTGTTGGTAGAAGTATTACAGAAAGCTGAGCTTTTATACTACCGTATTGTGAGGGGGCTTTTATATCATGCCCTTGTGAGTGACACTTAATTAGGGTGAGAGTAATTAGAGAAGGGAGAGTTATTGGTCGCTAAAGAGAGAGTTATGGGTCGTACCGTACTGAATCCGAATTGTAGGAAAAGGAGTTGTATCCTATGAACAACTTCCTCTGATGTTATTGGACTTGCCCCGTGTGGGCTAAGTCCTTTGGTGTTGTTTCACTTGCCCGTCGTGGGATAACATAACTGTTTTTGGAACAATATTCTCCAGATTGGAACTTATAATGGGGAATCCACCATATCTGGAACTGTCTTTGGAAATTATACACTCGCACCAAAACGACCCCAGCCCCAGCTTGGAGACATAATAGCCTTCTTATCTAGTGACACTACGAATTTGGAGCCCGTATTTGAGGGTCCCTCTCAGACACACGACGGTCCCGTGCAGGAATCAAAACAGAGAATAAGAGCAACTCTTTTAACTCGCGTTTTATCTCCCCTATTAGCAGAGCTACATACATTAAAGTTAAATAAAATATAAAACAAAAAATTTAAGTTCGAATCAAAACAGTGAATACATTTTAGACAATTTTAGGGTCTGTGGTTTTTCCAAATAAAAATATATTTTCTTCCAAAAATATTTTCTATCTAGACAAAAAATGACGAATAATTTCAACAGGTATTGGCACCTGAAAATTTAAAAAATTTAAAAAATTCAAAATTATTTTAAATATTACAATAATTGTAGAATTTTTCTCAGCAGCCACAGAATTTAAAGTTTGTAAAAATCTTAATTGTAAAGCTGCAGGTGAATCAGCTAGCATTGTAGCCGCTTCTTTTAATGAATTACTTGCTCTTTGTTCGCCTTCTGCTGCTATTACCTTTAAATTTATTTTTTAATTTTCTCTTATTTTTATCAGAACTAGTGTTATTCATTTGCGATTTTTCGAGATCGAGATCGAGATTATCGAAAAATCTCGTTATCGAAAAAATCTCGATTTTTCCAAAAATTGATCGAGACGAGATCGAGATCGATAATCTCGAAAAAAATCTCGCGATATCTCGAAAAATATCGTCGATATATCGTCTCGTGAATAACACTAATCAGAACACCTTTGCTCTAGCTTCACGTGTTGCTTCAGCCTCAGCAGCCATAGCTCTTTGTAACTGCAGTGGAAGCCGTACATCCTTTCTAATAAGTATTTTAAGAGTTTGAATTATTACAAAGTTAATTCCCTAATAAATACTAGAAGGGAAAGACTATAAAGATTTTGAACTTCTCAGCCATGAGGCAAGAAAATGGATTTAAGGGTTTTGTTAAAATTTGTTTTACAACGAATTGAGAGCTCTGCTGGGAGTTCTCAGAAGAGGTTAGAATAACTCACTATCCAAATACAACCCAAATCCAATTGGAGAATGTAGTCAATTAGTCAGATCCCCCAGACACCCCCTCCCCCTCTCCCAAAAACCTTCTGCAATTTCTCTGGGAATGTATTCCTATACCTTATGTCGTGTAAATAATTTAATTTTGGTAAGATTCGTTTAATAAAAACTAAATTATTAAAAAAGGATTTACATTTCTACTCGTTCCACTTTAATTCCCCAAGAATCCGTTGCTTCATCGAGTAGTGTTTGCATTGTCTAAAAAATTTTAAAATTAAAAAAAAAATATAAAATAATCCAAATAACCAAAGCTATTGAATCCCTATCTGAGAGAATTTCAGCCAAAGTTTTTATTCCAAGCCTTTAATTTAAGAAAATAATTATTGTAGAAATCCTGATCAAATCTATTACAGGCTAACCTCATTTTTAGATACCCAGAAAATTATGTAATAGGGAACAGGGAGGGGTTGGATTGAGAAAAAAGTCGAATCGGGTTTCGGAGGGTTTTCAAAATTTTCTTGCATCCGAATTTCGGGTCTTTCGGGTTTTAAGTAACCCAATCCATCCCTGGTAGGTAGGATACCTTCTGTTTAATAAACCTTCTATTTAAGGTATTCCTCATAAGATAAGATAATCTGAGTCTTAAAGGTGGTATCTAAAAAAGAGGTTCGACTGTATATAATTTACATATTTCTCATTGTAGTTTGAGCTAATAAGCGGGTAGAGTGATGTGCATTTTCCACGTTGGCAACACTAAAGAAATTTTTTTACATAAGTTCGAAAATATTCTTTTTCCCCAACCTAACAGTAGCATTCATTATTCTATAATATACAACAGCATCAACTGAGACTGTAACAGAGTCTCTAGTAAGGATTTCTTGAGGAGGCACACTGAAGGAAACAGTGCGCAAGTCAACTCGAACATAAGATTCTATACAAGGCATTACCCAAAAAATGCCTGGAAAATAAATTTTAGATTCTTCGATAATTCGGGTAAAAGGCCTCTTTAGTTTTTTATCATTGTGGACCTAAAGCTATGACGTATTAGAAATTAAAAAAGACACATGTGTCTACTAACTAGAGGTTCTATTAACGATAGGGTTTATCAAATCTGTAAAATAGAAAGTAAGTGAAACATAAAATCCGTAAAATAGAGGTCAAGCTCTATAATATACTTGGTCTATAAAATAAAAGTGTATTACGTACAGCGTTTATAAAATAGAGGCTTTAAGACAACGAATGATTCTATTAAATAGAGGGAATCATAAAATGGAAGGGTTATTGGATAAAAAATCTTGTAAATTGAGATAAGTTCTTGTAGTCATAAGAAACATTCACCTGGTCCTTTCGAACCTCCACCAATTAGCCTTCCCAACCGAAATATAACAGCTCTCTCATATTCTTTAACAACTTTAAGGCAAAAACAAACAGAAACGGGGAAGGTAGCCAAAACAATTAGCCACCCCAAAAACCAAAAACCCCATTGACATAACCAACTGCTAGTATCTCCATCATAATCACCAGCACCTTTTGGGTAATAAGAAAGTTTGAGTTGGGCAAGGGATTGACGTCGCATTTCTCTTTCTTCCTTAAAATAAGATTTTGATGTATAGTTTTAGAGACTTGAGGATCGATTCAATTAATATCTTAATAAATATTAATCTCGATAACCGAGATTTTTGAGAGAGATCTCGTCTTAATCCTCTCTAACTTCGTGTTTTTTAATATCAGGCGACATCCTTAAATGGGTACAGCCCAAAAAGGCGCGCAGCCATAACTTGCTGGAAAATGTCTGGCCTTATACATTTTGGTACCAATCTCCCTAGCTCGATGAGAGGAATTGTTTAATACTGAATCTGGTAAGATAAAAAATCATGAAGCAAGTTATGGCTTTGCAATTTTATGGCCGAGCGCCGGTTTTGGCGTGTCCCTCTTTAAATGGGTTTTTGAATATGACTTATGGCTTTTTATGGATATGACTTAGCTGATATTTATCTCCTCGGTTCTTTAATTAATAAAAGTCAATAGGATCAGATAAGAGAATTAGTCTCCCCATACCTTCGCAAATATCAACGGATTCAAAGTAAAACGTCTGCCCATTCTTGGACGCCCTCCTGATTGACTATGTCTAGGAGTGTTTAAAGCACTTGGAGTAAGAAAATAACTAGGACTTCCAGCACCACTACCAGTACCAGTCATTTGTTGTTGTTGCTGATGGCTACTTTCTGGAGTTAAAAAATGTGAGTGTTGCATTAAAGGAACACGTTCTCCAGCAATTATTTGGTGTTCCTCTTCCTCTACTTCTTTTGGATTTTGACTTTTTCCAGCAGCGAAAGAAGCGTGTGGTGGGGAGGAACAACGTGAAGATGTTCCCGATGAGAGAAGTGAGGAGGATTCGTCTGGATTGGATCCACAAGTTCCTGAAAATTTGAATAATATTCAATGAATTAAGGGGAGATTTAAGAATTTATGTGAGGGATATCATTATTTTCTCTCTAATAGGATAGCATAGGTTTTCACTCTAATACGAGTTGGTGGTGATTTTTAATAATAAAGCAGCTGAACCCATTCAGAAACTAGCAAAATTGGGATAACAAAGGAAAGAATAAACCCGAGAACTATCCCACGAAGGGGTATCTCTCGGAAGGGACCCTTCCTAGAGTGTAAGGGATTTTGGGAAGGGTGATTCCTTCGATTAATTACACTATTAGCTAAAGATTGAAACAATGATTACCCAGGGTAATTAATCAAGAAAATAAGAGTAACCAGATTTAAAAGAATCTTACTTTACTTATCAAATGAATTTTTAAATGAATTTTGAATTTTTAACTCTAGGTGGCTTAAAACTTTGTTGACAATCTAAGAATTATTTTCCTTCCTTCTCAACCTTCCACAAACTCTTTTCATTTTCAAATACACCTAATATTTTTTTCTTAATCTCCTACTCTCGTCATATCCTTGTTGATTTCCAGCAGCTCCCCTCACAGCATCCCCACGTCTCCTAAAGGAAGACGGAGCTGAACGGAAGCGATTCAAAGGAGGAGGTTCTCCAACATTTTCGGAAGGATTAGGGTCGAGTAATTTCATTTTAAAGAATTAATTTTTTCTAAAAAATAACAAAAATAAGAAGAAAAAATGGGAGAGGAAAACAATTTTTATTTCTTTTATTTTTTTATTTAATTAGCAGTAATGGAATAAATAAAAATAAAGGAGAAAAAAGGCTGTCCAAGACAAGGACATTATTTAAAAAAACAAATCGTGAAAAATAAAGTTTTTTGGTAGAATAACTGAGTAGAAATAAGGCAAATTTAAAATGTTTTTTAAAGTGAGTTTTAAAGATGTTTGGAATTAGGGGAGCATTTAATGAATGTTGAGAAGCCTAATTAGAATTAGGCTGATAAAAAAGCCGGGTATCAAATATTTAGCCCAAAACTGGCACAATCGGTTCGCCACGATAAAAAAAGACTCGAGTCTATTTTTTGCGCCGCAGTCGAAAATATTGCAAATTTTGGAGGTCCTTAAGCCGGATTTCTTCCATTTTTTTGCGCCGCAGGAGAATTTCAAAGGCCGTAGGCCAAAAAAAATTCACTTTTTTGCCTAATGTCTTCCCCAATTTCATTTTCAATCCAAAATGTTGATTTTAAAGTACATACTTTCAACAAAGTACAAATTCAATTTCGTAAGTACGAAGGTCGATTTCAAAGTACAATACTTTCAAATTAAGTATGAATCCAAGCCCTGTGTTAAACAATTGTCAAAAACTTAACTTAAAAATGAAAGAAGGATAAGATAAAAATTGGAATTTAAAGTTGGAGAGAATCTTCTAGTTTAAATTCGTTTGAAGTGTAAGCCTTTTGTGGATGAAAAATTGCACATTAAAATGAGCTGTACATTAATAATATAGAGATATCGGAGATATGTATATGGAGATAAAGAAAGTATCGCCTAGGTATCGCCTAGGTATCTCCCTACACCCCCCCCCCCTCCAAACAGGACCAACCACGTTTAAAAACTCGGACACTGAAACTGAGGAGTATAAAATAACCAAATATAGAACCGACTGTAATGAAATTTAATTTAATTTAAATAGCCTTGCCATTCGAAAACTATTTTGGCTATTTAACTAAAATCTCAAAACATTATCTTAATTTAATTGAGGTCACGCAATCCTCTCAAAAATGTCCCCAAATTCATTTAAACTTTTTTTTTAAAATCCTCTCTCAAAAAATACAACTTTTTTCCCCTTTTTATTTATTCACAAAGTTGTAAGATTTAAAGAGGCAAGTTTATTTGTTTCCGCCTAGCGTGGACAGGCTATAAAAATAAACTTTGTTGACCGGAAAAGTTGAAAAAGTTGGGAGAGGGAAAAAAGGGGTTATTTAAAAGAAATATTATGTAAATTACTCTAAAATTTAAAAATAAATTTTGAAAAAAAATTGAAAAATATATTTTTTAAATTTTAATTGGAGACGTTCAAGACTCTTGGTCTTGAGCCTTGATTAATGTCATTTATTAGGAGGTTTTCAGTCTTGAGGTGAAGTCTTGGTCTTCGTCTCACTTTTATGAGGTTTACTAGATTTACACCCTACGAATTAAATGTTTTGGATTCCTTATTAAGTCTTGGGAGGTCTTAGAAAATTTTCGTCCTTTGAGATATCCAATTTTAACATGCTTACCAATTAATATTTTTGTGCTTTTCTCAACATTTTCAATGTCTTCTTGTGAGGGTTCTTGAACAAGTTGAATTTTTGGAATTTTCATTTTATTTTTAAATTATTTCTTTAAAAAATTATGAGAAGAATTTTAATAAAAAAATAAAAATTTTGGAAACATTTTCGAGAAAAAAAATAAATAACTTTAAATTTCTTTTTAAAAAAATATGAAAGTAGAATATTTTTGAGAATAATGCCAGCCAAAATATTTCTTCAAAAAAATTTTTTCTTAAATTTTTACGCTTTATTTGTTCTTTTTTTTCTTAAAATGCGCGTCTGTCATATTACTTAAAGTATTTACAGCCTCCCTATTTTAGCCTTGAGAAAGTCAGTTGTAAACTTATTCAAGCATAAAAGGTGAAAAAAAAAGAATTTTTAAACAAATTTCTGCCAACTTTTTTAAAACTTTTTCCAATATTTTCCAACTTAAGTCGAACTTTTTACAAGCTTTTTTCGAACTTTATCTCAGCTATTTTTGCAACTTTTTTCTCAAACTTTTCCCAAACTTATTTTACCAACCTTTTTCGAACCTTTTTCCGACTTAACCCCACCCAACTTGTTTTAAAGCATTTTCCAATTTTTCTTAAGCATTTTATCAACTTTTTCCTAACTTTTTTCGAACTTTTTTTCCAACTTTTCCCCAACCATTCTTCCAACTTTCGTTCCAACCTATTCTCCTTCAGCCTTTTTTCCTAAACTTAAATTTCCCCATTTTTGAGGTCATTTCACAGTCGAGTCATTTAACAGTCAAACTAATTTAATAAATTTAAATTGTATAAAATTGGTCTAATTTTCAAATTAATTATTTTTAAAATATAAAATAAAGGCTATTAGTCCTTAAATTGTATTAAACTTAAAATAAGCTTTCTTGGACAAAAATAAAGGCAAATTTCACTTAAAGATACAAAATTCGGTCAAAAAAAATTTTTAGCTCAAGTATTAAAAAGCCTTGAATATTTTGACTATTAGAGGAGGTTTTTATGAGAAAGTTGCATTTTTTGCTTTCAAGTTTTGCACTATTGTTTTTAAAAAAGAAGAAAGTAATTTGAGCAGATGGAAGAAAATGAAAAAAGAAAAAAAAGCAGAGACCCCTCCCATCCCCCTCCTCCCCCCCCCCCCTCCCCTCTATATATTTTCTTTTATTTTTTGAATAACTGAATAGGGGGGCTTTTGGAAGAAAAAAAGAAAGAATGTCAGTGAAAGACTTTTTTTTTAAAAAAAGTTGTCAAAATGAAAAATGGGAGGAAATGTTTTGTTTTATTTGAGAGAGGAAAATGTGGAAGGAAATTAGGGGAAATGAAAATAAATGAGTGTATTTTTTAAAAATTAGAAAGATTTTGAAAAATACATAAATCAAAATTAATTAGAGGTTTTTTAAAAAATAAAAATATATAGAAAATAATTAAAAGAATAATCTCTCTTACATCAATCATCCACCCTTTTTATTATGTTCAGCTCTTTAAATAATCACGATTAGATTTTCCTGTTAAAATTTCTTCGGCTTCTTCCCTCTCTAGCCATATAGAGTTTGATTCCCGAGTTGATTAAGATTTCCGTATTGGAATATCGGAAACGAAAATTTAGGATATCCCAGGATATTTCAGATCCGTCAACACTAGAGTTACACGTCTTAATCTATAAATCATTTTCTCATTTGGCCCTTTCAAATTAGAAGGTTAGGGATTTTTGACTGAAAAGTCGGATATTGACTGACATGAAATTTATTTGAATTTATTATTCTTTCAATTGAACTTAACTGTTCAGATCTTAAATGGATTGTTCAAGCAATAATTTGAAAATAAAATATAAAAAATATAAAAATATTATTCTTTCTATGAATTTATTTCGAAAATTTATTTAGAAAAAAATTACTTTTTTAGTAACAAACCCAATTTAAAACAGACAAAATACCTTCCACTTCCGCTAATTTAATTTTATTTATTTTTGTTGCTATCTCAACATTTTTATTTATTTTTAAAAAATTCTAATTAAAATTAATAAGTCTCTCCACAATTAAATTAAAAAAGCATTCCTCCCCCCCCCCTCCCCCTTAAAAAATAACAAAAAATTCAACTTGCCCTCTAATTGAATCCTGACATGTTGAATTCTTCTACGGTCAACAATTACACTACTAGCTGTCCTATAACTGGTATTTTGTTGTTGTTGACTACTAAATATTATTGGAACATTCCCTCGTCTTAAACTTTCATCAGTAAATTCGTTTGCGTTTAAAGGGGAATTGTTGTCTAAACTAACTCCTCTAAGCCTTAAACCTCCTCCTCCACCCTCTGGGATTTCTTCTTCATTTACTTCCATAAATGAGAAAAAAAATTTCTCTAAAAATGTTTAAATTTCAATGATTATATCAAAAAAATGGGGAAAAATGAGGGAGAATTGGGGAAAAGGGCTGGAAATAAAATATATTTTAACAGATATCTAGGGCTAATATAAAATTAAAATTGAAAAAATATAATGGCCAAAATCAAAATTTAAGATTAAATAGCAAAAAAAAAGATTAAAATTTATTTATAAAATAAACAAGAATCCAGACTATAATATCATAAATGCTCAAATAATTACCCTAAGTAATTATTTCGACTTTTTGCTGGAAGAGAAAGATGGTGTTAAATTTGGGGTATCTCAATAGAGGACAAATTTAATTTATTTTTAGATGTTGGTTCTTAAAATGTTCCATTAATTAAAATACATGATAATTTTTTAAACATTTTTAAAATTGGTATGGTAAAGATAGTATGGTAAAAATTTGGCGTGTAGAAATCCAATTCCAAAAAATTCAGGTATTTTTAAGTTCAAAATTTATTTTTAAATTCAAAGGCAAAATTTTTAAAAAATTTTCAAAACAAATTACATCTAATTTAAACCAAAAATCCATTCAATAGGGAGAAGCAATCAATGGGATAATCGAATATTATTATTAGCTATTTGTCACAAATAACCACCAAAAAATTATTTTAAAGTTTGTCCTTTTCCCAAAGTTATTTTGGAGTGTAAAATTTGTGAGAAAAAAAAATAATTTGTTGAAAAAGAAGGGAAGAAGAAGATTGTCAAATGTTGAGGAAAACGTAAATTGGATTACACATATATATTAGCTGTTATGAAAAAACTGGAAGAAAACGCCCTCAATTGAGTTTGGGTGGAAAATAAGCTTCTTTCACCAAAAGCTATTTAAAAAGTAGGTAGCACTTATAGTCATCGGTCTTTGTTAAGTGAATTTTCTGTCGAATCTCGCTGAATAAATTCCGTCGGGTCCGTATTTTATAGACGTAAAAAGAAGAGAGAGAAATATGCTAACGGAGAAGGCATTCCGTCGAAATTAAACTTTAGCCACCGGGCATGATTCGAATCAGGGCTGATCGAAATTTCGTTTCGTTTCGTTTCGCTCTTTCGTGCCTTTTTTTCCATTTCGTTTCGTTTCGGAACGAAACAGAAAAAAATTTATTTCGTTTCGTTTCGAAACGAAATAGCCAAAATTCCGGACGAAACGAAACAAAAAAAATTGAGAAAATGCACCCCTAATGACGGGAATTTATTGAAATAATCATTAATTTTTTAGTGATTTCTGTCTTATGAGCAGCCTAAAATTAAAAAATTTTCGCCTGCGGCGCTGAAAATGGGAGAAATTTGGCTTCTTGAGCTCTAAAATTCAAAAAATTTTCGCCTGCGGCGCTAAAAAGGGAGAAAGCTTTTACGGGTTTTACTAGAGCAGACCAGCCTTACGTCGCCCAACCCACCATAGTCCGAAATCCTCATTTCGGTGATCTAAAAATAATAAAAATTTTTGAAACCTAGATTTGAATATGCTGGAGTTGTACTCCAAATTGGAGTTGTACTAAAATTTTTCTTACTTTGTGCGGTGGATTAAAAGAGATCTCGAGGGATTCGTGATATTGAGGGAGATTTGGCAAGATTAAGGTGATATTGTGGTATTGGCGAGATTAAGGGGATATAGGGGAATTTTGTGTATATTTGGATTTTATGGATTAAGTGAATATAGGTGTTTTTGGGAGGGGGATATACAAGATATCGCAAGGGATATAGAAGATATCTCGTCTATCCTTCTTAATATCCCTCTTGATCGATATCTAAAGTGGTATACTCCAAAGTAATTTGGATATATCGATGGATTTTAATAGGATATCGGAGGATTAAGGCGGATATATGTCGATTTGAGGGGATTAATGGGGATATAGGCAGATTTATAGGACCATCTCGTCTTTCTGGGTTGCTTTTGTCACGCATCTAGCTCTTGGGGTGCATATCTATAATTTAAATATCGATTAAGAGCCTTTATGAACTGAAAAATCAATAGCTTTAAATTTTTATTTTATTTCGTTTATTTCGTTTCGTTTCGTCCGAAACAAGCTCATTTCGTTTCGTTTCGCTCCGAAACGAAATAGGAATTTTTTTATTTCGTTTCGATTCGAAATAAAAAATATTTTTATTTCGATCAGCCCTGATTCGAATCTGTGACAACGCTGACAGTGCTCGCTCGGCCTTGCTTACACAAATGCAGGAGCTCTACTAGTGAGCTACTGGGGCGACGACTAGATCGTTTAACCCCCGCCTATAAGGGGAGCAGGCCAGTATACCGCCGAGCTATAACTTCGTTCAAAATTGTCGAATCCAGGATGCCCTGGTATGTTTCGATTCAGCTCGTTGAGGCGCATCGAACCATACCAGGGCCTCCCGGATTTGACAATGAACGAAGTTATAGCTCGGCTGTATAAAACTTTGGGGACTTAGCTCGGCTGTATAAAACTTTGGGGGCTTATAACTCGGTCCCTGGTACCATTCAGCGGAAACGGTTTCAAGTTTTACAATAGAAAGGATATGATCTAGCCGTGTACCAAATTTCATCCCGAAGTCCCACGGACACCCAAAAGCCTCTCCTTTGTAAGTGAATCATCCTTACAATATTTTCTTATTTTAATTAATACTTACTAAAATTACATTAATTAAAAAGAGCAAGATAATTTATCTTAAAAATTGAGATTTCAAAAAAATTAAAGCATTAAAAAAATAATTAAAAAAATTTTTACAAATTTATTTAAATTTTCCCCATCATTTTATTTGCAAAATATTCTTCAATAGAAATTGATTTAATTAATTCTTTTCTCAAAATTAATTTTGATTTTGTCTTCTTTCCTTCCTCATTTTTTACATCTTCATAAATACAAAAAGAATTTTCTATAGGCGTTTGTAAATTAATATTTGGAAGTTTTGATGAATTTAAGTAGGGAGTTTGGGGATGATTTTCTTCATTAGTTATTTGTAAATCAAAATGGTCTTGCGGCAGGCCAAAAAGTGCCTTAAAAATAAATTGTGAGGGAGTTATTTTTTTTAATTAAAAAAATTTTTTTTGAAATCTTCCCCAAAATTTAACCAAAAAAAAGTTGCTTTGAAGGATTAAATTGTCCTCTCTAAAGTGTCATTTCGGTAATTCTTCGGTTCGTATTCCCCATTTTTTATTTTTTCTTCCCTTTCTCCCTTATTTTTCATGTAGAAATTATCAAAAACTGTCGAATCAATAATTGTCTAAATTTCCTAAAAAATCTTTTGAAAGAAAATTTTTATCGAAAGGAAAAATCTGATGAATATTATGTTAAGGCCATTTTTCTTGGTTCCAGAAATCGTAAGATTATACCGAAGATTTTTTCAATGGCACTGACAAGTAGGGTTGTCGGTTCCAGGAAATTCTTAGGATATCTGAAACCGAACCCCTCGTTTCGGTCCAAACTGACAACCCTACCTACAAGGAAGCAGCACACTTATACTCTTCAAACCTAGATTCTGGTTATATTGTTTTGGAAAATGGACCAAATAATAAAAGCACACTTTTGAAAGGTTCAAAAATTAAGAAAAAAATTTTCACAAAACAAACCTGAAAGTCCAAATCATTAATTAAAGATTCACTAATTTTTGATTTTTTAATAACTTGTTTTGGTGGCGCAATTGGAGTTTTGAAAAGAGAAGAACTTTGATCAGTATGGTCATCAGAAAATATTTCGAATCTGTCAGTTTTTGACTTCTTTGTGACACTTAAATTAATTAAAAAATTATTTTATGACTTTTAAAAAATTATTTTAAAACACAGATGAATTAAAAAATTAGTTGTAAAATGATTTAACGTCGTTGTCATTCTTATGAAAAATTTGAATCACTCGGGAAACAAACCGTTAATCGAAAATTTTTTGTAGAAGGGGGTTATAGAGAATATGTCAAATCCTCTCATCCTAAAGTGCTCATATATTCTATATCAGGGATCGCGCTGACCCGATTCACGAAAATTGAAAATTCCCGACGATTTTTGACTCGTGAATTCACGATTCACGAAAATTGGGAATTTGATTTTCTGTCGGCGTGATCCCTGTTCTATATAATATATTCTACAATCAACAACTCATTTAAATAAAAACTAAATTTTTAAAAATTCAAAACTTAAATCAAATCATTTCGTAAACCAGGCAAATTACACTAAAATTCCAAATAGAAGAAACACAGCGGCCTCCTAATTTTAATAGAATTGTGACCCGAATTAAGAATAAAACCTCAAAATTTTTTAATAACCTCAAAACTCCTGGCGGTCCTTGAGGCAATCGTATAATTGGTGCAAAATGTAAACGTCCAATTCCTCTAAGCCTCGAAAATGTTGTTCTAGCAGACTCAACAGAATCATCAAAATCTTCATTGTCCAATGGATTTTCGGGATTTTGTTTACAAATTGACATTATATTTGATTCGAGTTCATCACTAGCTTTATGGACTAAATCTAATGGGACGGCGTTCATTTTTAGAGCAAGTTGAAGCTTCTCGCGAGCTTTATTCCACCATTCTATAAATTGAATTTTTAAATTTAAAACAATCTATATATTGGCTAATTTCCCGGGATAACATTTTTTTGACTATGATAAAAAATTTTCCTCGCCCCCGAATTTTCCAGCATTTTTAGAGACAAGCGGGCCTGTAACTACAAAATTCTTCTAACGGTTTTTCAACTAAATAATCGATATCAATCTTTAGCCAATCAATCAAAAAAAATTTTTAAATAAAATGGAAAAAGACTATTAAAGTGAACATAGAGAGAAGGGGAAAAGTCCGCAAAAATTTTTTGCGGAAATCCACAAATTAATCTTTATATGTGAAATTCTCTACATTTTAGAGACCCCACTCAAATAAAAAAATAAATTCTAAAATTAAACCTAACCAATTGACTGATACATTTCACTCCAACAAATATAAAATTTTGCCAAATTGCGACAAGATCCTTTAAGGTAAGCAAATTCCATTACAGCCAGACTGCTTTCTAAGAAATTCTCCGCTAATTTTAGCCAAATTTTTAAAAGGCGTTCATCATTCTTGTACATATCCATATTGCAATAAGTAACACAAATTTTATACAAAATTGGGTAAAAAAAGTTTCTCTTTCCACTAGGAAAGTGTTCTTCAAACCAGGCGACATAATTGCACATTGAAGCTAAAGGGTCTGCTTGTTTCTCGGCTTCCAAAAGTTCTTTTTGAAACTTCTTTTCTGCTTCGTCTACGGATATCTAACAAATTTAAAAATTAAAAATAATTTAATTATTTAAATGAAACCTTAGAAATTGAACTTATCACTTTATTTAAGGTATCCCCACGTCTTCCGCCACGAAGAGGGCGAAAATTCTCAACATTATCGAACCATTGTTGATCTTCATTTAAATTAGAATTATCTAGACTCATCTTAAATGAAAAATTTAAAGAAAAAAAATTTCAGAAAAATTTAAAAAAACATGGAAAGCTTGAAAAAATTTTTAAATTTAATTTGCATCGATTTATTTTTTGGCGTTCTGCCCTATTTTTCATTTTGGATAATCGAACAAAAACCTTCATTTCACCAAAAATCTAGGGTGAAATTTAGAAATTTCCTTACCCTTTCTATTGGATTTTCTTGTAAATTTTTTTAATTTTTTCTTTTTATTTAGGGCCGAAAGGGTCAGAAATGATTTCTGATGCCACCTATATTGAAATGCTTAAAAACTGCTCAAAATGGAACAGTCGAGTAATGAGTGGAAGAACTCGTTCACAAACTGCTGTTTATGATCAACAGACTGGAGTAATGCATCGGTACTTTTCTAGTTTATATTTCTTTATATATTAATTTTAGCCCTACTGAGCATCTTTTTCGAACGGCCTCTGAACGTTGTCGTTCACGAAATCCTATGCAGGTTGATTTTTTGAGTACAGCTCAAAACGGCGCGCGGCCATAACGGCGCAAAGCCATAACTTGCTAGAAAATGTCTGGCCCTTGTCAATTTTGGTACCAATCTCCCTGACTCAATGAGAGGAATTGTTTGATACTAAATCTGCTATGATTAGAAAATCTTGAAGCAAGTTATGGCTTTGCGCCGTTTAGCCGCGCGCCGTTTTGGGTGTGTCCCTAAATTTAATATTGTTATTCCCTCCTATTTTCTTTCACAGGTCTATGTTTATACTCCCCAACGTTGGGTCCGACCCAAAACTACACCCTCTGCTGCTGTTGAAACCAACTACTTTCTGAAGAATAACCCAACTTTGAGGGACGTTCTCAACTCTAAAGACCCAACTCAGCTGTCTTTAATGTCAAATGCAGATTCAACATCAAATGATCAGGCACAACAGTTATATACCAACATGTCCGTCCGTTCGAATATGTCATATATGGGAGGGAATGGAGGCACAAAAATTTATGTTTGTGAATTTATTTTTTATTATTATCAGGGAATTTTCATGGTCTTTTTGTATTTTATTTGACATTCCTGGGTTCTAAATGAATTTTCCGCAAGCTGCCCTCCAAAAAATTTTGAAAAAATTCTAAAGATTTAAATTCAGGACAATGATGTAGACCTGAACGATTATGATTTAGACGAGCCTGAATTAAACGAACAATCTGATGAAGATGATTGGGGCTCGAACAAACCAAAACAACGTAAAAGAGGTGGCGGTGCTGTTGTTGGAGGCCGTCCTCTTCTTGGCCGTCCACCAAAGAGATTAGCGAATGCAAACATGGGTGGTTCTGGCGGTTCTACTCCAAATGTTATGAGAATTGCAAAAAATGGAGAGCAAGTCGATTCTCCTGGTTATATGGGTTCTAGTGGTGCAAATGAAGACGGAAGATCTGTGGCCGCTCCTCCTCCAGATATTCGTCCATTTGTTTGTCAATGTTGGTTTTTAATAAAGTTTATTTTTGGGGTGTTTTTTGAGGGGTTTTATCTTGTTCGAAAGAGCCAAAATAAATTTTTGGCCAGACACTATGGCGCGGGCCACTATGGTGCAAGCCCATTATAGTTTGAAGTTCGTAAAGCCTCGCGCCATAGTGGGCCCGGTACTCTAATTTTTTAGAGTAACAAGTCCGACCTTTACTCGACTTAAGCTCCTAATGTCCAGTTACACCTTAAAAATAGTCAAAAATAAAAATTTGGGTTCCACCAAGGATTTACCCCCAACTTTTTTAAATTTAATTTTTTAAGTCTGTGGAGCCAAATACAAATCCAGACCAGGCTTAACTTATCACCGCGCCCACACTCATCAAGCAGAGATAGCAGCCACAAAAAATGATGTGCCACCAAGTCCTAGTACGCCCTTTACTAACACTTCAATTTATTAACTTTTTTCATAGTTTCCCCCTAAATACTTAAAAAAAGAATATTTCTAATATTTAATATTTTTTTTGTTTTTAATGAGGCCCTTTTATGCTTGAGTTAAAATTTAGTAACATATTTCTATATAGCTTATTTTTGCCATTTTTTAAAAAATTGTAATAAAACTTAAATGCAATATATTGTTTGTTGTTGTATTTTTTACTCTTAAATAATAAGCAGTCTTTCAATCTGACTTTTATTTTAAATTAAAATATTTTTTCATTAATTTTTGTTTCTAATTTTTTTGAAAATTGTTTTTGTTTATGTTCATCACATTGACAGATTGCTTATATGAAGAGAGAAAATTTTCGACAACAAAAACAATTTTAGAAAAAAATTTTTGGAAAATTTTTTTGGATCAAAAAAATTTTTTTTTGAATTTTTACTCAAGCAAAAATTAATCGTTTAAGCATTTCTGTCAATGTTATTGAGGGAATTTTTTAATTATTGAAAAATATTTTTTAGTGATATCTTCAAAAGTACAAGCTTCGGATTATTGTGACTTTTGTCTTGGCGATTTGACAAAAAATGCGGCTGGGAAAGCTGAGGAATTGGTTTCCTGTCATGGTTTATTTTTGACACAGTAAAAACATTTCTGTTTAATTTTCAGATTGCGGACGCTCTGGTCATCCAACTTGCCTTAAATTTACCAAAAATATGTTGATCTCTACTAAAAGGTTTTTACTGTTTGATTTTTAAAGATTAAAATTTTTAATTTTCTAAAGATATGGCTGGCAATGCATTGAATGCAAAGCCTGTAGCATTTGTGGAACTTCAGAAAATGATCATCAACTGCTTTTTTGGTATGTTGAGTAAATCGAGTAACAGGAAGTCACGGGTTGGGGAAAAGTCGAGTTGGATCCAAATTTTTTCGGACCGGGGAGGTTGGAAATTCGTGTCGGGTCAATTTTGGGGATTAAAAGGGAACAAACCGGGGGTTGGAAAATTTCCCGGATCGGGTCTTGGGTCGGAAAATAGTCTGGGATTCGGGTAATCCTAACGTTCCTTTTTATAATCTTTTTAAAAATAATTTTTTTTTTTTTAAAAAAATAATTTTTTTAGTGACGACTGTGACCGTGGCTTCCACCTTTACTGCCTAAAACCTCCATTGCAAGTGCCACCCGAAACTGATTGGAGTTGCCATTTATGTATCCAGGCGTTTGGCGCAAATGCTTCAATTAATAAATCACATTAAGAAGTAATGCTTTGTAAGATCTTTTAAACGACATAATTTTCTTAATACCTGATATTCTGCATTTTTATATTAAAATTTTTTCACATTTGTACTTTAAAAAAATAAAATCATGGAAATCTTATGTGAGGAGTGGTTGGTTAGGCCTTTCTTCATATCCTGCTTTCTCTCCACCCTATGAGAGCCAAAGATACTATTTAGAGTTCGTTTTTAATGTTTAATCGTGTTAATTTTAAGACCCAAAAATATAACCCAAAAAGCAAGCAGAAATGGCAGATACCTTAATTAGGGTTGGGACTTTTTTTCGGGCCCAGCCCTAATCAGACCTGTCTTTTATGTTATCGAGTATGAGTTGTTTTTAATTTAAAGTATACTTAATGATTTAGGATTTGGCCAGCGGAGGAGCCGACCGAGCAGTTTCGCTAAAAACCAGACCGAAAGGCCTGAAAACGGTCGGGCCCCAACCTTAATTGACCAAACTCATAGGCTCTCATTACTCACTTCTTTTAAACCATTTTTAGTTAAAAATATTTTAATTAAATTAAAGAGATATCTTAAATAGGAAAGGATACAAATACAAACTTTTACATATTTTAATTTACACAATTAAATGTAATCATCATGCATCAACTGCCCATTCATTTTCCTTCTCAAAGTGTTCAACCACTTCACGCATTGCGAGATTTGGAATAAGTTGGTCGGCCGTTAATCTTAAAATAGAATGAGAATTTTTGTGACAAACAGGACAGCCAAAATCCTCTTCCATATATTGGAAAGAATCTCTTCCCTGTAAAACGTGACCCAGTAAAAAAATCCTGTTATAAACCGCAGGCCACAGGGAGAAAAAAAATCGAAAATTCCCGAAAAATGAAAAGTTCAATTAATTGAATTAAAGAATCCTTCCAAAAATAAAAATGACCGAGCATAGGATGACAAATTAAAAATCCCCCAAAAATTTCCTCAGCCTAGGGGCTTCATAAATGTCCAGACTTTAATTCCTACCCAAAAACCAATCTAAAATTAAATTTTATAAATTTTCTTACGGAACGCGAGTAACAGGATCAAAATGTCCAACTCTATGAAGATGTGTCAAAATATCATTTCTGTCATAAGTTATTCCACTTGGAGTTATCACAGGATCTCTAAGAAGTTCAAAACTAATTTTTCCACAAAGAAAGTCGGGTATTTCTCGTCTCTTTCGACGTTCATCGACCTCAAAAAATTTTATTTTTAAATAAAACAAAAATTAAAAATTTTACTTGGGCAAACAAATCGTTTAGTTGTGCTTTACTAGAATCTGCTTTTGTTTTGATTTCATCAATTTTATCATCTAACGACTCGCCGCCATTTGACGAAACCTTACAAAATATATTTTACAAAGAATTATAAGGAGATTGGATTGACATTCACTAGGTTCAAGGCCACTAATTTTTGGAAAGAGTTCGATTTTTTCAGAATTAATTGTTAAAAACCCTAACAGGAACAGCCAAATTTATAGAGGAACTTTTAAATCTTAAAGGACCAGTCGTAAAATTTATATTTTAACAGCTTGCTGTCTATCACAAAAAATTGGAAAACCCTTCTTAAACAAGAAGATTGATGATTATTTTCAACCTCCTTTCAGGCTCCATATCCATAAGATAGATGTCAAGGTTACCCTAACCCTCAGAAACCTAACATAATAAACATAAAGAAAATTTTGAGACCCCGACCTTTTTACTCCTCCTATAACATCCCTGATAGTGATCGAGCTGAGTCTGTACCGAGTCCAGGCCTAGGCAATTTTTTGACCTTCCTGAGTTTTTCCTGGACTACAGGCCAGGATCCGGCCCAGATCAATAAATCAAACCCAGAGTCCAGGAACAGGCCCAGGCTTTTCAAAAATCTCGATCACTAACCCCTGATTCTTACTTATCCCCTAAGGAGTTCCATCAAAAAATTTCCCTCTTTTTTATTTAAAAACCTGTAATATATCAATTTTATTCTTCACATCATCATCAATTAACAAATTTAGATAACTTTGCAATTCAATTTCTTGATTGATTCTAGCTTCTTCTTCCTTTCTGAATTTTTCTCTTTTAGCCTGTCTTAATAATTGAGTAATTTCATCTCCATAGGAATGTCGTTGTTTTATTTCATATTCATGAGCTCGAGTTAATACTTTTGCAGCCTAAAAAGCCGAAAATAGAAGTCGGAGTTTAAAAATAGAAAAACGCGGTATTCGTGAGTTATCGCAGCAAGTTTATGACAGACAACTTGAAAACTGACTGATTCTTGAAAAAAATATTGAGGATTGGAAGGTCTGGACCAAGGGAAGAGTCGGACTATCCGAAACCAAGATTTTTTTCGACTCTAAATCAAAAACCCGGACAGGAGAAAATTGTGAAAATTCGATCCGAATCATTACCCAATTCTTTTCTCAACCGGCCCGCCATGGCTTAATGTTGGTATAAATTTTAAATCGCCTACGAGTACCAATTTATTTTTAAATATCAGATTGATTGTGAATAAAACCCTGACTACTCAAATGATTTAATTGCTCGAAAAAATTTGTGGGAGGCAATGAGTTAAAAACCACTAAATTTAAATGACCTAAATCATATCCCTAAATACCCAAAATTCTTATCAAATAAAATAAAAAAAACCTCATCATACTGCCCCAACTGCATATAAACCTTTCCCAAATAATAATTTGCCTTAATATTCTTCCTATCCAAGTCCAATGCCTAAAAATTAATTTTCTATTAAATTTAAAATTATTTAAAAAAAATAACCCTTCTACAATCCTCAGCTGCTGATTCCCACCTTTGCAAATTTAAATTACACAGAGCTCGGTTTGTAAAATATGTTGGCTCCGTAGAATCCTTTAAAAAGGAAAAAAAATTTTTTCTAAAAAATTTTTTCAATTAAAATTTTGGCAATCCAATTTGATAAATTTATGGGAGGCAAAGAATTAAAAACCATAAATGGCCTAAATTATACCCCAAACACCCAAAAATTTATAAAATAGAAAATGAGGAAAAATGGCTCTTTCGATATTTCTGAGGCTTCCAAGTAATTGAGTGTCCTGAGTCAGAATACTAACACTAAGTTCAGATTCTGACTCAGGACACCAGACTGTCTACTGGTAAGCCTCAAAATATCGAAAAAGCCATTTTTCCTTATTTTTTCCTCGAATCTTAAGGATTACCAAAATTTCAAAAAAAACTCACTTTAATAATAGCTCGATTATAATGTGCAAGAGCATCCTTAAAAATTAAAATTTTATTTAAAAAAATTTTTAAAAATTAAAATAACCTCATATCTCCCTTGTTGATAATACTTATTGCCCTTTTCTTTGTGTTCTGATGCTTCAAGAATTAAGGATGCCATTTTATTTTAAAGTTTAATTAAAATGATGGGAAATGGCTTGATTTTTGATTAAATGATAAGAAAGATAAGAAGCCTAGAAAAAATTCCGATAGTAAAAGAAAAAATAAAATTGCAAAAAGATCAAAAATAAGGCCGAAAAAAAGAAAAAATACAGCTGGATAAATAAAATTAAAAAAAGACACAATGCCAAAAAATTTTTTTTTATTATTTACAGTAATACAAAACAAAAGAAACGTGAAGCATTGTTTAACATTCCACATTGTCTAACAAAAATTAATTTAGCTTACAGTCTCTATGTGGCCCAAAAGTCCGCAATCTCTGTTATGTGGCCTAAAAGTCCGCAAAGTTTGTCCGCAAGTTTTTTTCAAAAAGAGAATTACTGGTCAGATTTTTCCTCTTCACTTTAAACCCATTGGCATATTCAAATGAGAGTGAGAGACAAATTTATCAAAAGGATTGTTCTATAGCTAAATACTATATAGGTATATCTCTAATAATAAGCTAACCCTCGCTCTAATAATAGAAGCCCGACAAGGAGAAATACTTTGAAAAATAAAAGGATATTTAACCGAATAATTTACACCATATAAAATAATTAATTTTAGGGTTCAGCGGTACCGGTATTCTTATTATCTTATCGGTATTCAAAGGGATATTCAAAGGGACCGGTATTCAAAGGGATCGGTATAATACCGCCCGATACCGGTCGGGATCCTGATACCGCTGAACCCTAATTAATTTATTAAAAATTATAAAATTCGATAAATTCAGGTAAAATTTGAGAATAAATTTAGAGGTACATAAAAATTAAAATTTGAATATTATTTGAAGAAATTTTTAAAGATTATTGTTTTTGATTGAACTTCTCGGCACACTTAGTCTTGTTCCATAAGGGACATTTGAAACAGCAGAAACTAAATCTTGTGGAATATTTGTTGGCTCAATTACTGAAAAATAAATATTTTGGAATTACAAGTTGCTTTGTAAATTTATAAATTAGTTGAGAAATGTATACATTTAAACTTTTTAATTATGATAATGATGGCGGATTTCAATGAAACTAAGGTATTTTATAGCAAATGAACTGAGTATTTGGACAACCGTCTTTTATTACCGATTGATTCTTAGTCCTGTTGTGAGGGATTTTATTAATAAATCGGTGTTGCCCATGAATATATGACCACCACTGTATTACTCGATCATTTTTCTTTTCTTGTTTCTCTCCTATATTTTGGCAACAATGATCTATAGGGTTTAAGAAGTGAGAGATTTGACTGTATTTACTATGGATTTCATTAAAAATATTTTTTCCTTTTTTTTTAATTTTTCTTTGCCAGAATTTTTTTTCCACTGCACACCGTCAAGAAAAACTCAAATTTAAAAAGAAATCAAATTAACTGTAGTCTCACCATTTATTCTTATATCGGCTGTCTCGTTATCCAAAATCACTTTTAGACAACCACAGCATCCTCCCATTGCTGTTGATTTTTTCTTTTTTTGTTCTCAGATTTTTTAAAATTTTTTTAAATTTTTTTTTAATTTTTTGAGAGAGTAATTTTTGAATTTTAATTGAATAAAGACTGAATAATAATGAATTAATTAAAAATAGATTTGTTTTTATTGTGTGAGTTTTGGTTTATAAATACATTGTATTAAAAAAAGAATTTACCCAAGAATGTAAAGGAAGAAAAAAAAGAAAAATTGCCATGGATACGCAAAAAAGAATCTTTTTGTTTATTACTTCCCTTAATTTTTAAGTGAACAAAGATTGGCACTAAAATTTAAAATATTGAAACAATCACCAAAAAGGCAATTTTCTGTTCAAATTAGGCAATTTTTCAAATTATATTTACTGATTGCAAGGAGAAAATTAAAAATTCCAACTACCAAAGAAAATTTTGATAAAAAAACGAAAGTGGTAAAATGCTCCACTTTATAAGTACATACTTACTTCTGCCAAGAGAATAAAAACACAAATTATAATAGGCGGAAAATGAGACGCTATTATTCAAAATGAATGAGAAAAAAATTAAACAAGTTTCAAGAAGAAATTAAATTTTTATGGTTAAGGCAGATTTTCCCTACCTAAATTTTTTTCGAGGAGATCTGACTCCTTTCTTCGTTCTAGAAGTCTCAAAAAATTAAACCAAACAAAAATTTATACAGAAATAAACACGCCAATAATTCTTGGAGGAGGCGAATCTCCAAAGACAAAAATATGAAATACAATTATATGAGTTACAAAAAAATCAGAATAGCATGAGTTACAAAAAATCAGGGGCACATAGAAATTAGGAGAACCTATGACAAATCAATTTATGCCACGCATATATGTATTCTTCCTTTTCTTTTCTTCATCCACCATCAACATAGTTCTCCAAGTCCTGACAGTTTGCGATTGGATGTCCGAAGTGACGTCGACGACCAACCAAGGAAACAGCATAGAAACTCCAGGGAGATTCTTCAGTCACAATCTTCATGTCGGCTGGGCATGAAGAATGGTGGTGAATACACCTAGAAACGTTAAAAAGGCTTTATTTATTTTTATAAAAGGTTATAAACTCACAGAAGGTATCTAGTCCTATGGACCATGTCTCCAACCTTTCTTTTTACTGAACGAAGCCTAGGATTCAGAACCCATTTTGGTTCTATACGCTCGCGAACATACTCAGCTAAGGCAGTTTTGGATGTGAATTCTCTATGAATGCGCCAGTCAGGTTGAACATGTTGAGACACCCCGAACAAATCAGCATCAGAGGCAGTGTAGTTGGAGGTATCTTAAAGGGATTCATAAGAAATGAATTATCACTGCTAATTAAAAAGGCTTACTTCTGGTAGGCACGTCAATTCTACCAGAAGGTTGCATCTGATGAGTCGACGCAAAGAACGCTGCCGGGTTCGAAGAAGTACCACTGAACGTATCTAAAAGAATTTAGAAACACTATTACTTACTACACTCTAGAAAACTCACTACTTCCAACAGAAGACAACTCCTCCACTCGTTCATACAAACTAGGCGCAGCTTGCTGTTGTTGCACTTCTCGTTGAAGTTCTTCTGGAGCTGTTGTGGAGGAACTAGGCAAAGAACTAGGCGCTGCATACAAGGGATCTGGAGCAGCCTGTTGTTGTTGCGCAGCATACAAGGGACCTGGAGCAGCCTGTTGTTGTTGCGCAGCATACAAGGGACCTGGAGCAGCCTGTTGTTGTTGCATTTCTGGTTGAACTTCGGCTGTTGACGTAGACGCACTCTGAGACACCATGACGGCTGAGTAGGAGAAGACTGGCAAGTACAAGAAGCAGGATAATGAATAAATCTTTGCCTGTTTAAATAGTAAAAATTTCCGATTGAGATCACTTAATATATGAACAAACAGGCTTAAAATGAAAAAAACCTAATCCTACTCTATCCTAATTAATCTTATTCTACCCAGCTTATTTCTATTCTAATTAAGAAAAATTATTCAAACAATTGTTTTTTAACAAAAAAATTTATTTTTAAATTTTAATTATTTAATTCGATCACTCTATCACATAATTCTTCCAATATTTTTGAACGTTTCTTGAGACAATCTAAATCGAGAATACTATCGTGATCAACATCTTCACATTTAATCAAATTTAATCGCTTAGTTAAACAAGCCCATCCTCCATCTACAGATCCGCCAATATAATCGCTGAATTGTCAATTAATTAAATTTAGTGAACAATGGCCTTTAAGGCTTTGGGAAATTCTCCAATATTTTTTAGAAAATGGATTTCATCTTTTAAAAATGCAGGAGAAAGATTTTTAGAAAATTTCAGAAAATTTTTTTCAAGTTTTTTCCTAGCAGTTCAATCACATAGGAGCTCATCTCCCATTAATCCCATTTACAATAAAAAATCAAAAAATGTCAATAGAAAGTCTATTTCTGAACCAAGATTCTTTTGTTAAATCGAGCCTAAAAAAGGGACCACTCGAAAAATAAATTCGAGTGGTCCTTTAAAATCTAAAAAAAAATTATTAAAATGAAATTTAGAGTGCTCATCAGGGATGGACGCAATTGCGGATTGCGTAAAATTGAGCGTTTCTTTGACTTGAGGATTGCGTTTGCTGATTATAAAATTAAAACTGCGGATTAAGGCTGCGTAAAATTTTTTCAATTGCGTCCATCCTTGATGCTCCCACTAAGAAGGAGCATTCTAAAATAATCACCTAAAAACCAATTTAATTTTCTTCTCAGCTTTAAAAAGCCAAATTTCCGGAGAAAGTTCAATATTAGCAATAAATTTGTGTGTGCTTAAAAATCCTGCCAACTTTTCCGCTCCAACGGAAAGAGAATTGCACTGATGAATTGAAAAGTGATTGAAACGATCCTAAAAAGGGCCGTAGGATTTTTAACAATTTCCTGGATAAATTTACCAAAACAAATTGTTTAGCCTTTTTAGGGCATATTAATTCTTGTCCAGTAGCCCAGGAGTCGAACATTATAATTAGAGGAACTCGCAAATTTGAGGAACAATTTAAATATTTTTGGTTCAAAATAAGAGCAATTTCATAGGCGAGAACACCCCCTAAAGAATGGCCAATTAATAATAAAGGGGCTTCTTTTGTGTAGTCTTCAATCTGAATGAAGGGGGAGAATTAATTAAAAATTTTGTATTAAGCTAACACAGTCGGACCACGCTACAAGATATACACAATATTAGTTACAATTCAATTTAAGATCCCTTAAATGCCCTAATAGAAGACAAACCTAAATAAAAGTTGGACTTCTTTAAGAACACCTAAGAGACCCACCTAGAAATAAAATCCCAAGGCTTCAATAAGAATATTTGCGGCACGTTTATCTGCCATTGGGTTTGAGGGAAATATCAATGATAAAAACGAGTCCTCGAGCTTTCGAACTTAAAGCTCAGAAGACACTAAGTAGAATCACAACGAAAATTCAGGGAAAGTATCACTTCTGGGTAAAAAATTATTTATTCTAAATAGCTGGCAACCCACAAGGGAAGGAAACTTCCACGGGCGTCTATTAGAATAAGTATAAATTCCATTAATAAACTGCCCCATTTCCACACCTTTTCAGCATAATATTTAGCCAATTCCCCCAAACTTGAAGCTTTATTAATCAAAGAATCAGCTTCAAAAGCATATTGAACACCCACAACATTTGCCCATAAAGGTAAAATTCCAGCCAAATGTCGATATAAAATAGCTGAACCACTAATTGGATGAATACAAAAAATATTTAAAGGTTTTAGGTTGTTTGAATTTTTTGTTGTTTCATTTCGAAGTGGTAGAAATAGAGGGAGAGATGTTTGGAAATTATTGGCATCTTTTTGTCCCGTTGCTTGTGTTGCTTCTTTTGTTACTTAAGTTTGGATAATTATAAAAAATGACGAAATGTTACAAATAAGCCATAAAGTCAGACTTCATTATAAGACTATACCCTTACGGGTTGCAAAATTTTTTCTCTCATTCTTTTGGAGAGGGAGACACTTATGTAAGCTTATAAGACACTTATATCTCGCTAACAAAATTAAAAAAAGGCATATCTTAACCAAGGGTATTTAAATTTGAAGGTAATTACAACACTAGAACTTGAGTAATCTTATACTTGATATAAACAAGTATACAGTCAGCACAAATTAAAAATTAATTTCCTCAAAGTAAAGTGAGATGCTACAAAAAGAAATGCTATGACCTCTCAATTTATTTGAAGTTTCTCCTTTGTTTTCCTCTAAATTTTTGGTTAAATTTTTGTTTTTTTCTTGTTGATCGAGATATTCGTTTTCTTCTTTATCTTTAATTATTTTCCATATTTCTTCAACAAAATCACCAATTTTTGGATATTTAAATATTAATTCTATGCTTAGTTGGCCATAAGAAATATTTAATTGTTTCGACAATTCCCAACTTATTTGTGCTGCTTGGATTGAATTTCCACCCGACAGAATAAAATTTTTTTCTCCTAATGCCTCTCCCGAGGCAAAAGGCATATAGTCGTTCCAAGTCTGAAAAGAATTTTTTTTAAAAATTAAAAGAAACAGAGCATCAAACAGGCGGAGGATGGGCATGTTCTTACTAACATACTATACATATGTAAACCAGACCTGGTCACGGATATGGATACAGATAATATCAAAATTCCTGCGGATATTCGCCTGTATCCGTCTGTATCCGCCGTAAATATGCGGATACGGATACAAAGATCAGTATCCGTGACCAGGTCTGATGTAAACTAAGGGATTTACATTTAAATTTGGGGAAATCCAAGATAGACTAGTTATCTCGTAAATTTTTAAAAATTTTTGGTATTTTGGGAAAATATTTGGGAATATTTTGAGAATAACCACCAGAACAAGGATAAATACATAAAAAAGGAATCTATAAAATGTCGTTAAACTAAGCGAAACCAGGCTATTTTGTATAAGAGTGTGTTGTTCTGCTGAGTTTACAACACTCACATGACAAAGACATTTCAGTCAATTTCTTCTTCGTACGTATACATATTTTTTAGTGAAAAGTAAATCATAAACATGTTTACGAAGAAAAACCATGTCTCATGTCATCAACATGCCCGCCCAACCTTCTAAGTACAACAACAGACGCCCCCAGCCACAACCTTCTCCTCTTTCCGTTCTGTTCTGGTTAGTGCATGTTAGGGACGTTAAAAGGAAGGAAGACCGCCCAACCTTCTAAGTACAACAACAGACGCCCCCAGCCACAACCTTCTCCTCTTTCCGTTCTGTTCTGGTTAGTGCATGTTAGGGACGTTAAAAGGAAGGGAGGAGGGTGTGGCTTTCTGCTTCTGATTTATTCTGGTTATAGTCATCGACTATTCTGGTCAATAGTCATCGATCTCCCATTTCGAAATCTAAAAAAAAATTTGAAATACCTTAACAACAATTTCAGTCAATTTCTCCTTCGTTATCCCTCCACCTTTTAATTTTACATTTAAATTTTCCTGATTCTCCTCAATTATTTTATTCTCTCCATCAACAGTAACCCTTTCATTTTCTTTATTTTTTGTGGATAAATTGAAAGGGAAGCATTTCTGAAGCATTTCTTCTTTAGAGGGATTTAATTCTAGATAATCAAAATTGTATCCAGGCATTTTATTATCCCAGTCTTCGTTGTAAGAGTTGAATAATAAATTGAAATTGACAGAGTAACCATTCTAAATATTAAAAAATATTTTTAAAAATGGTTGGAAATATTTTTGGGAGAAACAGTTGATTTTCTTAACATGTATCCTTTCTATTAGATTTGCACCCCGACCCCGTACCCGCCCCGAAACAATTCAAAAACCCTGTACTCCGACATATCCGCCCCCGAGCGTTCGGGATGCATTCTACTTTCTATTAAACTAAATTTTTAAAATTCAATTCGAAATTTTTTGTCGTAAGGATTGGAGTTGTTCCGGTACTTGAATGAAGCAAGAAAATAAAAGTTTAGCTTTAGGCAGGCATTCCTAAAACTTCTGGCAGTTATTGCTAAGCGCCTTCGCTTAGCGAGCGAAAGATCTACCGATTAACTCCTTTCCACCTTCCCACCTTCTATTATAAGCTAAACCTCCGTCTAGTTGATTCAACAAGACATTAATTCATTACTCTTACATTGATTCAAGAAGATTCCCCCTATTTCCCAAGAAAAACGAAATGGAAAATGAAACCGAGCTCCATCAAAGCTGATAATTCACTAATTTTGTGACCTGCCAAATTTGGGCTATTGCCTTCAACAATTGTGGCGGCTCTTCTTTAATATCTCCACTAAATCTTCTTTCTCTTTCCATTGTGTTTATAACTTTAATCTTTTTATTTAAATTAATTTCCAAGTCATCCTCAGCTTCTTTTAATAATTGAGGTAAAATGCCGGGAGGGCCAATTTCTAATAGAAAAGAAGTACGAGGATAATCACGCAATAGGCTTAAAATAAAAAAATAGGGAAATTAATTTAAGTGTAGTTTAGCATGTGCCTGATCCTTTTGGATATTTTAAAAATTTAAAAAATTCAAAAAAAATCAAAAAAAAAATTTAAAAAATTTTTTTCCAAAAATATTTTGGAAAAATTTTTTTGGAAATTTTTTGAAAATATAAGAGAAAATTTTTTTTTGATTTTTTAATTTTTTTCTAACCTTTATAAAAAATTTTTTCAATTTTTTTGGAAATTTCAAATTCAAAACCCTCTGTAAAATTTTAAATTAAAAAATATTATAATTATCAAAAATAATTAATCTAAAAAATTCCCCTCACGTTTGAAGACACAAATCAAGCCTCACAGGTTCAGACAATTGTCTAGTTAAATATTCAGGAATATCCAAATCCCTTAATTCTTTCCCATCCAAATTTGAAAGAACAATTCCTTCCAACATTTTTATTTTTTTATTAAATAATTTCAAAAGAGAAAATTTAAATTCTTCAAGTATTGGGGCCATAAATTCTTTGGAATGATATCCAAAATTTATTTTTTCTAAAATTTTTGTTGAAATAATCTTTTGATTGTTCTCTTCTTTAAATTCTCTTCTTGATAATTTTTCAATTATTGAGGGCTTCCCAACATAAACAGAAATTGTAGGAGATAGACGAGCAGATAAGTAAACGTATTGAGGGAGTTTTAGCTGTTAAATAGATGGATGAGTTTAAAGTTGGAAGAGTTTGAACTTTCAAACTGCCGGTCCGGTTTCCGGTTTCAACTCCAGTAAGTATTTTTTGAATAAAAATACAAAAGAAGGGCTTTATGGAAGACCGGAAACTAATTTTTAGAAAAAAATTTGACTGGAAAAAATCAAGAAACTTTTTTTTTAATTTTTACTCAATCCCGGAACTTCTATCAAATCAGGTTCTCCAACAATTCAATTATAAATTTAATTTTGTAAAAAATTTTTTCGAGGAGATTAGAGAAAAAGAGAAGCAGAGCTGGGTCGGAATTCCGATTTCCGACGTTTTTTTCTTCCGATTTCCGAAAAAAATTTTGATTTCCGATTTCCGAAATTTTTGAGATTTTTTTGAGCCAGTTCCTATTTCTGGCTCTTCCGATTTCTGACACCTCTGACTGTTCCGGCCCACCTCTGATAAGGAGGACCCAACATCTCTGATTAGCCTTAAAACTAGATTAAAGTCGTTACTCCTTTGCTAATCTTTTTAAGCTTTTTATTTTCTGTAGATGGAGGGTAAAAATGAATATTTAATAATTTCCTCACCAAATTTCGATTTTGACTTTTTTCCTGTTTTATCATCACCATTTTTGCAGGCTCCGTCCTTTCTATCAACTCTCCCCTTTTCCACAATAATTTCATTCCATCATTTTTATTAAATGCCCCAGCGGCACAGAGTGCAGAAAGTTCCCCAAAACTGTGTCCAAAAAATATAATTGGGGCAGATTTAATTTTAAAATTGCAAATTTCTGACAGAAAGATCCACAAAGATTGGTAAATTGCAAAAAGAGCGCATTGAATGAGTGAGGGGGAAGAGGAAAGATTTTTTGAAAAATTTTTATTTTTTAAATTTTTTTCTTCTTTATTTTCATCCATTAAATAATTTATAAGTTGTTTAAAATGCTCTTCATTATTCCCGAGTTGTTTGCAGATATCAACAAGTTTGCTGTCTAATGAGGGAAATAGGGAACGTTCGGTTTTAAACATGCCGGGGAATTGAACTAAAATGGAATAGGGAAATCAGAATTAAGTAGAAAAATTCTGATTTTAATAAAATTCTGAAAAAAAATTCTGATCTAAAAAATTCTGATTTTTTTTAGAAAAATTCTGATTTAAAAAATTCTGATTTTTTTCAGAAAAATTCTGATTTAAAAAATTCTGATTTTTTTTAGAAAAATTCTGATTTAAAAAATTCTGATTTTTTTAGAAAAATTCTGATTTAAAAAATTCTGATTTTTTTCAGAAAAATTCTGATTTAAAAAATTCTGATTTTTTTTAGAAAAATTCTGATTTAAAAAATTCTGATTTTTTCAGAAAAATTCTGATTTTTCTGAAAAATTTCTGAAAAATTCTGATTAAAAAATTCTGATTTTAAAAATTCTGTAAATCTTTTTCTGATTGAATTACAACAAATAATTCAATCAAAGAGTTAGCTCCTGTTAGATTTCTAGACTCAAACGTACTCTATTGTCGTATCTCTAAAAGTCAAATGGTAGACATGAGTAGAATAACCTACTCTGTGCTCTCTAACAATTATTTCTTTTTAAAAATTCTGAAATTTTTTTAATTAATCAAACTCACCTCCTTGTGGGCTAAAAAACACAGCCAAATTTTCATTATTATTAACAGAATTTTCTACAATATCTTCATTATTAGCAATCCTAATTAATCCCTTAGTTAATTCTTCTGAATTTCTAGCCAATACAAAAGCTCTAAAGCGTTGATGATTTTCGCGGCGGGAAAGGAGAGTGTTGGACATTTCATCCAATTTTGGATTTTTCTGAAAAAAAATTTTTTCGGATTTTCTAAAATTTTCCCCTTGCCTCATTAATATATTCGGCCAAATTAGAAGCGAATCCACGCAAAGAATTTTTTGATTCTGCAGAAAGCGGGAAAAGACGGTATTTAGTAGCTTCTTTGTTAAATAAGCCTTTATTAATTTCTGAGACTTTTTTGTTGCCTTTTCTCCATTCTGAAGCAGCTTTTTTAAGTGAATTATTTGTTAGTCCACTCATAATAATTACTGCTCCATTTGTCCCTCCAATACCAAAATTACTGGATCCAAAATAAAGGGGAGCCTTAATTTAAGAAAAATTTATTCGTGGTAACTGATATCATCAGGGCATTATCAGTTAGGCATTCACAAATATGACTTACTATCTTACAAAAAAATGGATAGTCCTCAAGTTAAGCTATAATTCTTCTCCTTGTGCCCTTGTCGGATAAGCCGAAATTTGAAGGAATTTAAAATAGGACTGATCCAAATTTGTACCTCAGTAGCAGGAATTCGGCACAATTCTGAGCCCGTACCATAAAAAAGGTTAAATGACCAGGCCATCTAATCACAAGGTTAACCTCATGACCGACCGTCTTATAATAACGGTAAGATCGCTGGTCATTTAAATTTAACTCTTATGGTGCATGCCCTGGCTATTATAAAACTATCTATTTAAATCACACGTCACTTTATTTATTACATTTATTTTTGAGGGTAATATTTCCTTTGCTTCACTGCCAGAATGTATCATCAATCGGCCATTAAAAGGATGTAAAAGATCCGCAAACATAACATCATTATTAGGCAATAGTTGCGGGGGTAACAGCCCCGTTTCTAACATTTTTAAAAGTTTAATAATTGAACAAATGCCAGAAGCAGCAAAACAATGTCCGATATTTGCCTTACACGAGCCAACAAATAAATTATTATTTTTCTCTCCTTCATTCTTTTCCTCAAAAAATGCCTTGTAAATAGCGAAAAGTTCAATATTGTCTCCAATAGTTGTCCCAGCAGCGTGACATTCCCAAAAGGAAATTTCAGTTCTTGGAACCCCACTTTGTTCTAATGCCCGTTCAATAACTGCTTGTTGTCCTTCAATACTCGGGGACATAAAGTTGGGCTTTCTGCCAGCATCGTTATTTATAGAAACGGATTTTATAATGCTTAGAATTGGATCTCCTCTCAAAATTGCTTCCATAGGCTTCCCTAATACAATAACCGCGCAAGCACTTCCTCTCATTAAACCGTCGGAGTTTGAGCAGAATGGCCAACTATTTGAGGATTTTGCTAGTGGTTGCCCAGGCATTGGTTGATGGCCTAGTTGGCTATAATTTTAAGAAAATTTTCTTTATACTTTTAAATTTCTTACTTAGGATGAACTAAGTGAACAGCTCCAACTAGGCAAAGATCAGCCTCTCCTGTTACAAGTGCTTGGGCAATTGCCGAAAAGGAGGAGGAACATGCAGAGTAGACATTTATTGAAGGTCCAGTTAATTCAAGAAGGTGTGAAAGCCACTAAAATTTGTTTAGGAAGCTCTATCTTATCCGCCAACAAATGACAATCTCTATCTTATTTCAGGGTTCCATCCCATCAATTCGTATTCCATTTTTGATGGGATAAGAAGGGATAAACTTTCTTCCTTTTATCTGACAGTGGGATAAGATAGACAGTGTAGACATTATTAACTCTAAAACAAAAGTTACTTGAGCACAGAATGTCTGTTGGTTACGTCTATACATGCCCAAAAGTGATCCAAGTGCCCCTTCCCGTTCATCTACTTCTTTATATTCGGGAGATGATTCCTCTGCGGCAACAAAACCTATTTTTATTTAAAAATCAAAATTAATTAAATTCAACTCTAAACTAACATCCAACACGTATTTGGCTTTTTCTTTCCAAATTTCCACTGTTTTCTAACGCCCTATAGCTATGCTGTGCCAACAATCTGATTTGTGGGTCTAAACGGCGCCACTCAGTTATCGAGAGGCCGGCTTTTCCGAAGAGGTTGATGTCAAATTTTTCGAGGTTGGGGCAGATGCCGGATATTGGGATTATATCTGGGTTGTTGGTTTCAAGTGTTGAAAGACAGGAGTAGTTCTAGAAGAAGAGTTAAATTTAAGAATATTTTTTATTTTCAGAAGGAAATCAGAATAAGGCAGAAAAAGGCAAACTTACATCCCTAATAGCCTCCCAAAACTCCTCCACAGATTCACACCCAGAAAAAGTTCCAGAAACACCCAAAATTGCAATATCCTTCTCTGGCCTTATCAACCTTAACTAGAGATCGGACCAAACAAATATTTGGTCAAATAAAATCAAATATTTGACCAAATTTTATTTGATTTTATTTGATCAAATATTTGTTTGATGAGTTTTTGAAGAAATTTGATTTTTTCAAATATCAAATAAATATCAAATAATTTGGTCAAATATTTGTTTGATGAAGGTTTGAAAAATCAAATATTTGATCAAATATCAAATAATTTGAAAATTTATTTGATTTTCGTTTTTAGCATGTAAAGATGGCATATTCCTTATAAAATCAATATGATAACCGAGATTATTGCTTCAAAACAAATTATTTATCCTATCTGAACATATCCCGATGCACATGATGCACGTGCGTACTCAACTTCATAGTTGAGTACGCACGATTGAGTCACCCTTGTATAGTAATTTAGAAGGGATTTTGGGGATTAACAGTGATATTTAGAGATTAGAGGTAGATCGTTTTAGATGATTTATGCGGATTAAGAGGAATTTAGGTGGATTAAGGGGAATATAGATGGATTTGGCTATCAAAATATATATATCAATGGATTTGCCATGATTAAGAGGATATCAGGGCATTTGGAGGATATCGAGTGATTAAGAGAAATAACTGGTAATTTGGATGGATATCGACGGATTTGGAAGTATTTTGGGATTAAAAGGGATAAAGGGTGATCTGTGATGCATATCGACGGATTTGGAGGAATATAGGTGGATTAAAATTGTTATCCCGATGCACATTATATCCCTTTATTACTTCAACTCTTAATCTCCCAATATCCCCCTTAAGCCTTACAATTACCTCATATCACTCTTAATCCCTCCACATCCATCTTAATCCTTCGATATCATCTCCATATCCTAATATCCCCTATATATTCTCAAATACACAGATTTATATGGTATTCCAAAATTTTTAAAAAAAATTTGATATTTGATCAAATATTTGACTTTGCAAATCAAATTTTTTCAAATATCAAATAATTCTCAAATTATTTGATCAAATATTTGTTTGATGACTTTTGGGAGAAATCAAATTTTTTCAAATATCAAATAATTTTCAAATTATTTGATCAAATATTTGATTTTGTCTTTTGTCCGATCTCTAACCTTAACCATTCATTAAACTCTTCAAAATTAATTTTTTCTTCATTTTTAATTTCTTTCTCCTCAAATCTTTTAGCCACAACCCCTTCAATTATCATCAATTTATTATTTTCCTCATCCAAAATATCTACACTTCCACCAGCAAAATTGGATAACCCTTCATTATTTAATTGTGCTTTCCCAACAGAGTAAATCTCTTTCGAATTTAAATTTTTCACAAAATTTATTTTAATTTTAGCAATTGAAATAGGCAAGAAAAAGAATCTTTTCTCCATTTGGAATAGTCCAATAGCCAAACTTTGTAACCCAAATTCTATTAATTTCCATATTTGTTGGTTTTCATCGAATAAATTATTTTTTATTTTAGCTCTTACCAAGCAAATTTTTCTTGTTTCTTAAATTAGTAAATTAATTGTTAATATAATAAAACAATCAAAAACCTCATTTTTAGACCCCTAAAATTAGATAATCTCCTTAATTTGCAAAACGCTTCTTAAAATTTTGTGGCCACTGGATTAAAGTTAGATCCTATATCCCCGGCTATCAGGATCCGATCCAAAAATTTCTGAAATTGTAAGGTACTATCCTCATTCAAGAGGGTCTTAAAATGAGGTTCGTATGTTTACTAACTTTCGAGTTTATCCTCTTCAAAAACTTTTGCTTCTTTTATTAATCGTATTTTTGGACCATACTCCATTCCTATTTTCTTTAAACTACTGTAAAATTCATTAACATCAACATTTGTTTTTTGCTCCTCCTTTAAGCTAAAGTTAAAATTCGTGTCGTTCCACCTTATTTTTCTGCAAAAATTTATTCTAATGAAAATTTAATAGAATTGAAAGCAGAGTGCGTCGAATTCGATCGAGTTCGAATATCCTGGCTTGATCGCTTGGTACCATTGGTACCACCTACCCATGATCTTTTGCTGCTAAGTTCAAGCTTGGCGTTTTAGATCGGAAATAAACGAACTCGATTTTTTTTCTAAAAAAGGTTACTCGACGTACTCTGATTGAAACATAACCTTTCATTAGATTTTTCCAACATTATTTGACAAGAGGAAAAGCTTTGTGATCCTTCTTCCTCCGCAATACTTATTAATTCCATAAATATTTTATTAAATTTATTTTCTTCTTTTTCATTTATTTTGCTATTTTTACAAATTATTTTAACATTTTCCCATTCATTTAAAAACATTTTTCTATTAAATTTAATTTCTTCAACTAATAAACTTGTTTTCTCAATATCTAAATTTAAGCTTTTTAAACGCTCGATAAATTGTTGTATTTGCAGAGCTGCTGGTACTAAGGGTTCTCCAAACATTAAATGATTTTTGGAAAATTCTAAAATTTCTTCCGAAATTTTATTATCGTCTTCTAATTCCAATTTTATATTTCTTCTCTCATTTTCAATTGAAATTGGCCTGACAAGCTTCTCTTCCACCCCTCTACCCTCATTTTCTTCCAACCGTTCATTTAAATATTTCCCCAATTTCTCAACATTTCCTCGCTCAAAGAGGTCAATAATATTTATTTTCAGCCCAAATCTTTCCAAACTTTCATTTAAATCGCTTGTTAACTGATAAAGTCGTAAGGAGTCTAATCCCATTTCCATAAACCCCAAAGAATTGAAATTTGAATTTTGAACAAATTCGAGGATTTTGTCGTCATTATTGTCATAATTCACAATTTTTAGTTGTTCTCGAATGGATGACGTTATTATTTCTTCAAAATTGGGAATTTTGGGGTTCTTTAAATTTTTAAAATTTTGAGAATCTCTACTGTCTTCCTCAACTTTCTTAAAAAGAATTTTGTTTTCCTCTTCATTCTCTTCCCCAAAATCTTCAAATCGTCTATATAAACCTTCAAATTTCTCTTTCATCTTTTCCCAATCAAACCTTCCTATCATTAACTGTGTAGGTTTATATCTCAAAGTTATTTCAAAGCAATTCAAAGCTAATTCTGTTGAAAGGCCTGAAAGACCTAGCCAACCAAGTATTTCGTTAGTTCCAGGCTTGCGGGCTGCCATACCGACCTTTAAAAAGTGAAATTTTTAAAGCTTTTGTTTTTTAAAGTTTTCTGTCTGTAGGGAACAGAGGATGAAAAAAAATATAGGAGTTAATCTGTAAGAAACATGTAAGGCTAACGTAATAAGCTAGATCTCTATTATGATTAGGGTTGCCGGCCCGGTTCGGTTCGGTTCGATAGATCGAAGTTTTCTGTCTGTAGGGAACAGAGGTCATCCCACGTCATCCTCTCCCTACCTTCCAAAATCTCGAATTTTGGCCTGAAAAAGACTCAAACGTTGGCCCGGTTTGAAAAAGGCAACCCTAATTATAAACCCTCAGACAATAATATCCCAGTTCAAAAAATATTGAATGTTTGTGGGACGGAAACTATCCCACGTCATCCTCTCCCTACCTTCCAAAATCTTTTTTTTATTTTTCTCAAATATCCTCTATACCTCCAACCAATTAGCCCAATTCAAAACTGTCCCAGAAAGTCCATTCCTTCTTCTTTTACGAATTAAAGCATCACAAAAAGCATTCGAAGCCGCATAGGCACTTTGCCCGTGATTTGGGTGTAAAGAAGTTAGCGACGAATTAATCACAAAATGGGCAGGATTTAAATTGTATAGGCTTGAAAATAAAATTTTTTTAACAAAAAAGGCTTTATTTTAATGCCTTAAAAGAGAATCTATTAATAAAGCGCCTTCAGCTTTAGGTCCAACAACTTTAGCTAGGGAAGAGGATTCCATGGCAGCCACTGGGGCATTAATCAAAACACCGGCAGAATGTATAATTCCATTTAAGTGTTGCATTTCTGGCCTTTAAAAAAATTTTTTTAAATTAGTTTTCTTAATTCCAAGAAGGGACAATTAACAAAATTTATATGAAAATCACCGATAACAACATTTACGTCCTTAAGTAGGCCTATACCAGTTATCCTGCCGACATAAAAAATAAATTATATCTTCGGGAAGCAGGACAGCAAGATTCCTGCTGGCTGGCCTAATCATCAAACCTAACCTAAGCCTAATCACTAAACCTAATTACCCCAAATAAAACTGATTAATGCTCAAAATTCCCTTACATTTCAAATATTTCTTTCATCCTTTCAACATCTGTAACATCACACAGTTTAAGTTCAATACGGCATTGTTCGTTCATTTGTTTAAAATATTGCCAAAATATATCATTATCATTGGGTCTAGTACGTGCCAACAAAATCAAGCAATTTAATGAAGGAAAGTGTTTAGCTAACCAGTTGGCTATCTAATTAATCAAAAAATATTTAATGAAAAAATTAATTAGTCCTAAATTATGGGACTGAGAAATAAGGGAGATAATAGTTCCCAAGCATAAATTTATTTTTTCTAAAAATCAACGGATATAGTGGCGTCTTCATTTAATTTTCTGTAATTAGAATACAGCTTTTCAAGCATTTCTGGCAGTTTTGCTAATCCCTCTCGAAATCCCTTTCGAATGAGATGAGAGACAATACTTTGCTTCTCCTTAAAAATCTTGAATCTTGAGCTCAATGTGAGTGTGAGCTCAATGAGCTCAATCTTGTGCTCAATCTTGAGCTTAATGCTTTTCTACATGCTAGTCAGGCATCGGAAACTGGATCTCCCGACTTTGCCACATTCTATTTTGAGAAACATTACTTGCTTTTTACTTTGTTATACTTTGCTACATTTCGTTAAAAAATTTACTTTTTTAAATAAAATATTTAAATACCACCTCCAATCCAATCCCTTTAGTTCCACCAGTAATAAGCCAAGTATCTCGAGGTACCCACTCATCATTAATACCCAAATCTAATTTTTCCAAAAATTTTTTAAAATGCCATTCTGATATATTCGAGGTGGTAAACAACTCAAAAAACTCATTTCCCATTTCAACTTGAAAATTTTGTAAAAAAGTTGTGAGGTAAGCAAAAATAGGTAGTTGATCATCCTCTTTATTTGTTATTAATTGAAATATTATTTTTATTTTAAATTTGTTTATAATTAATAAAAGGGCACGGCAAAGGAGCAAAATAGCACTGGAATGTATTTTTAATAAATTTATTTTGTCAAAAATTTTGTTGTTTTTTGAATTGAAGAGAAGGTTTAAATTAATGGTGAATGTCTGAAAATTAAGAAAAAAAATTTTGATAATTGGATTGCTTTTTTTAACATTCCTAAAAGTTTGGGGATCTAGAAGAAATATTTCTTCACATCTATAGCTTCTTTAACATCCCCAAAAAATTTTCTAAGAAAAATCATTCAACTTGCAAGCTCCAACAAAATCTAACTAAATATTTTCTTCAAGTAATTTAATTTCTATTACTTAATTTAATTAATTTAATTTCTTTCTGTATGAGTAAAGGAATATAGTATGTGGCTACCAATTAATAACAAAATTTTAGGATTCCAGAATTTTGTTTTGATTTAAAATTTCAATACTAAAGGATTGTCGATTCTCAATAGGATTCTCGTTTTCTAGGATTTTTATTTTTTTATTCGATTTTTATTTTAAATTTTTTATCCGACAACTCTACTTGTCAAAATTTTGGAATCCTAGAATTTCGTTATAAGAAATTCAAATTCAATTTACCATATTTTTCTCCAGTTCTACTTCATCTCTTTGATAAATTATTCCAAAAAGCATTTCTACATTTCTCTCAAATTTTTGATTATTTAAATTTTTTATGTTTATTGAATGTCTTATTTCTTTTTCATCCTTTCTTTTAATTTCAAAAATAATTTCAAAATTGTTTTTATTTAAAATTTCAATCCAAACATTTGGATTTTCATTAAAAGTTTTCTGTGCCCTTTTAACTTCTCCTACAGTAAAAATACATTCTCTAGCGAGTTTAAAGTTTTGGTCTTCTTTAGAGACAGGAAGGTTTTTTTCAGAATTTTCTTCATTTTCTTCCCCCTCTTCTTCATCTTCCGTTTCATATCCGTCTTCATCTTCAAAGTTTCCTTCTTTATCTTCATTTTCATTCTGCGTTTCTTCATCTCCGTTTTCTTCATCGTAATCTTCAGACTTCCGTTCTTCTTCGAGTTTCCCATATTCTTTATCTTCTTCGTGTTCATCCTCCTCTCCCTCTTCATCTTTATCAACATCTCCGTCACTTTCCTCTTCCTTTTCCTCATCATCGTTCCTTTCTTCATTGTCATCCTTCTCATCATTTTCGTCTTCCTTGAACTCTTCCTCTTCAGTATCATCTTCTTCATTTTCTTCTCCCTCTTTGGTATCCTTCTCATTATCTTCCTCTTCTTCCATTTCCTTGTCCTCCTCTTCGCCATCCTCCTCATTTTCTAATTTTTGACTAACCAACTCAACCAACTCTCTCGCCCTTCCAATCATAAAAACATCCGCCGGAGTTATTCCAATATTTCCATTAATTTCAAATTTTTGATTCAACGCCTGTGCCAAAGCCATTAAAGAAAGAGAATCTAATCCTAATTGAGTCAATCCCATATCTATCCAATTTAATGGCAATTGAGCTGATGGAAGTGCAGAAATTAAAATTTGTTCAATTTTTTCGGTTAATTCCCCGGACTTTTGTTTTGCCGATTTCCGAGGATTAACGAGCGGATTTTGCTTCTAAAAATTTAATTTTTATTATTTTTACAAAAGACAATCATTTATCAAGTTGGGACAAAACACCGTCCTACCAAAACACTATCCACAGTAATAAAGAAATTTCAAAATAAAATTTCTAGGCATATGAGTTGTAGCACTAACTAAAACTCAATAGTCATAAGTAGGGCTAGGAATTTTAGGCACTAAAAAGTTAGAAATAGGCGCCTATATAGGCACTAAAAGAAAGAAGATTTCAGTAAAATAACACCGGATTTGAACGTTTTAGCGTCAGGCCTGTCTAGGAAAAAACAGGCATTTTTGCCTAAAATCCTAGCCCTAGCCATAGTGTCTAAAGATATTGAGGCAACATAATTCGACATAAATTGAATTTATTTCTCAGAAGTGGACAAAGTTCTTTACTCTTATATCCGGACGGCATATTGTTTCAACAGTGTTTTGTCCCATGCCCTTTTTTACTTACATTCTTGCCTTTAATTGATGGCAGGGGATTCTTTTTATCTTTATCTTGTTTATTCTTCTCGTTAATTCCAAAATTTATAATTAACAAAAATCGACTGTTTTTATCATAAACCTTTGCCATTTTAACATTATTTTTGGTGTAAAGTCGCAAAAAATATTTGCCATTGCTTTAATTTTGAATTTTTAAATTTTTCTAAATTTAATTTACCTTTTAATTCTATTTTCTTTTATTGTTTCATAAAATATTTCTATTTTCTTAATTTTATCAAGATGATTTAAATAACCAAAATATTGAGATGCCTTAAATTTTTTAAAGTTTAATAATTGAAAAATGAATAGATAGAATTTTGAAAAGCTTGAGGCCAGACTCGGTAATGGATACGGATAATATCCGGATATCAGTGGATATGTCATGATAAGGATAACAAAATATGTGTCCATGCTTGAGACCACAAATTGAATTTTTTCTGGACCAGACTTGAAATTATTTTTTCATGCTAGGAATAGGTTGGCAGTTTGATAGAGAAATCCAAAGTCCATGGATAAATATAAATCAATTTTGTCAGGTGTAAGCTAAGGTTGTCCACGATCGGTCAACCGAAAACCGGGGGTCAAAAACGGGCAAATCCGAAAACCGGAGCTATCGGTTAATACCCGGTCGTGCACAGCCCTAATGTAAACCTTTACTTAGCCTCCAAATGCACCGCCAAAAGACTTACTTCAAACAAAACATTCTCCATAAATTTTGGATTAAATAATAAAAATTCCTTCTCAATCTCTTCCTCACAATCTAAACATTTTTCTTTTAAAAATTTATCTTCTTTTCTGTTTAAATTCAAATTTCTTCCAATTTTTTTTATTTTTGCCAAACAAATTAATTTTTTCTTTTTATTTTTTTCTTCTCCAAAAATTTTTATTTTTTCGGAATTTAAAATTTCAGTAATTATCCATTGCTTTTCTTTCTTATTTAAAAATTCTTTAAGACAAATTTCTTCAATTTGAATTAAAAAACATTCCAACTTTAAATTTAGATGGCCTATAGATGTTAATAATTCAATTAATAACCCGACAAGGTGACAGTCCTTTGAAGAGTTTTTTGAGGACTGAAAAAAATTTTTTTGATAATTTATTTTTGGGGTTTGGGAGGTATTAAGACTAGAGACTATATTTGAGGATTGAGATGAGTTACTCGAAGATTCGCTTTATTAGCTAATTATCCCTTTACTCACATCCGGCAGCAACTTAAAAATTATGAAAGTATCGGAAATAAGAAAAATCAGAAATTCGAACACGTAAAAATTGGTGGAAAAATCGGAATCGCGATCACACCTGTTCCTTTCCCTTTATTAGCATTCTTAAGCAGATGGGTTAGAATTTCCATTTTGGAATTTCAAATTTTAATTTTAAGTTCCAATGTTCTCACATAGATTAACACATCGTCCCCCGACTATTTTTCTGGCAAAAACCCCGACTCGAACCCCTAAGGCTCTACCCCGGTAAACCCCGAAACCCGACACTCCCGCCCCCGAAGGCTCGGTGTGCTACCTTATTCCCAGACCTATCTACGACTCTCAACAAAGGGCCAAGGTCCCATTTCAGACTCTTCCGATTTCCGAAACCTCCGGCTTTTCCGGCCTGCTTCTCTTAAAGTGGAAGTAAAATAATTTACTTTTCATTCCTATAATAATTTTAAAAAAATTTTTACATTAAAAATCAACCAAGGCATTCTTTTCTCACACAAAAGAGATTCAAATTTAATCAAATCATTCCCTCGATTAACACAATTTCCCAAAAGCGGATGGCATCCATCATCCTTATTTAAGTTAAAATCATCTTTTAAAGTCCAAAAACGTTTTTGGCGGTCAAAGGAATATTTTGGTAAATTAATTAAATTTAATAAGGGCAAATATTTTGTTGGGATTTGGTAAATTTTTGGCCAATTTATTTCCTTTCCAGTACAAAAACTGAAAGATATTAATTGTTGTAGATCAGAGGGAGTTTCTATTGAGGCAAATGAATATTCTAGATCTGATTGGGTTGGTCCAATAATTAATTTATTTGATGAAGTTGGTGTTAGTTTGTTGGGTTGTTTTGTGGTTGCTGTAAAAAACAAATTACTGTAGACCTTATTATTAGATACCCCTCTTTATTAATGCTACTCAAAATTTTTATATTTTGATTTGCCACTGAGAAGAGCCACTGGGAACCTAAAGTATAATCTCTAATAGAATGCCCCCTTCTAACTTAATGCCCCTTTGGAAGGTGATTGCAAAATAGAATGCCCGAGCATTTAACTAGATGCTCGGGCACCCTCTATTTAAGATACCCCTCAATATAATATAGGTATTATTTTTTGCTACTGATGGGAATATCTTATAGTGAGATGCGACTGAAATTATGTTGGACCAAAGCTAGCCGAGATAAAATTTTTTAAAAGAAATCCGCAAATATTTGCGGACACCAGACATTTAAAATTAAATTAGGTAAATTTCTAAAAGAAATCCTACCATATTCCTCTTCATTATTTCTCTTCTTTTTTATTTCCTCAATACATCTAATAATTTTATCTTTTGTGAATTCATTTTCTTCTTTCGCCCAAATTAATTCTCTAAATAAATTAATTGCCAAATTATTATTTTTATTAATTATTTCATCTTCTTCCTTAATTATTCCAAATTCTTTTAACATTTTAAAACGTCCAAAAGCATCGGCCAATTTAATTATAGAAGGATTTCTAATCTCTTTTATTTGTTTATTTATTCCCAATTTATTTAGAAACAATTCTAAAGCGTTTTTGTAGGCTGGCACTTGTTCATACAATGTCCAGGCAATTTTAGGCCAAAAACCAAGACGATAATTGATGGATGTGAGGGTGTCCTGATAAATTTATAATTTGACTATCTTAGTGGATTTTTTGAAAGAAAAATTGGGAAAATATTTTCGAAAAATATTTTTGCGGACAATTTTTGCGGACATAATTTGCGGACACTAACACTTGTCCGCAAATTTTTTGCGGACAAAAAATTAAGAGATAATTGCTCCTGAAAGGAAGTAAGCTCAATTATTTTCGTAGAATCAACCTTAATAATTTTTAAAAATTTTAAAGACCTTTCTAACAATAATAGGTTCCTCCTCCAATACTTCACTAGACCCATCCACGTCAGGAAGGATTATAACAGCCCTCACATTTAAAGGAGGGTTTTTAACATTCTTCCCTCTTAAATAACTTGCTGCCACACAAATTTCATTGAAATTCCATTCCTTTTCATTTTTCAAAAATTTTAAATATTTTTCCAAAAATTTTTTCATTGAATTTTCTGAATGAGTGGCCAAGGGTAATATTCTTTGCCATTTATTAGAACATTGCTGTTTTAGTTGATAATGTAATTGTTGAATTTGTCTTGTTTCTATTGTCCGATTTAATGAAATAATAGCACAAGCAATAGTTCCAGAAACTCCAAAGGAGCTTACGCCGGCTAGCAGTGTTTGCTTGAAAAGAAATTTTTTTAAACACTCGATGGGACCGTCTATAAAGATTCAGCGTTTTTATGGGATCCACTAGAGAGAGGTTTCAAGGAATTCTCAAAGGGATGGAGAAGGTCCTCTGTTTATTGTCGAATGTCCCAATGTCTCTCTCAACTACTCCTCCCCATAGCTAGAAAGGCAAATAAGCTATAAAGATCCAATAAAGCCTCTCCCTCTCCTAATACAAAATCCTTACTTTATCTTCTCCTTCACTCAATATATCGACAGATTTTCTAACAGCTAGGCGAACAGGCCAATTATCATTCTCATAATCTCCCCAGCCATTAGCTTCCATTCCTCGAACAATTTCGGGATTCATTCTTTTAAAATTAGGTAAAGGAGGCATTTCGGCATTTCTTAATTGCAGCACAGCCTAACAAAAATTTTTAAAAATTTTTCAGAAAAATTCCTTCCCTCGCCTTCATAACCCCTACAAGACCGGAAGCTGCCTCTGTATGCCCAATATTTGCTTTTGCAGTCCCAAGCCAGACACCTTTAGTTAATCCACAAGAATTCAAAGACTTTGCCAATGCTAAAAACTCCACAGGATCGCCAAGTGCCGTTCCAGTCCCATGGCACTCCCAACAGCGAAGAGAACGTCTCTTTTCTGGATTTAGCTGTTCTAGGCATCTAGCAAGTAATTGCTGTTGAGATAGGCCGTTTGGGGCTGTCAGTGCTGCGCTACGGCCATCATGTCCACATTCAACTGCCTTTAAATATTTGATTGGACTTGGAGCTTTAAGTAACAAAAAATTGCCTCAATAACCCCCCAATGAGGCTTTCTCTCCAAATTTCCTATCGGAACACCTTCTATTATCATTACAACACAACCATCAGATCGTCCATATCCATTGGCATCAATATCAAAAGCTCGACAGCACCCGTCTTCTGATAACATTCCAGCGTTTGCACGTTGTGCTAATTAAATTTTTAATTATTTTCCTTCAAGTATTGCTTAAAAAATTTACCCAATCCCTTAGCTGTGAGGGTTAAATTAACTCCTCCAACTATTGCTCTAGGACATCGCCCCGTTCTAATTGCTTCTACTGCCAATTGTAAGGCTACAAGTGAGCTAGAACAGGCTGTGTCTATAGAAAGTGTTGGGCCTCTAGAAAAAAATTTTTTTTTGATGAAAATCAAAGAAATTCTCCAAAAAATTTGCCTGCAATCCAAAAAATGTGCCAAACGTCCAGAAAATGCGGATGCCGATGTTCCCAACATTTGAAGCGCGTTGCCTTGTTGTTCAGACAAATCTGGGTATTCATTACTCATAAATCCAATAAAAACTCCACACTGCTCCAAGTCCTTTGGGGAATTAAAGCCTGCCTGTTCTACACATTCCCAAGCACATTCTAGCAAGAGGCGTTGTTGAGGGTCTAATGCAGATGCTTCCAAGGCTGAGAGCCCGAAGAAATTGGCGTCAAAACGGGCCAAATCAAAATTAAGAAAGTGGCCACCCTCAACTATAAAATTTGTAAATTTTTTGGAAAGTCTGCAAATATTGTCCGCAACATCAAATATGGTTTGCGGACACAACTTGCAGACAAACATTGAATTTAGTTGTCCTTATAATTAGAATATTTTTACCTGGAACATTTCCTCCATTAAATTCCCCTCGAATAAGGGAATTCCTTTCAGCTATTCGAGTGGTTGGTATTCGTTGATTAGTACATCTACCCTCCTTGAGTAATGCCCAAAACTGATCAGGAGAGTTGATGTTACCAGGCAGTCGGCAAGCAATTGAACTTATTACAACTTCAATGCCTTTTTTCTTAATTTAGAATTTTTTGTTCAATTTGGACCTTCATTTGATTCAGTCTACCCCAGCTACTGATGTTCTTGAGGATTTACTGAGAGTTATCTGGGACTGAGAGATCATCTATTTTAGGTAGAGTTCAGACGGTGATGAATTCCGATCTCGATTCTCGTACGATAAGATTTCGAGATTTCGATCGAGATTTATCGAGAGTTAAGCAGATTTATCGAGATAATTTCAATTATCGAGATTTATTGAGATGGAGAATTTTTCGAGATCATTCACGTATGACACTCCCAGTCCGGTCTCTAATTTTAAGTATGTACTCTGACTCCGTTCCTAAACAATACTTAACATCACGACCCGTAACAGATATAGAAACAATCCTACCCACAGAGAGCTGATTTTTAGCATCAAAAAAACTGATTTTTAGCATCAAATTAACTTACATCAGAATCAAAATTATTATTAATTTTCATTTCATTCTTATCAATTTCTCCAACATCCAGCTTTCTAAAAAGCAAATCTTCTCCAAACATCAAAATCTCTCCTCCATTTTTATTTCCTTTCTTTTCAATCCAAAAATTTCCTCTAGCCATTCCTTCATCCAATTTAATTGAAAAATGCATTCTTAAATCCTTTTCAACTTCCAACTCATTTTTTAACAATTTCGGGCCAATATAAAGCTTTCCAATTGAAAAAGGGACTAGAAGGTGTTGCTGATGGTGTTTTGATTTTTTCTGAATTTTTTAATAATTAATTTTTACTTCGTATACATGTGTTTATGTGCGATAATGCTTAGGCGAGCGCTTATACGTGGCTGAAGAATTGTAGCTAAAATCTTAAAATTCTGCAAAGATTTTTTTAAATAATCTTGGCTAATTCTCTCTTTCAATTTCAGAAATTTAAATTAATTATTTCTCAAGTTCTGGTAAAATAATCAACAAAATCAACCAAATTTCCCCTAAAATGCAACTTTTTCGCCCATATTTTCAGAAATTCTGAACCAAAAATTCTGAAATTTTAACACAAGTTAGATAACTGTAATAATGATGTTTGTGCAAAATTTCACAAATTAAGGTCTTCTACAAACTTTTTTATAAGAGCGCAACTAGGCGTTATACACATACTCTCATAGGCATTTAAATTAAGGAAATTTGAATAAAATTAAAAATTAATTTTTCAATTTCTAATTTCACCTCATTCCCATTTTCCTTCAAAAAACAATAAACCATTGCTTGCCATAAAGCATCCAATTTAATATCCAATTCCTCAACTTTTTGAATTACTTCACAACACCCCCAAACCATTAATTTCCCCATTTCAAAGCCTATACCATAATTAACCGACTCAACACTTTTAAATGATTTTCCAAAATTATATCCACATTCTTCAATTAAAAATTTATAAAAATCTTTGTGAACAATAGTAAATGGAAAGGGAGGCTTTGGAGATGTGGGGATATTTTGGTTGTTTATTTGAGAAGTTAGTTCAGCAATAAAAACATCTTTCTGATTTTCTTGAAGACAAATCTTTAAAAAATAATATTAAAAATATTTATTAATCTAAAATGCCCTCAGGGCATTTATTTTTCAATTATTTTAAATTTTTTTAAGAATGGATAATTTTGGATATAAATTTATGAATAAACATTTGCGGATAAACATAGTCAATACGCAAATTTATTACGCAAATATCACCTCTCAAAAATAGATGGCATTTAACAATAACTTTGGTACTTATCGGTTACATTTTTATTCAATTAAAATCATCCGAAGGCCCTCTACATATAAGAGGAATCTTTTCCCAACTTAATGGATCAAGTCTGATCACTAGTTAGATAACCTGATAAATGTGAAAAACACAAAATAACTGGACTTATAGTTTATAACATTTTAATGACTGATCAGACTTGATCTGTCCGATAAAAAAGGTACCGCTTATGAAGGGCTTTCGAATGATAAAAGATTTATTTGAATTGGATCAAACAATAAAAAGTTTCCGCTGGACTTGGTTTGTGGGCGTAGGCCGTTAAGTTATTTTTAAATTAAAAAAATTTAAATTTAATTTAAAAAATCAAAATTTGCCATCAATTCATTTTCATCTTCACCAGAATTTTTAAAAATAATTCCAAGTTCAACCACATCCTTCTCATTAATTAACAAAGGTTTTAAAAAACAAATATTTTTTAAAATTAAAAAATCCTCTTTATTTTTATTTTTTAATAATGCCCAAATAAATTCTAGTAAAATAGTAGAGCCGGGCAGAACAGAATTTTTGTGGTTGCCGAAAGGGCGGTGATCAAACAAATAATTTTTAATTTTGATAAAAATATTTTTTTGGTTGGTATTCATTTTTTATTAAATTTTTATTAAATTTATTTTTTATTAAAATTTATTTTTATAATATTTTTAAAAATTATCGGAGAATGTCAAGAAAAATATAAAAAATGTCAGTTTATTTTAAAAGGCAAGAAAAACATTTTTATTAAATTTGAGGACAATTTTTCCTCTTTTAAATGATCCATTTTTCTAAAATTACAGCTAATTTGGTTAAGATAATTTTCTTTTTATTTTTTATTTTATTTTTGATGTCTGGAAATATTTAGAAAATGTCTGGAAAATATTTATTTTATTTTAAATTGTCTATTAAATAAGTCGAATCTTTCCCTTGTATTTATCAGGGTTTGCATTTCGAATTTTTAAAAATCCGCAAATTTGAGAAAACTTGAGAAGCTAAAAAAACAACAATTACATGTAAATACTCTATATCAGACAGATAGTCCATTCCTTAGTAGACAGATGGGGTCCATTCCGTTTTTTTGAATATTAAAAGGTCAGATAATCTCTCATAGCAACCGAATTCACTGTGATTCAATTTTTTTCCCTTTTTTCATTCCCGAAATTATTATTTAACAAAAAAATTTTTCCCAAAAATATCTTTATCCGATAATAAAAAATTTAAATAAAAAAATAAACAGGCACTCTCGGAGCGCAAAATATATCAATGGATAGTCAATCAAAAATTACTCAGGAAAGGTTGTGTTTGAGAAAATAATTCGAAATAAGGCATCAGGGAATACAAGCCGATTCGATTTTCAAAATTAGGAGATCCTGACGTTCTTTTGTTGATGAATTTATTTCTTGTGTTGGCAGGAGTTATGGATTGGTAAGAGAAAAGTTGAGGTTTCATATCAGGATTTAAAAAAAAAATTTTCTAGTCTGGTTTCGGGTAAAAAATGGCCTGATTTCGAGTAATGGTAGAATCCTTTGTGTTTATTTTAAACAAAAAATACAAACTTCCAACAACCTTTCCTGAGTAATTTACATTTTTAAATGAGTATTTACAGTTTAAAAAACATATCCGATAATAAAAAATAAAAAAAGGCACTCTTTAAGAGAAGTGCAAAATTTTTGATTAGATAATCAATCAATTTTCTCAATTTTTGTTTTTAAATAAATCCACAAAATCAAAAATTCCAAAACCAAAATAAAAAATAAATCCCCAAAAAAATAAATTTAAAAAAATAAAGGGCTGCCGCTTTTAATAAATTAATAAAATTAAATCTAAGTTTTGTTTATAAACTTATAGTTTCCACTAGCGTCAAAAAATTTTTTTTTGATATTTTTTTAAAAACTTAAAAATTTCATAAAATAATTTTCGAAATTAACTCAAAATAAAAGAGAATTAAACCAGATAATGGGAAGTCCAAAAAATTTAACTGAAAGAAAATTAAATGTCAATAACCTGTTTGAATAACCCTATTTAGTATATGTAAATAGCAGCCCTTTTTACATAAAATAAATTTATAAAAAAATTTAACTCAAATAAATCCAAAAAAACTGGTCAGCTTACATCTTTTGCCTGACAAAATCTTCCACTAAACCTCTAAAGATTTTCCAAAAATTTCAAAAACTTGTCTTTCATCGGTTTATCTTTGTAAATTTTAAGAATTGCATTTCTCATATTTTTGGCTTTCTTACTATATTCACTTTTAAAAGTAAGCTTTGTTTCATTGTCATAAGATATTTGATTAAGCGCTTCCTTAAGAGCAAAAATAAGATTTTCATCAGAAAAATCCAAATATTTGCCAATTCCTTTTTGTTCAACAGTCGAAGCAATATACATTTGCTCTTCAGTCAGTGGAATACAGATTATTGGAACACCAGCATAAATTGCCTAAAATTTTTTTTAAAGAATAAGCTTCAAATTTTTGTTCCAAGGTTTCCCAATACTAGTTTAGAGGCCGATAGTTATTGAACGATAATATTATGCATACAATACCTCGTTAACACTATTTTGTTCACAATGTGAAATGAACACTCTTGTGTCTGGATTTGCTGAAAGTAAAAATAAATTAGTTAATTTGTGAATAAATATATACATAAAATTTCATTCCGTGGAAGAGTATCTTCTTCAGTATAACCAGTAAAGAATTTAAAATTTATAGCTGCTCGAACATGAAAATAACACGTAGGAAAATATTCTTTAGATACTTTTCTAATCATTTCGTAGATTCGATATTTTCCTATATATTCCAACTTTCCAAAGCTGACAAGAACATGACAGTCCTTAAAAATTTATCTGTGTTAGAAAAAGCGGCACACCCCCAAAATAAGTTATTGAGTATAACACAGGATATTAAAAAATATTGGGTGGTGTTCCTCGTTTTCTGAGAATAAATTTGCAAATTCGGCAATTGGGAATTTTCATTTTTTTTTCAATTTCCGATTTTGAGAATCGGGGAAATTTTAAGTAATTATTTATTTTCGGGGATCGGAAGTAAATGTAGTTTTTAATTAATTTACAGATATATATTTTAAATATGAGCTTTCCAACCTCGTCGTTTACTCCCTTTTTTTCTTCAATTAAAAGTTTGTTGTATTCAACAGTAATACCACCAATATAAACAATTTTTTCGTGGTCAGGAAAATTGTTAAATTTAATTAAAGGATGTTGATTTATAAAATGATATTTAATTTTTTTAAATAAAACATCCAAAGTTGATGGCATTTTGATAGATATTTCATAGTCATCAAACAAGGAATTATAAAAGTTTTGAGATGTTGTAGTGAGAAGCTCCTGTACTCGTTTGTTGCTTACTCCATGTTCATTTTTATTATCTTCTTCACATTTGTACCATTTTCCATCTCTATCCCATTCCTCAGGTTTAGCAGCGGCGAAGGCTTAACAAAAATAAATTTTCAAATTCCTTATAAAGTTGGGTTTTTTTCATATTTTGGAATTTTTCGTTGCATATCTGGGCAGCCCTAGATATGACAGTCGATTCACCATATGGGGAAAATATTTTAAAGGATATTTAGAACTGATAATTCGGATTTTTTTTTGAAATTTTACTTCGTCTCACAAAATTCTTCTTTAAATTAATTATTAATAAAACATTACCAGGAACTTGATACTCCAAAACATTAATATCAAGGAATTGAAGATATTCTGGAGGGAATACAGAACTGAAAACATTAAATGTTTCTTCAATTCCCAATGCTTCAAAAACAGCAAAAGCACCAGCCGTTACATTAAACTCAGCTATTCCAATATCATATTTATTTTTTTGAAGCCGATCAAGAATCTTTTTTTGATGTGTCATTAACTCTGTAGAAATGAAATATTTAAATTTTATTTTTAATTATTTTACCTCTATAAATTCCTATAGAAAAATACATTTCTACTTGGAAGTTCTTCCATAATTCTTTATTTATTGGAATATAAATAATTTTTAAATTTCCTAGTTTTACTGTTTCTTGCCAAGTTCCCGTGTAAACTAGCATATCCTGGAATAAAAAAATAAAAATATTGAATATCAAATTATAGGAAGTTAACCAAATGGGTCGGACCAAGACCGATTTCAAAAACCGAAGGAAAGGAAACCCCAAAAATCAACACAAAGTGCAAAAACTATAAATTAAGTTTTGGCCATTTTTCTATTAATTTTTCAATACAATATCAATATAAACTAACCACTTTATGATAATTTTCTGTCAAAATGTTGGCTAATATTTTCTAAAATAAAAAATCTTCAACTCCAAATTAATTAAAAAAAATTTACGTTAAATTCCAAATTGGGGAATGAAAGATTGTCACAAATGTACAAAATTCTTCTGCGCTTCCTATCCTTTCCTTCAACTTGTTCGACTTCTTGTTCCATTCCTTCTCTCATAAGTTCTTTTCCAGGACGATGAGTAAAACCTTCATTATCTGTAGCTACCCCTTCTCCTTCACAAATACAAGTTTCTCCTCTTTTAAATCGACGATGATGTTTTTGACGATAATTTTTTGTCGGTTTTTTTGGATTGTTTGTTGGGACAGAGAATTTTTTAATTGTTGGACATTTACAATTTTTCACGGGGGAGGAGTTGATAAAAATTAGAAAAAATAAGAAAAT